TGGATCTTGTGTTTATTCAGGATTTTGGAGATCTTTTTAGTGACCCCTGCAATGTAGGGTAAGGTGATGGTTTAGAGTGGCTCCACAAGAGGATCCTTCTTCATGACTGGAGTGACGGCTTTGCGGATTGTGTAGTCGGAGTAACCATTAGCTCTGAGAGCCTGGTGTACGTGCTTGAGTTCACTGGTAATGTGTTCCTGGTCGGAAATGCATTGGGCTCTATGGTATAGAGTCTTGATGAGGGAGTTCTTCTGGGATGGATGGTGGTGGGAATCCGGTTTCAAGTAAGCATCTGTATGGGTAGCTTTCCTGTAGACAGAGTGGCTCATGGATGGACTCGTCCGACTGAACGGGGCTCGTAGCTGTCCATGGTTCTGAAGTTGAGGGTAAGAATCTACCCATTTTTTCGCCATATAGCATTGTGATATATAACGACTTATTGTTGGTAGCTTAGCTGTTTGAAGAATATATAGAGTTTATTGATAACATTGAGGTAGTTTATATTTTAGTTTTTATTGGTTTACTATATGGTATTCATTATATAGTGTAGTGTATACCCAGTTAATGTTAATAGCTCAGCTTATTGAAGAATATATTGAGTACATTTATTATATTGATGTAATTTAGAATTAGGTTTTTCACATTGGTTTACTGTATGACAGTTGAGTTGTTGCAGCCCCCTTTGGCGTCCATGTACGAGGTGCCTCTGTGGATGTGTAGGCTTTGACTTGAACATCTATTTCTGTGACCAGTCACAAGCTAATCCCTTAGCTATTTCAATGCTAAATTACTAGTTGCCTCTGTGGATGTGTAGGTTTTGACTTGAACATCTATTTCTGTACCAGTCACAAGCTAATCCCTCAGCTATTTCAATGCTAAATTCTTCTGTTTGATTTGTACTAGGTGCCTCGGTGAATGTGTATGCTCTGACTTTAACATAGCTATTTCTGTGACCAGTTACAAGCTAATCACTCAGCTATTTCAATGCTAAATTCTATGCTAATTCCTTTGTCAAGGGGTGCCTCTGCGGATGTGTATGCTTTAACTTAGCTATTTCAATGCTAAATTCTATGCTAATTCCTTTGTCAAGGGGTGCCTCTGCGGATGTGTATGCTTTAACTTTAACATAGCCATTTCTGTGACCAGTCAAAAGCTAATCACTCAGCCATTTCAATGCTAAATTATATGCTAATTCCTTTGTCAATGCGCTTTGTTTCTTCTCACACAGCTTAAAGGTCGCGATCTGAGCGTGGCTTTTTCACTCCAGCGCTGTCCTACCAGACAGGCTCGTCCCTTCACCTGATGAAGGCCGCTTGTGTTGTGGCCGAAACGTCGTGAGAATATTATTGTGTTATTTTATTTTATCAATTTATTATTTTATTCTCATTCTATGTGACTTTACCGAAAGAACCAAAGAAGATGAATCCTTGCAGTCACGAAAGCTTTAAATCGAGATTGAGATCTTAACTGATATCCCTCCACTGACCAGCGTGGTGATGTATAGTCAACCAAACCACCATGATTAATACGACAATGGCGGGGCAAAGGGGTGGGGGGGCTTCCTGCAGAAGTGGACTAACACTGGCTGAAAGTTGTCATTCGAAATGGATCATGTCCACACAGAACAACAGCACTATCAGAATGGAAATATTCTTCTGCATTGTGCAATAGTTGGGAAGGCTATTAACATGTGAATTGATTTGAAATTTTCGTGACTGCAGGTATCCAATCTCTCCCTTTAACGCAGCCGCTGTCCGTGCGTGCGGCGACGGGACTCCTTTCCATCTCTGACCCCGCCTACTTACCTTTGGGTGACACCCACCTCAAATCTGTATATAACCTCTTGTTGCAACAGCCCTTTCTTGTTCAGCAGTTCTACTGCTGTATCTTTCCACCTGATGACCACTGCTTGTGTTGCGATCGAAGCGTCGTGATTTATTATTTATTTTTATACCTACGTTACTTTACCGAAATAACCAAGGAGTATGTGAATTGAGTCTGTCCTGTTTCTCTCTTTTGCAAATGTCATCTTCATCATATGGAGCAGCTCCAACCACCATTGGCACCACCATTACCAGCACCACCACCAGATCCACCCCTACCAGCGGCACTACAACGAGCACCACTCCCACCAGCACCACCACCAGCACCACCCCCACCAGTACCACCACCAGCACCACCCCCACCAGTACCACCACCAGCACCACCCCCACCAGCACCACCACCAGTACCACCAGCACCACCACCAGTACCACCCCCACCAGTACCACCACCAGCACCACCCCCACCAGTACCACCACCAGCACCACCACCAGCACCACCACCAGCACCACCACTAGCACCAGCAGAACCACCAGCCCCACCACCAGCACCAGCAGCACCACCACTAGCACCACCACCAGCACCACCCCCACCAGCACCACCACCACCAGTACCACCCCCACCAGTACCACCACCAGCACCACCCCCACCAGTACCACCACCAGCACCACCACCAGCACCACCCCCATCAGTACCACCACCAGCACCACCCCCACCAGTACCACCACCAGCACCACCCCCACCAGTACCAGCACCACCCCCACAAGTACCACCACCATCACCACCAGCACCACCACCAGTACCACGAGCAGTACCACCACCAGCACCACTGGCAGTACCTCCACTGTCGCCGCCACCAGCAGCAGCACTGTAACTACTGCCGGTAAGACCTCTTATCATCAAGTGACGTTGACATGAGGGTTGTAATGATAGCTGCACATACTGGGCAACACCGTTTTGTGGTTGTGAAATGTAACCATTTATATCATAGACTTGGAATCTAAATATGCGATTCGCTCGCTCCAAACACAGAGAGGATGCCAGAAAGGATGCCACTTAAAAGTTTAATACAATGACGTATACATTACACAGATTCTTTGGAGCACAATGTGGTATAGGTTACACCCAACGTATGCATTCACGTAAATATATTTAAATACTAATGAAGTAAATACAATGCAATTTAAGTTTAAACAATACTGCACTGTCTGGTTGCACACCATCATTTCGGTTAAGGATCACGGCCTCCTGTTCACTTGTTGGTCATGAGGTTTGTTAGACCATACTCAAGCACCGTGGTGACGTCACCACCACTTTATGACGAACGGCGGTTGTTGTTGACCATACTTTGACCACGCTGGTCAGTGAGGGTTGTTGATAAGTTGGGTGGAGGTGGGGGGCGTCGTGGTGGCAGAGCCGGGGGGGAGTTCAGATATACTTCGCCACTTGTGTTAGCCTTGGCTGCGGAATGGAATTGAGGCCGCTTTCAGAGAGCGGTTTGCTGTTGTGCAACCACTACTACACACAGTTAAAATAGCCCGTGCAGTAGATGAATACCTCACTCTTTGTCCAACTGTCCAATAATTCAGCGTACCTTCGTGTTCGAACGAGCACAGGCCATTACTTATTAAATAGTCCGCATGAGCCAGTTGAGTAGATTCCACGTTATTACTTTCCTATAGCCAACACCGTCTAAATAAATAGGACCACTATTTATTTTTACATAGTGGTAATCGTCAATGAAGGAGTCCAGCAGTAGATTGATAAAGTGTTGAGAATGATTATTGTTGTTGTGGTATTTTCCACACACGCAAACATAACTGCCTGGATGACAATGCTGCCCTGCCTGTTGGTGATTGGTTGGAAGGCTATTATCACTGGAATTGAGTTCATCGCGTGTGTTTGCGTGTTTTTTTCTCCTGAAAATGTAAATAATTGTATGGAGCAGCTCTCACCACCGACGGCACGACCACGACTGGCACCGCCATCACCAGAACCACTATCACCCTTGGTTAAAAAAACTTACATCACGAAATAATGTTAACAATTATCGGACACTGTGTTGTCACTGCAAGATGAACGTAATTGCACTACATTATCATTATTAAAAGTAATTGCCCTCATGCTCTGAATCAATTAAGTCGACGTATTTGTCCCCACTAAAGTGGATGGAATGTTTATAATCTCGCATGCCTAGCGGCAGTTCGTAGAATGCATGGGTAGAAGAGTTGTCACCGGCCCTTTCATTGTTTACACAGCAGGGCAGGTATCGAAACTTGCCCATCCACTCGACTGGGAGATTTACACATGGCAATCCCATCGATATATATTAATTCTCAGAGCGAAAATGTATTCAAATAAGGGTGAAAACACAAATTTAAACATCTCGTTCAAGAGACAAACATCGCACCTCCTGGCTTTTTCTCTCCTGGAAGACACTGGTGGAACCGTCAATAATAATTATAATAACATTTTAAATAGCGTCGTTCATGAAAAACTGCATCTCACAACGCTGGCCGATGCACACATCTCCTTCTTGGGTGGAAAATGAAAGACACAAGCCAGAGTGTGGTTGTGGCCATGCAACCCTCACTATGGATCATACAGTAATCCCACTGCAGTCTGCGCTCCTTCAATGGAGAAGGAACAGTGACACTACAGGAACTCTCTCTCTCCTGAAGCCCTCTCATTGTGGCGAGCAGCAGACCTCGACTTTGGCATTTAGCTGCTGTGCGTATTGCCGACATCATATGCAAGGACAGAATTGAACCCACATTTTAAGGTTTTATATGTCTTTGTATAGTTAAATTAGTATTGATGTAAATGTCGTGAAGCCTTCTTTTTTAATGGACTCGCACAGCAGGTTGTGGAATGGATCCATGCGGTGGACTAAGCGTGCGTGAAATATTTTTCGGGCTTGCAAAAAGGGGCCGCAATTTGTCGCCGCAATGCGCGCTGTGACTTTATTTCTTTCAACTTCGCGGCCGAAGGCGGAGGAGGCAGTTTAAACGGCGGCAATTGATTAATCACGCCGAACACCCACGGCACATTAGGAGTAGTTACACGGGTTTCGAAATATCGCGTTTACCTGCATGGTTACCATTTTTTTACTTCACGCAAATCTTCCAAGACCTTTAAACGTGGCCCGCACCACGCGCACCCACACCGATGTTGTAATTTGAAGTTTTTCTTGGTGAGGCGGGGTGCAGGGGTGAGGTATTATATATATAAAAAAAGCCGCGCTCAGATTCAACCCAGTTCCATATTTTACTTCGAACAACCACTGACTGGTGCAACGCAGATACTCTCCTAATTATCAATGATGTGGTTCGTCCGCTGTCTTCTCACCTGTGCCCTGGTGTTTCGTGCTGTGGCAGGTAAAGGCGCACACACCCGCATACAACTCATGGCTTTTTATATGGAACCAACAACAGCGTACTTTCTGCCGGCTTCAATACAACGTATATATGTATGTGTGTATATATTTGTGTGTGGATATGTATATGTGTGCAGTGGTTAGCGCGCTGTATTTGATTCCGGCCGTCCGAGTTTGATTCCCGCTCACGGTCAACACCAGTGATGATTATCTGAAACCGTCCTGGGATTCCCCTTTGTCGACTCAGCCTCAAAGGAGTACCTGGTGCGGTGTGTAAACATGGCCATTTGGGAGATAAAGGCGGCCGGGCGTGGTGCTGGCGACTCACCCCCTCGTGCGCCGTTCCGGCCTTCATATGTGATCGCTTAACAGCACTTGCCCCAAAAGTATAAGGCTGTAACAGGGGATTTTTGTCCTTGTATGTATACATGTGTAACGTACGTAATTTAAATGAAAGATTGACACGCTCGTGTTTTTGAATCCCTTCCAATCAATCACATGGGTGCAGTATCCACGAGACATTAGCGATAGGTTAATTTATTGTTCTCTGTTCGTTAGAGATTATGTTATTAGTTACACGTTATTAGTTACATGTGTGAATGAAAATGATGCGCTTTACGATTCGTATAATGTCCTTTGTAAAACAAAACCCATAAGTGAATCGAGATTACTTAAAAGCATAGCATTATGCCAGGACAATGTTCTGCCATAATAACATCCGGATGGGTGGCTTTCCTGTAGACAGAGTGGCCCATTGAGCCATCTGGTCTCTTTTCGATTAAAACATCCAAGAATGGTAGCTTGCCATCCTTTTCCACCTCCATGGTGAATTTGATGGCTGGGTGTATGGAATTGATGTGGTTGAGGAATTATCGTTTCTGCGTGGATTACGTACACGTGGGGGGGGGGGGTGTAAAAAGTACGCGAGCATACAGGGAGAGGGGTCAAGTTTTGACAGATTTTTGCGTACATACTAAATGGTGGCCCCATAAGGAGAAAGAAATGGGCAGGGAAAAGTGGATATAGGTGGGCAGGGCCAAGCAGGTAGTGGTGGGTGGGGCCAAGCAAGTAGTGGTGGGCGGGGCCATTCGGTAGTGGTGGGCGGGGGCAGTCGGTAGTGGTAGGCGGGGTCAGGGGTAGCGGTGGGCGGGGTCGGTAGGGGTAGGGGTGGAGAGCGGCTTAACGACGACCACAATCCCTCTTCGGGCAGCAATATAACAATAGATCTCTTGTTGATAGCATTCATGCAGATGCATGTCGACATCTGTTGAGATACGAGGTGCCTGTGTAGCTCAGAGCGTTTAGTTAGGGCGATTAATCAGCAACCACCACTGAGTTACCTGGGTTAAATGCGAGTTTCAGTCAACTCTGATTAAACCGCTATGGTGCTATTATTGTTATTTTTTTAATGGGTTACATTACAGCTGTGAAATTCACACCATCTGTTCGGATCCCAAATGAGAATGTATCCGAGTAGAGTATGTACTCAAGCAGCAGGCAGGTTGTAGGAAAGTGCGCTCTGCCTTGTGTGGGAGGAATAACAAAACGATCCCATGTTGTCATAGTAACTGTAATGATGAGGGTCATATGCACGACATCTCGAGCATAGAGCACCAGCGCTGTGCAATGGTCCACTGCGCATTCTCTCATCGTCTCATAGACGAGTGTGCCGAATGGATTGTTTGTCTCGTTACATAACGCCCATGGCACTATTTCAATGCAACTGAACAGACGAACACATATATTAATAACTTATTTTTTCCGTCGACAAGAATTCGACATTGTGTGATAATTTTCACGTAATTTTTTGCGCGCTACTAAAGGGGTGTAATTCAGCAGTGAGGTATCGTCATTAATTTCAAGTATCCCACGAAATAAATGTTGGCACATACAATGGCGGAGCCTGGATTTTTAGGTAGGGGGGGGGGGGGGGCAACCCCTCCAGTATAATGAAAAATGATAGATGTTAGTAGTTAAGGACTTGTTTTTTAATTCAACGCGTGTGCGGCGATGGCGCAGCCATCGATCGAGGGTCAAATTCGAATCGTGTGTGATCGGCTTTTCCGTTACTCATTGCCAATTATGGACTCAGACTATTGTCCGATTATCTCATAGAGTCTCTGGCACATAATACTATGCTACACAGTGGCAGTGGGGGTCGCAAAATGCCGATGTATTACTAATAAACCCATTGATCCGATGGAAATGAGGGATTTCGATCTGATCATTGGGGGGCACGTGTCACCCCCCCCCCCCCCCCCCCCCCCACTGGCTCCGCCAGTGGGCACATACATTCCATTACGCATACCCTCTTGCGTAAGCTCAGTAGCTACTCATTTGGATAGAGCACAATTATCAAGATCGTAAAGAGCGTGAAATCTAATTCCCTGCCAAGGTCGAGTCTAGAATCCCTCCCCAATGACTGAAATAAGTTGCACAATTTCGTAGTGGGTGGGACTTGTGTGTAGTGGGTGGAACTTCTGTGTGTAGTGGGTGGTACTTCTGTGTGCAGTGGGGTGTGACTTTTGTATGTAATGGGCGGGACTTTTCTATGTAGTGGGCGGGACTTCTGTGTGTAGTGGGTGGAACTTTATGTAATTAAATCACAAGCGGAAACTACTGTACACACAATGAGCCTGAAGGATAAGTCCATCAATCCGTAGGTTCATCACACGTGATACATAACCATTATGTAATTTAACATGGGATGTACCCCTCTTCGACGGATGGTGGAAATTTTGGCGATAATTCGCATCCTCGTGTAGTTTAATTCGCTCAACATGAAAGTGGCATTGGCATCATTATTATGCATGCTCAATCCATTGCTGGAGGAAGGCCTCTCCTACGTAAAACCTTACATTTTCCAAGGACCGTTTCACCATACTGTAACTGACAAATGTGCAAAGACCCAACCACGTAGTTAACAACGAACATGGAGTACAGTCCCGAGTGAGCCCAGATATGCTGTAATCAAACCCTTATATAACCGTCTCCAGCGTTCCTGAACCTTATCAATAGATTTCACCCTTAGCCAATCAAAGGACCCTTCAATTTATGCTTACATTTCCCGTGCTTTGAGCCTTTTTAAACCGTTCAACTAATCAGCGTCGTCTCCCACCCACGCACCCACCAATCCAAAGTGCCCCTAAGCAGGCAGACAATGATCAGTGGAGCACAAGTGGTACCCACTTGAACGGCGGGGCTTAGTGCTATACACACTTTGGATACTGTATAATTAATAAGGCACTATACGAAGGGCCTGGGTTGAATTCCTGACTTGGGCACCTTCTTTGTAGAGGGTTGTATGCCCCCCCCCCCCCCCACCGCTGTTCTGAATGGGTTTTCTACAGATTCTCCATTTTCCTCCCATATGTATAAACAGAAAACTATACAAGGTAACTGGTATTGGTCAAACATCCCAATGCTCAAAAATTACCGTCCTCAATTAGGATGACAAATAGCAACATCGCTACCTACTGTGAATACTTGGCAGGACCCTCCTGAAGCAGATTATTGAGAGTCAGGCTTTCACGGTATCTACAGAATATAAAAGCCTCCCTTCGTGGCTCTTTCAAATGTATAAATGTATCGCGTTGATCACTGTATGCGTGTTTGTGTTTTTCATATGCATCCTCCTTCGTTTGGAGAAGCTCAAACTACCGGTAAGAGTTTGCGTGCAGTTTTAAGGATGAATATCAAACTGGGCATATTGTAAAGAAAATACAATACCATACTTATTAATATACAAGTAGTGTCTAAATGTAGCTGTATCTCAAAACACTGAAAAAGTAGGACGTGCTTATCACGAGAAACAAAAAAATCATGGGGGATATGCATAAATATATAAGGTGCGTACTTGCTTAACGTATTGATAATAAAGGTTTTTGGGTTAGATCGCGTTTATTTATAAATGTGCCGTAACCCTCCACCACCCGACACGGCCAATCAGCAAAAAAAGTGTCACGTTGACAAAAGACAAATAATTCACTACTGTAAATGTGGATTCACTCTTCAACACACCGGTGGGCTAAAGTAGTGAATTATTTGTCTTTTGTCAACGTGACACTTTTTTTGCTGATTGGCCGTGTCGGGTGGTGGAGGGTTACGACACATTTATAAATAAACGCGATCTAACCCAAAAACCTTTATTATGAATAATATTGGTCGCGAAAGCCTACGTGTTAAACTGCTTAACGTATGTTCACACCAAGGCTGGCACGGCCCGGTTTTATTCATTCGGGATTTACTCGGTTTTTATATAAAACCGGAGCACCTGGATCCTGCCCAAATCCGGTTTTATTCGGTTTTATTAAATTAAGTCGGGATTTCAGTCGCACGCACCCATTAGCGGCGTTCGGGCCGGGGCCCGGGCTCAGCCGACATGCGCGTGAGTCACGCACACGGCGGCATGGCCACGTCGACTGCTGCGTCTGAGAAAAAACTTCTCGACGATAGGATTTATCCATTCCAAGTTGAGGAACAGCCTGGCGCCCAACACAGTCGAGAAGCTCGTCTTCATTAAGTCGACGATGGCGACAACACCGAGTCCAGCAGCGAGAGCGACGACGATGCAGCGGCAGACGACGACGAGGAGCAGGATTGAAGTGTGCACGAGACGCCGATAATAAAACCAGGTTTTAATCGGCAAAATCGGGTTTAATTCCATTAAAACCAATAACCCGATTTGTCGGGCAAAAAAATCGTGTTTTCCCACCCTTGGTTCACATAACGCGTTTCCACTTCACACGACGCAGAACGCACCCCCCCTATAATGCGGTTTATGAGCTATCAGTTCAGTTTATTTTGGTATAGCCCTGTGAGCCATCCGGCTTTTGAATCGGGTGCAACCACAACAAACACAAAAACAAAAATACGAACAAAAAAACATCTTAAAGTGACTATGTGACTGTGCAAACAGAAAATCCATTGAAAAAATAACAGCAGAAATATTCCTGAAAAAAGCACCGTACACCAACGCTGTCTGCAAAAAATCCCAGTGGGATGCAAGTCAAACAACAACAACCACAAAAACTTAGATTAAGGCCATCAGTCTAACTCCGTACTACAACAAAACAAACATGTCCAAACCAAAAAACTTTTCCAAATCACCAAAAAAATAAAGCCATAATTGCAACGTAACAGTAATCACAAGGACTGTGACCGAATTTTTACAATAAACTACGTAAATAACATGTAACACCAAACCCTAGAGCCATATCTGGCTGCATGAGTTACTCCACAACAACAGAAACATCGGTCGGAGTATCAAATTTTTCAATGCACCTTTAAGATCAGCACGCTAAATCAAAATACAGATAATACTTTGCAGCGTCAATGAATAGCAGTGGCAGCTAGGGGTGTACAACTCCTCGAGAGCAGTTTTGAGAGAAGATCTCATTGGTAGCGATTAAAGTTGCAGTTTATTGGCAACAGCATTCCAGACTCTGGGGGCATCAATAGCAAAGGCCCTTCCTCAAGTTTTTGTACGGCAATAGGGAATGTGAAGCTGGTAAATGAGCGAAGACCTGAGGTCAAATTTGTTCTTTGAAACAGAGGAGATCCAGCAGGTAGTCTGCTGATTTTTTTTTGACGACGACCTCCTTTCTTGAGTTGCGTGGCTGAGCTTTGATACATTGCAGTAATACTCCGATTTATGTCTCCCCTTTTTATGTCGTGTCGCAAATACTTTGTCACTTTATTAACATGACTACCTGATGTGCATTGCCTCAACCCACACTTACGTCTGTGACAGCTTCATCCGTCCTTTCTCATATCAGTCACCTGCTCCCCTTAAATTTATTTGACTTACGTCATTGCAATATTCGTCGTCGCGTAGTGACAACAACCGTATCAAATTTTGATTTAAAGCTTTCGTGACTGCAGTAATTCATATTCTTAGCTCTTTCGGTAAAGTCACGTTGAAGGGAAACAATAAAATAATAATATATATAAAACAATAAAAATTCTCACGACGTTTCGACCATAACGCAAACGGTCAACATCAGGTGTGAAAAACCAACGGCAAGAAACATTTGAAAGAAGTGGCGGTTCGCATTTATTTATTTTTAAACGGCGCATTTATTTATTTTAAAAAAATACGTTAGCGCCACGGGCAGCGATTTGGCAGTTTATTTAGAAGGACGAGTCCATCTATGTTCTGAAAAGAGGAGGGGGGAGACGAAAAATTAATATATGCTGTCTGAAAGCCACCGTAAGTGTGAACAATCAATTAAGACCTGAAATGGTTTATCAAATCCTTCCAATGATTGCTAAGCCAGAATCCATCTTCTCAATTGAAATTGTCTCTGTGCTTGTATATGTGGATAGCCTCATGAACGAATCTCTCATGGTAGCCAGATGGCTTACAAACAACCTATCATCTACATACAAATAATTCACTCCCTATCAAAAAGAACCTTCGTAATTATTATACATTTTTAGCGATTCCTGATAGTTATAATAAAACTGTACTAACTTTATAACCATGTGTTTGTGTACTTGTCTATTTGAAACGTCTTCATTGCATTCTCTGGAGCAGCATCTTCAAGTCTCACCCCCAGCGGTGAGTGCTATCACTCACCAAAATGTGCACCATGGTTATGTCACGAATGTACCGAAAGATATGATTTAGTTGGAAATTGCAGTTGTTATGTGGGAAGTTTGGTAAGGATTGTGAGATGTTGGATGTACTCAGAAGTCAAATAAAAGTGGAATGTATCCAAGACTAGATTTGAAGCGTCCGTTACTGCAAGGATCCATACTCTTTGGTTCTATTCGGTAAAGTCACATAGGTAAAAAATAATACAACAAAAATCACGACGTTTCGGCCACAACACAAGTGGTCTTCATCAGGTGAAGGGACCGTGCTGTCACGAAGACAGCGTTGGAATGAAGAAAGTCAAGCCAGGTCGCGTCCTTTAAGCTGTGTGGGAGGAAACAAAACGCTTTGACAAAGGAATTAGCATAAAATGCTCATAGAGTACCGACACGGGGGGAGGGGAATTTCCAAATGTACAAATGATGGTGTGCGAGGGAATGACCGTACAGCAACGTAACGAACCAGCATGGGGGTGTGGGGGTGGGGGGGATATGGGAGGGGAGTTTACAAACGTTGTTTTGAAGGGAAATAAGCTGCTGTGAAAGTTTGGTATATCACTACTTGGATAAATATACTGTACCAGTGAAAATTAGTTTGATGTTTGGAATGATTTAGAACATCTTTCCAATGATTGCTTAATTTGAAACCATCTTCTCGGTTGAAATTGTGTCTGTGTTTGTAAATCTGAATTGCCTCGTGGACAAATCTCTGATGATAACCCATGGGTTTGCAAAGGACCTTGGTATCGGAGAACACTATATCGTGATCACCCACAGCGTTGTAACAGTGGTCAGCTATGGCAGAAGAATTCGTTCTGCCGTGTTTCAAATCTGATTTGTGCTCGCGAATTCGGTCAGAGACATGTCGCTTCGTCTCCCCGATATAGCAATCACCGCAAGTGCAGCTCAATTTGTAAACCCCGGGGTACTGTAAGTCAGGAATGACATCCTTCACGGATGGGATCAGGTCACGGATTTTGTGTACTGTTTTAAACCGGACCCGGAGCGTGTGTTTGTTTAGAATTTTGGAGATCTTTTTAGTAACGCCTGCTGTATATGGTAGTGTGATGGTTTTGACCGAAGTATCATGTACACCTGGCCCTCAAGAGAAACGGATACTCTGACCGTACCATCCGCCAAGCTGTTTCCCCCTCCATACAGAAACAACCACTTGATACTCCGGTCAAAACCATCACACTACCATATATAGCAGGCGTTACTAAAAAGATCTCCAAAATTCTAAACAAACACAAGATCCGGGTCCGGTTCAATACAGTACACAAAATCCGTGACCTGATCCCATCCGTGAAGGATGTCATTCCTGACTTACAGTACCCCGGGGATTTACAAATTGAGCTGCACTTGTGGTGATTGCTATATCGGGGAGACGAAGCGACATGTCTCTGACCGAATTTGCGAGCACAAATCAGATTTGAAACACGGCAGAACGAATTCTTCTGCCGTAGCTGACCACTGTTACAACGCTGTGGGTGATCACGATATAGTGTTCTCCGATACCAAGATCCTTTGCAAACCCATATGTTATCATCAGAGATTTGTCCACGAGGCAATTCAGATTTACAAACACAGACACAATTTCAACCGATAAGATGGTTTCAAATTAAGCAATCATTGGAAAGATGTTCTAAATCATACCAAACATTAAACTAATTTTCAATGGTACAGTATATTTATCCAAGTAGTGATATACCAAACTTTCACAGCAGCTTATTTTCCTTCAAAACAACGTTTGTAAACTCCCCTCCCATATCCCCCCCCCGTGCCAGTCCGTTACGTTGCTGTACGGTCATCCCCTCGCACACCATCATTTGTACATTTGGAAATTCCCCTCCCCCTCCCCCCGTGTCAGGTGCTCCATGAGCATTTTATGCTAATTCCTTTATCAAAGCGTTTTGTTTCCTCACACACAGCTTAAAGGACGCGGCCTGGCTTGACTTTCTTCATTCTAACGCTGTCTTTGTGACAGCACGGTCCCTTCACCTGATGAAGGCCACTTGTGTTGTGGCCCAAACGTCGTGATTTTTGTTGTTTTATTTTTTACCTACGTGACTTTACCGAATAGAACCAAAGAGTATGTATCCAAGACGTCAGGTGGAATGGAGCTTAGATAAAGGAGATAGGGTAAAGGATGTGGTTACAAGGAGAGATCACGTGGGAGTCATACTAAGCAAGTAACTTAAATAGGATATGGTCGATGTAGAGGGTGGATCAAAGCTTGATTTTGGTGACATTAAATACTGAAGATGGAATGCTCAATATGGTATAAGGTTACGCACCATGCAGGCAGGTTGTAGTGAAGAAGAAATCTGAAATTATGGAGGCCTTTCTACAATTAGTGCATGGATGTACCTGAACAAAGACTGATAGTTTGTGTAGACCGAAATGGTCGTGGGAGTAGAATGAGAAGGATTACAGGGAGTCCATGAAGACAAAACTACATTGTAAAATAAATGAAGGTAAAAAAAGAATACTGGAGATCACTGATAGTTTGGAGATATTTATTACTAACACATGATTTGAAGAGAAAGAATAACCCACACTTTAATACTCGAGTAGGGTAAATTGGAGATTGGCTTGTCTATCATGGTGAGTTCCGTTGCCAGCAAGTTACGTTTGTCATCCCGCTCTGAACAGCATGGTGAAGTATGGCAATAAAAAGCCACCTTCATCGCACGTAAGCTATGGCCCATGATTTCCCAGTATCTCTGGTTCTGCCATTCATGGAATCAGCAGGATCGGTAAAATAGCAGAGGGTGCTCAGGGGATATAGCAGGGTAAGAATGTTTAACAATTGAACCGCTGAATGCTGCATTGAAGTGTTAACATTTACACTTTCACACAAACGTGCACACGTGCACATGATTCCTTTGTCTCCAGTCCCTCTTGTCCTCCATGCTGCCATCCACGCAACGCCTGTCCTCACCCCCCTCTGCGCCCACTTTCCTTACTCGACCCCACGCTCCCTCTTGATTTATATTGTTGAGTGCAGACGTGGAATTGAGTTAACCGATTTCGGTTTTATGCGTTGGTGTCCCGAGTGGTAAAACAATATTTTGTTTCACCAATGTCAGTCCAGAAGAGGCTGATTTTAGCTTTCTGTACTCATTATAATAGTAAGTGCACTGCACTATGAATATCCGGCGATATGAGTTAAATTCCCAGGCCACGTTCAACATCAGTGACCCAGTGACCAGTGATATCTTAACCAAGCTACACGGACCAGCCGATGGGAACTGGTCATCATTGGTGACTGTAATTACCTTCATTAAGCGGCTGACCTTGTTATGATTCCCGTTTCTAGCCGTGCGGTGCCAATCAAACCCGTGCCTCAATGGAGCAACCTGCGAAGATTTAGACTGGATTTTCGCAGGATTCTACTGGTGCAATTGTCCCTCAGATTGGTACGGACAATATTGCGAAAATCCCGGTAAGTACACTTATACTGTACATTATAGTGCATTTCCTTTTTTATTTTTGTACGTCTTAAATGAACTATACATAATGTTTTACTTTCACTGCAGTTATTTTGGATGCTAAAGAAATTGGAGGAACGTTAAACGTTAGGCTATATCATATCTTTATTGTATCCATCCAACTGTACAATGATGCTATCTGTAAGCGAGGAGTAAGACCCATCAATAGAAACATTGTGCAGGCCAAAAAAACATGTTTCAATAACACAAACGTGGAAAGAGTGCTCGGCCTCTGCGCATCATGCAAAAAACATAATCAGTTCCTGAAGAAGTGCATTCTGGTTGGCTTTTAATAGGTCACAATCACAATACATTTGAGTTTACGTTGCTGTATCACTGCTGTCTGTCAGTCGGGTCACATTTGCTCAAATTTATTTTGCTGGTGACCTCAGACAAGAGGGGACCACAATGGAACTGCTCATGGTTTTTGCATGATGCACCATTTGTAAACGTTTGTGTGTGTTCTTTAAAACTCACAGTTGTACAATGCAAAGCCCTAGACACTGAAAGAGGAAGTCAACCAGATGCGAGGAATATTTGAAATAGCCATACTGAGACAGATAACAGGATTAACGAGTAGCGATAGGAGATTAAATTTTGGTGTAAAAAAAATAAACGTTTCAAAGGGACATCATGAATATCATTCAAACATATACTTGGTTCTTTCGGTAAAGTCACGTAGAAGGGAAACAATAAAATAATACGTGACTTTACCGAAATAATACGTGACTTTACCAAAAGAACCAAGAATATGAATACCTGCAGTCACGAAAGCTTTAAATCAAAATAATCCAAACAGATGATTACTTTAAATCACAGGATCGATAACAAACTTGATTTGACGCTTTCATGACTGCAGGAATTATTCCTTGGTTCTTTCGGTAAAGTCACGTAGAAATAGAAAATAATAAATTACATAATATCATACGACGTTTCGATTTCTAAGCAAGCAATCATTATCAGGTACAAATGAAGAGAACAAACCTAGTAAACTTAGAAATATAATGCAACACAGCGCAGAAAGTCGGCTGACACAGCAGTCAACACCCTACCTGGTTGATTACGTCCAAGAGACACAGAACCGGAGACACATACACAGACACACAAGCGGAAAGAGTTAACACAGAGACACAGAGAGAGAGAGACACACGAATGGGCACACAGAGAAACAACGTCTCTGTGTCGAGGCCTTAAATAGCTAGAGAGGGGGTACAGAGAGAGGGGGGGGGTTAGAAGAATTAGCATGTCAATGGGAGATCCCACAATGAGAGCTCTACCGCCAACGCTGAGGGGAGACAGAGACGGAGGCAACACTAAATCAAACTAACTTAGTAAAATTTGGAAATGTAATGTAATGCGACACAGAGTCGGTCAACACACAATCAACACATGGCCTGGTCGATTACGCCACTCCAAAGATTGCTCAATTAGAAGTTAAGTGTGAAATTTGTGAGAGAGACAAGGCACAGACATGGAGACACAAAGACAGACACACAAGCAGAGAGAGACAACAACGAGACACAGAGAGAGAGGAAAAAACAAACTTAAAACATCCCCGTAGAGGTGGTTCAAACTTGATTTGACGCTTGCGTGACTGCAGGAATTATTCTTTGGTTCTTTCGGTAAAGTCACGTAAAATAGAAAATAATCATAATAAAGTTTGAACCACCTCTACGGGGATGTTTTAAGTTTGTTTTTTCCTCTCTCTCTGTGTCTCGTTGTTGTCTCTCTCTGCTTGTGTGTCTGTCTTTGTGTCTCCATGTCTGTGCCTTGTCTCTCTCACAAATTTCACACTTAACTTCTAATTGAGCAATCTTTGGAGTGGCGTAATCGACCAGGCCATGTGTTGATTGTGTGTTGACCGACTCTGTGTCGCATTACATTACATTTCCAAATTTTACTAAGTTAGTTTGATTTAGTGTTGCCTCCGTCTCTGTCTCCCCTCAGCGTTGGCGGTAGAGCTCTCATTGTGGGATCTCCCATTGACATGCTAATTCTTCTAACCCCCCCCCTCTCTCTCTGTACCCCCTCTCTAGCTATTTAAGGCCTCGACACAGATACGTTGTTTCTCTGTGTGCCCATGCGTGTGTCTCTCTCTCTCTCTCTGTGTCTCTGTGTTAACTCTTTCCGCTTGTGTGTCTGTGTATGTGTCTCCGGTTCTGTGTCTCTTGGACGTAATCAACCAGGTAGGGTGTTGACTACTGTGTCAGCCGACTTTCTGCGCTGTGTTGCATTATATTTCTAAGTTTACTAGGTTTGTTTCTCTTTCATTTGTACCTGATGATGATTGCTTGCTTTGCAATCGAAACGTATGGTATTATGTAATTTATTATTTTTTATTTCTACGTGACTTTACCGAAAGAACCAAAGAAGGATGGATAACGTTTCTCAAACAAGCTAATGGGCCGCATAGTGTAAACGTAGGGACTCTACATATATTGTTTCCACACTTGGCAGCAGTGAATAATGGTGAAAAATCCACGCAACCACGGGGAGAACATGCAAACTCCCAATATACAGGCATTATACTCTTTGGTTCTATTGGGTAAAGTCACGTAGGTAAAAAATAAAATAACAAAAATCACGACGTTTCGGCCACAACACAAGCGGCCTTCATCAGGTGGAGGGACGAGACTGTCTGGAGGACAGCGCTGGAGTGAAAAAAGCCACGCTCAGATCACGACCTTTAAGCTGTGTGAGAAGAAACAAAGCACCTTGACAAAGGAATTAGCATATAATTTAGCATTGAAATGGCTGAGTGATTAGCTTGTGGCTAGTCACAGAAATGGCTATGTTAAAGTTAAAGCATACACATCCGCAAAGGCACCCCTTGACAAAGGAATTAGCATAGAATTTAGCGTTGAAATAGCTAAGTTAAAGTATACACATCCGCAGTGGCACCCCTTGACAAAGGAATTAGCATAGAATTTAGCATTGAAATAGCTGAGTGATTAGCTTGTAACTGGTCACAGCTATTTCAATGCTAAATTCTATGCTAATTCCTTTGTCAAGGGGTGACTCTGAGGATGTGTATACTTTAACTTAGCTATTTCAACGCTAAATTCTATGCTAATTCCTTTGTCAAGGGGTGCCTTTGCGGATGTGTATGCTTTAACTTTAACATAGCCATTTCTGTGACCAGTCACAAGCTAATCACTCAGCCATTTAAATGCTAAATTATATGCTAATTCCTTTGTCAAGGCGCTTTGTTTCTTCTCACACAGCTTAAAGGTCGTGATCTGAGCGTGGCTTTTTCACTCCAGCGCTGTCCTCCAGACAGTCTCGTCCCTTCACCTGATGAAGGCCGCTTGTGTTGTGGCCGAAACGTCGTGATTTTTGTTATTTTATTTTTTACCTACGTGACTTTACCCAATAGAACCAAAGAGTATGGATCCTTGTAGTCACGAAAGCTTTAAATCTAGAATACAGGCATTAGTCGCGATCAAACCCACGACCTCCTGTATACCAGGCGAGGTAGTTAACATCTCAACAAGAGAATCACAATGCAGTTCTCCAGGAATTTTTGATATAGTTCTTATATAGTGCATACAGGCTGAGTGCTTATTTTACATATTTCTGAGTGTTTTTTTACTTATGGTTTTCTGGCCTACACTATGTTTCTATGACGGGTTTTCTCGTTAGTTACAGATTTGTCTGAAAGCAACCTGTGTACGAACAGCAAATTTAAAGTGATGCTGGATCAGATCTGGAGCCGTGTAGGAGAGGACGAGCTTCTACACAAAACTAGACATGGAAGCCAGCTAAATGGGCATGTAATGGCATCCATGTCATTCCATGAGACTTTAATAATCACATCTTCACGATGAGAACTACAGACTCGTGTTATTATTTTGTTATTTTTATGTATCTCAATTGGCTGCAATGGCCACCAATATCATTGGTGGTGAGCATATTTGCACATACATCATGAAACAGGGATTTGTAAAACTCATTTCTAGTGGGAGTGGAGGAGCCATACCCTAGCTCGCCAGGAGAAGGCAGTATAGCAACTAGGACTAATCACCATCTGTTTCCATCTGTACAAAGATAGAACATTGTCACTTTGCGCAAGGCATGGTTTTTCTCCGGGTTCTCCGGTTTACTCCCCACTTGTATAATAAACACAACTCATCATTAATTTGATAAAAACCCAATACAACAGCAGGACCCTCCTGAAAAAGAGTCCTACAACTCAGTGTGACTTTCCTGGATTTGGAAAGTCATGCTGTTTCAGCTGACAGTTTATATGAAGGCAGGAGCTTGATCAATAACACGAGAATACTTGCACATATCTAATAAAGTGTAATATTCTAGAAGAAATATGATGCATAAATAATGAGGAGCAGTAGAGGTCAGAATGTAATAATCACACCATATTAATGTGTTTGTCTCTCTTTACATGCATTCGCTGTCATATGGATCAGTTTCCACGACATCTCCCGGTGAGTTCATGCAGTGCAACTGATGTAAACGCAGATAATTTAAAGTGATTGTGGATCAGCTGAGGAGGTGTATCAGACGGAATTAGCTTCTGCTCCAATAACAGATAGCACCTGGTTATGCAGGAACCTGCTGGTTGTTTATCTTACATAGCTCTTCATTGCATCTTCAAATTTGCATGTATAACTATAGGTAACTATCTAAAACCAAAACTATTTTTAAATGTAAATTTAATGAAAAAAATGCGCTCTAGGGCCTTGCCACCGTGGTCTGAGGGGCTGTGCTAAATGAATGTCGCTTACTATAGTTTTAATTTACAAGAATTATAAAACAAATATGAGCGTAATGGAAGGGGCGGGGTGGCAGGCAGAGCCGTCCCTAGGGAACGGTGAATAGGGGCGACCGCCCCAGGCGCTGCGCTTTGGGGGGTTCCGCGTTTTGAAGTCATGGTGTGAGATGTAATCATTCCAATTTAGTTGGAAGGCGTCGGGGGACCCAGACAGTGGCATTTTCCCCGGGGCCCCCCCCCCCCCCACCTATGGACAGCCCTGGCAGCAGTGGTGGACTGGTTCACAGGACTGTGCGATGAAACCAGCCAACTAAGTTATATCCCTGACCATGGCTACAATCCGTGATGAGTGATGTCTGCATTGGTTTGTTTCTTCTCACACAGCTTAAAGGTCGTGATCTGAGCGTGGCTTTTTCACTCCAGCGCTGTCCTCCAGACAGTCTCGTCCCTTCACCTGATGAAGGCCGCTTGTGTTGTGGCCGAAACGTCGTGATTTTTGTTATTTTATTTTTTACCTACGTGACTTTACCCAATAGAACCAAAGAGTATGGATCCTTGTAGTCACGAAAGCTTTAAATCTAGAATACAGGCATTAGTCGCGATTGAACCCACGACCTCCTGTATACCAGGCGAGGTAGTTAACATCTCAACAAGAGAATCACAATGCAGTTCTCCAGGAATTTTTGATATAGTTCTTATATAGTGCATACAGGCTGAGTGCTTATTTTACATATTTCTGAGTGTTTTTTTACTTATGGTTTTCTGGCCTACACTATGTTTCTATGACGGGTTTTCTCGTTAGTTACAGATTTGTCTGAAAGCAACCTGTGTACGAACAGCAAATTTAAAGTGATGCTGGATCAGATCTGGAGCCGTGTAGGAGAGGACGAGCTTCTACACAAAACTAGACATGGAAGCCAGCTAAATGGGCATGTAATGGCATCCATGTCATTCCATGAGACTTTAATAATCACATCTTCACGATGAGAACTACAGACTCGTGTTATTATTTTGTTATTTTTATGTATCTTAATTGTCTGCAATGGCCACCAATATCATTGGTGGTGAGCATATTTGCACATACATCATGAAACAGGGATTTGTAAAACTCAATTCTAGTGGGAGTGGAGGAGCCATACCCTAGCTCGCCAGGAGAAGGCAGTATAGCAACTAAGACTAATCACCATCTGTTTCCATCTGTACAAAGATAGAACATTGTCACTTTGCGCAAGGCATGGTTTTTCTCCGGGTTCTCCGGTTTACTCCCCACTTGTATAATAAACACAACTCATCATTAATTTGATAAAAACCCAATACAACAGCAGGACCCTCCTGAAAAAGAGTCCTACAACTCAGTGTGACTTTCCTGGATTTGGAAAGTCATGCTGTTTCAGCTGACAGTTTATATGAAGGCAGGAGCTTGATCAATAACACGAAAATACTTGCACATATCTAATAAAGTGTAATATTCTAGAAGAAATATGATGCATAAATAATGAGGAGCAGTAGAGGTCAGAATGTAATAATCACACCATATTAATGTGTTTGTCTCTCTTTACATGCATTCGCTGTCATATGGATCAGTTTCCACGACATCTCCCGGTGAGTTCATGCAGTGCAACTGATGTAAACGCAGATAATTTAAAGTGATTGTGGATCAGCTGAGGAGGTGTATCAGACGGAATTAGCTTCTGCTCCAATAACAGATAGCACCTGGTTATGCAGGAACCTGCTGGTTGTTTATCTTACATAGCTCTTCATTGCATCTTCAAATTTGCATGTATAACTATAGGTAACTATCTAAAACCAAAACTATTTTTAAATGTAAATTTAATGAAAAAAATGCGCTCTAGGGCCTTGCCACCGTGGTCTGAGGGGCTGTGCTAAATGAATGTCGCTTACTATAGTTTTAATTTACAAGAATTATAAAACAAATATGAGCGTAATGGAAGGGGCGGGGTGGCAGGCAGAGCCGTCCCTAGGGAACGGTGAATAGGGGCGACCGCCCCAGGCGCTGCGCTTTGGGGGGTTCCGCGTTTTGAAGTCATGGTGTGAGATGTAATCATTCCAATTTAGTTGGAAGGCGTCGGGGGACCCAGACAGTGGCATTTTCCCCGGGTCCCCCCCCCCCCACCTATGGACAGCCCTGGCAGCAGTGGTGGACTGGTTCACAGGACTGTGCGATGAAACCAGCCAACTAAGTTATATCCCTGACCATGGCTACAATCCGTGATGAGTGATGTCTGCATTGGTTTGTTTCTTCTCACACAGCTTAAAGGTCGTGATCTGAGCGTGGCTTTTTCACTCCAGCGCTGTCCTCCAGACAGTCTCGTCCCTTCACCTGATGAAGGCCGCTTGTGTTGTGGCCGAAACGTCGTGATTTTTGTTATTTTATTTTTTACCTACGTGACTTTACCCAATAGAACCAAAGAGTATGGATCCTTGTAGTCACGAAAGCTTTAAATCTAGAATACAGGCATTAGTCGCGATTGAACCCACGACCTCCTGTATACCAGGCGAGGTAGTTAACATCTCAACAAGAGAATCACAATGCAGTTCTCCAGGAATTTTTGATATAGTTCTTATATAGTGCATACAGGCTGAGTGCTTATTTTACATATTTCTGAGTGTTTTTTTACTTATGGTTTTCTGGCCTACACTATGTTTCTATGACGGGTTTTCTCGTTAGTTACAGATTTGTCTGAAAGCAACCTGTGTACGAACAGCAAATTTAAAGTGATGCTGGATCAGATCTGGAGCCGTGTAGGAGAGGACGAGCTTCTACACAAAACTAGACATGGAAGCCAGCTAAATGGGCATGTAATGGCATCCATGTCATTCCATGAGACTTTAATAATCACATCTTCACGATGAGAACTACAGACTCGTGTTATTATTTTGTTATTTTTATGTATCTCAATTGGCTGCAATGGCCACCAATATCATTGGTGGTGAGCATATTTGCACATACATCATGAAACAGGGATTTGTAAAACTCATTTCTAGTGGGAGTGGAGGAGCCATACCCTAGCTCGCCAGGAGAAGGCAGTATAGCAACTAGGACTAATCACCATCTGTTTCCATCTGTACAAAGATAGAACATTGTCACTTTGCGCAAGGCATGGTTTTTCTCCGGGTTCTCCGGTTTACTCCCCACTTGTATAATAAACACAACTCATCATTAATTTGATAAAAACCCAATACAACAGCAGGACCCTCCTGAAAAAGAGTCCTACAACTCAGTGTGACTTTCCTGGATTTGGAAAGTCATGCTGTTTCAGCTGACAGTTTATATGAAGGCAGGAGCTTGATCAATAACACGAGAATACTTGCACATATCTAATAAAGTGTAATATTCTAGAAGAAATATGATGCATAAATAATGAGGAGCAGTAGAGGTCAGAATGTAATAATCACACCATATTAATGTGTTTGTCTCTCTTTACATGCATTCGCTGTCATATGGATCAGTTTCCACGACATCTCCCGGTGAGTTCATGCAGTGCAACTGATGTAAACGCAGATAATTTAAAGTGATTGTGGATCAGCTGAGGAGGTGTATCAGACGGAATTAGCTTCTGCTCCAATAACAGATAGCACCTGGTTATGCAGGAACCTGCTGGTTGTTTTTCTTACATAGCTCTTCATTGCATCTTCAAATTTGCATGTATAACTATAGGTAACTATCTAAAACCAAAACTATTTTTAAATGTAAATTTAATGAAAAAAATGCGCTCTAGGGCCTTGCCACCGTGGTCTGAGGGGCTGTGCTAAATGAATGTCGCTTACTATAGTTTTAATTTACAAGAATTATAAAACAAATATGAGCGTAATGGAAGGGGCGGGGTGGCAGGCAGAGCCGTCCCTAGGGTACGGTGAATAGGGGCGACCGCCCCAGGCACTGCGCTTTGGGGGGTTCCGCGTTTTGAAGTCATGGTGTGAGATGTAATCATTCCAATTTAGTTGGAAGGCGTCGGGGGACCCAGACAGTGGCATTTTCCCCGGGTCCCACCCACCTACGGACAGCCCTGGCAGCAGTGGTGGACTGGTTCACAGGACTGTGCGATGAAACCAGCCAACTAAGTTATATCCCTGACCATGGCTACAATCCGTGATGAGTGATGTCTGCATTGGTCACCAACCATGACTGATCAGCACGGTGAAGTATGGTCAGACAACCCCGAGGCTTTCATCCAGCAGTGGAGTGACAAACTCTGACATTTATTCCAACTGTTAAGAGACTGACACTGTCAGATGAAATGACGCTGCTACAGAGAGCATACTGCGTGAACTGATGATGAGATTAAAAAAAAATACCAGATCCAAGGCATAATTGTGGTACCGGTACGTGTAGGATCTGCATGCGTATCGAGCCCGTGCCAAAACGGCGGAACCTGCATTGCGGAGTGGACGTTCGGGTGGAACCCTCCACGCCCCTACTGGTGCTACTGCAGCATGTTCTGGTCTGGCCCGGATTGTGAATATTGGTGTGAGTATGGTTTTCAGTTGTACTTCGTTGTGCATGAGTATTTGTCTTTTTGTAAATCTATATATATAAAAGAGAAATATGTGAATATGTGTTTGTTCAAAATATTTAGCGTACTTCCCAACATGCAACAAACTTTGCCATGTGGGTACTTTCCAGACTGTACACCATGCAAAAAGTATAAAAATAGACTTTTGTATTTTTTTTGGGGGGGCGGGGCGCAAGAATGCATATCTTTTGCACGCCAAGTGAGCTGTGACGTCACACCACTGTCAAAAAAAATGTGTTGCAGGTCTAAGGCGTTCTTCGCGCAGCATTGCTTTATTATTTCAGTCGTTTACTGCCGTACGCACCCTCAAAGTTGTGTGTGTTTGCAGCAAGCGCGTGTATGTGTACCTATGGACGCGCTCGCGTGTGTGTGTCGGTGGAGTGGTAGTGTAGTGGTTTGCGCTACGCTGCGCTACGAACCCGGCGACCCGAGTTGGATTCCCGCTCACGGCCACCACCGGTGATAATTATTTGAACCGGTACTGGGCCTCCCCTAGGTCGACTCAGCCTCAAAGGAGTAACTGGTGTGGTGTGTGAACATCGCCACTGGGGAGACAAAGGCGGCCGGGCGTGGTGAATCCAAGTCCCGGGCGAAGCCGGGTAGTAAAGCTTGTACAGAATATATGAACCAGAGTCATAATTAATAATTGGGCTATTTTGTGTGAGGTCATGTAAAAACGTAAAAAAGAAATACAATTTAACTGTCACCATACTTATCTTTGTAGGATATTAAAACCAAATAAAATAATATATACATTTACAAATTCTGCTTGCAATGTTTACTCTAGGCCTGAAAGATAATATGATGAACTGAGATTTTTAGATGGAGTGCCATAGTATTCGGGACACTTTTGATGATGATGATTTGAAAACGGTGGAGGTGGTGATGGTGAGGAATTCAAGAGGATGACTGCTCGGGAGATGCAGGTGTTTGATAACAATGCAAAGTTCTTATATATTTAACACTGGGAAGCGCTAGCCGCAACACCTTCCTTGATTGCATTCCCATTTTTAATAGTCCTCACAGTGGACTCGTTTATACCAAAATGTATAAACGAGTCGACTGTAAGTACCTATAAAGTAAAAGAGCGAGTTCAGAGCGGGATCACTGCGAGACTTCACGACAAGGGGGCAGCCGAGCAGGCATGCCGAATCTTCGCAGATAGTTTCAAATATAAAACTCTGCGTGCATCTCCCCGGTGTTGGTAGTCTGGCACTACGTACACTCGTGCATACTCGAGCCTGGCAGGTCGCGAATAAGGAATTCGTATACAGGAAGAGGTTTTACCCTTTTAACTGGCACAAAAAACTGACACCTTTATTCAAGGCATCATGTTTGCAATAACCACAACACAAGCAGTCAAAATGCAAACAAAAAAGACAACTCTGATAATAATATGCACTGTCCTTGAATTTGATCGGTCCACACCCAAGACAGCTTTTCTTAGAGCCTAGTCTCCATTGGTGTTGGACCAGAAGACGCCAAAAGTCGTACAACTCAAAACCTATTCCTATATCTTGTTACTGGCAAAGGAGGTCTCATAATGAATTCGTATACATTTAGTAACTCTCGAATATACAAATCCAGAACCCGTGCAGAGCAATGATTAACTGTATTTTCATCCATTAGCAAGCACACCATACTCTTTGGTTCTTTCGGTAAAGTCACGTAGTTAGAAATAAAATAAAACATTCACCATGCTACGGAGAAGGTCTCAATTTAACTTCCAGTGAGACCTTGCAATGCATCTTATAAAAAACGCAATAATGCATCTTATGAAAATCCTGGCTCAGATGAGGATCTGTGTAGGATGGGACAATCTTCTACACCAACCAAGAAATATCGTTAGTTAAGCAGACACCTGTTGATAGTTGTTTTGACATGGTTTTCCATTGTAGGTTCAAATTCACACCGAGAACTATCTGAAATTGCATAAAACATTTTAAGAAAATGTAAATTTCTGGCAATCAGTTCATAAAACAAATACGGTCTGGAGCTTTAGTGTGGGGGACTGAAGGGCTATGCTATTAATGGTCTGAAGGACTGAGATTTCAGTCCATGGTTAACATAATGGACGAGTGGTATCTGAATTGGTCCTAGGGCTCCCTTTTCCCGTCTAAACACTGTAATACAATGCCTCTATCTCTTTACATGTATTCATCGTCATATGGAGCAGCTCCGTGGTCAACTGTCGGTGAGATCTTGCAATGCAACGTGTGTAAACACAACATATTTAAAGTGGTACTGGCTCAGATGATAAGCTGTGTAGGACAGGACGAGCTTCCACACCAACCAGAGATTGCACCTAGTTAAGTAGGCACCTGCTGATTGTTTTTTCTGATATGAACCTCATGACGGGACCCCGGGGTCCCGAATAAACGGAAGTCAAAATCGTAATTAAATAATGTAATTTTGGCGACTCCGCCCCACTGTGCACATAATCGCCGCGACCCACCTGGTGCGGATCATTCTGCTGTCATGTCGTGCAAGCGCAGCGAGGACGAATGCGCAGAAGAAACACAACTTTGAAACCTTGATTAGCGCATCGCGCAGAGCTCGTCGATACGAATAGATTGTTCGTATCGTTCGCCTTCAACAGACAAAATGACGTCCAACGCAGTTTATGCAAGAGCCGGGGGCTTATGGGACCCCGGGGTCCCGCCATAAGGGTCACATGGCTTTCCATTGTATCTTCAAGTTCACATCTTTGACTATAAGCAATTGCATACGACATAGTTTAAAAAAAAAACTATTATTTTAGAAAATCAGTGCATGAAACCAAAACGTATAAATGTTCTGATATGTGCATTGTCTTTGTACTGCTCGCCTTTTCCCATTCTCTGTTCTAACGCTGGTGAGACTAGGCCATAAAGAAGCTTGTCTCTGGTGTAGGCCAATCAGTTTCAAAGACAATGCCATATATTATCAGAGCATGTTTGTTTGCACGTTCACCACAAGAACGTGTGATTAATGCAGACTTCATTCCCTGCAAAAGGTTTATATTTAGTGTTTGGACATCTTAACAAATGTATTGTCAGAAAGGGTAAAACCTATTGTTTTTTTATTTTGATACTGGCAAAAGGGTCCCATGATATAATAACAAGTTTTGGAGCTTTGGTGCAGTGGTCTGAAGGACTGTGCTATGAATGGTCTGAAGGACTGAGTTAGATTCGAGTCTATGATTAACATAACTGATGAGTGGAATCTGAATTGATCCGATGAGATCTTTCCAGTCATGTCAATTAAAAGTGAAAACTGGAGGCAGTGATTGTCTACAAATACAAGTAAATGGACCACCTTGCGGTTTAGTTTCTTTTGCATCTTCTTTACCTACAGCCACCAGTTTCTCGGGAGGTCAGATAAATTGTGCACCATTCTCGAAAACGGGCGATTATAAAGTGATGGTATCTGACTTGAAATGTTTGCAAAAGCAGGAGCTCGATCCCTAACAATAGAATGAGCATCATACTGAAGTATTCCAGGACGTATTTTCTACATACATCCTTTGGAACACTAGAGTTCATCACTTAATGATCACACCATGTGTACATGTTTGTGTCTCTTTACATATATTCACCATCATGTGGAGCAGCTGCTACAACAACTCCCGGTAAGATATTGCAGCACAACTCTTAGATGCAGCATATTGAAACTGATGCTGACTCAGCTATGGCGCTGTGTAGGACAGGCCTAGTTTCTACACCAACAAGGTAGCACCTAGTTAAGCGGGCACTTGCTGGTTATTTTTTGTAATATAGCTTCCCATTGCATCTTCAAACCACGTCTATTACTATAGGCAACTATAGAAAATAATATTTAAATATTGTTTTTACTTGTGACATTAAATTTGTGAAACCAAGATGGTGTAGGGCTTTGGTGCAGTGTTCTGCAGGACTGTGCGATGAACCCAGCAAAGTGAGTTAGATCCCTGTCCATGGTTAACATCAATGAGTAGTGATATCTGAATTGGTACTATGTTCCCATCTCACCCTCACATTCCTATTTGTCTCATTACATGTCTTCATTGTTGTACGGAGCAGCTGCTACTACAACTGCCGGTGAGATCTTGTAATGCAACTTGTGTAGATCAAGAATATTATATGTGACGCTGACTCAGCTATGGAGCTGTGTACCAGTCCTAGCTTCTATATCAACCGGAGATTGCATCTATTTAAGCAGGCACTTGATATGTTTTTTTTCTTTTACATAGCTTTCCAATTCATCTTCCGATCACAATTATAGCTGTAGACAATAGAATAAAACATTGTTTCCATTTAAATGAATAAGTTCATGAATCAAATATAGCGTGAGGCCTTGGTGTAGTGGCTTGAAGGCCTGTGCTATCAACCCAGAGAACTGAGTCAAAATTCTCGTTCGTGGCCAACATCACTGATGGGAGTGATATCGCAATAGTTCCTAGGATCGCATTTTACCATCCAACACCAAGTAGAGTGTCTGCCTCTTTACATGTCCACATGTCCTCAGTATTATACGGAGCAGCTTCTACAACTCTCCGTGAGATCTTGCAATGTAACTCTTGCAGATGCAGACTATTTAAAGTGATGCTTGTTAAGCTGAACAGCTGCGTAGGACAGGACTAGCTTGAATGCCAAACAAGACGTGGAACACAATTAATTAGGCATATTGCATTCTCTAACATTTTTCCACTCGACTCCAAAAAAAGATTAAAAGTAATGCTGTTTCACTGGAGTCTTTTGCAACTGTAGGACCTAAGCATATAACACTCAAGTTTTATATTCTAGGACAAATATTCTCCATAAATCATGAAGAGTTATAGCGTTCAGACATGACATATTTACGTGTTTGTCTCTCTTTGCATGTATTCACCAATTGGAGCAGCTCTCACTACAACTGCTGGTAGGTTCATGCAAAACAACTTGTTTACAGACATAATATTGAAAGTGATGCTGACTCGGCTAAGGAGCTGTGTAGGACAGGACTAGCTTCTACACCAAGATAGCACTTAGTTAAGCAGGCACTTGCTGATTCTTGTCCTTATATTACTCCTCTGTCTATATCAAAATACATCTATCACTCTAGACAACTGTAGAAAGCAAGATTCATGAAAAATGTTGACTTGCGATGCTAAGTTCGGAAAGCAAATGCAGTGCTATGCACGACTGAGCAATGAACCCAGCGAAGTGAGTTAGATCCCTGTTGTTGTTGTTGTTGTTTTCCTCGCACTTTCTATTCATAGGTAGCGTTGTATCGCCACTTTAGATCCCTATTCACGGTAAACATCGAGTAATGTCTGAAATGGTGGTGTTCCCATTGCACCATCAAATGTCGATCTGTTTCTTCACATGTATTTCCCATCATATGGAGCAGCTGAAGGAACTTTTGCCGGTGAGATCTTACAACGCAACTTGTGTACAGACAGAATATTGAAATTGATGCTGACTCAGCTATGGCGCTGTGTAGGACAGGCCTAGTTTCTACACCAACAAGGTAGCACCTAGTTAAGCGGGCACTTGCTGGTTATTTTTTGTAATATAGCTTCCCATTGCATCTTAAAACCACGTCTATTACTATAGGCAACTATAGAAAACAATATTTAAACATTGTTTTTACTTGTGACATTAATTTGTGGAACCAACATGGTGTGGGGCTTTGGTGCAGTGTTCTGCAGGACTGTGCGATGAACCCAGCAAAGTGAGTTAGATCCCTGTCCATGGTTAACATCACTGAGTAGTGATATCTGAATTGGTCCTATGTTTTCATTTCACCCTCACATTCCTATTTTTCTCATTACATGTCTTCATTGTCGTACAAAGCTTCTGCTACGACAGCTGTCGGTGAGATCTTGCAACGCAAGACAAATGTATTATTGCTGCAGACAAATGTATTAAAGCGTTTAAAAAATGAGCATTCGTAATATTAAGATAATACATCAAATATGGTGTGACGCCTTGGTGTAGTGGGTTGAAGGGCTATGCTATGCACCCAGGGAACTGAGACAGATTCCCGTTTGGAGCCAACATTACTGAGTGATATCTCAATAGTTCCTAGGACTCCATTTTACCATCCAACACCAATTACAATGCCTGTTATTCTCTTTACATGTCCTCGTTGTCATACGGAGCAGCTCCAACGACAACTATAGGTAAGATCTTGCAACGCAACTCGCGCAGATAAAACACATTGAAAGTGACGCGGACTCAGCTGAGGAACTGCATAGGACAGCACCAGCTTCTACAACAACAGGAGACAGCACCTAGTTTAGCAGGCACTGGCTGTGTTTTTTCTCTTACTTAGCTTTCCATTGTATCTTCCAATCACAATTATCGTTGTAGACAACTTTATTAAAGATTTTTTTCTTGAAGATATGAAGTTCATAAATCAAATATGATGTGAGGCCTTGGTGCAGTGGCCTTAAGGGCTCTGCTATGAACTCAGAGAACTGATTAGATTCCCACTTGTGGATATCTCAATATGCTTAGTGCCCCATTTTACCATCCAACACCAATTAGAATTCATAATAAAGGTTTTTGGATTAGATCGCGTTATTTATAAATGTGTCGTAACCCTCCACCACCCGACACGGCCAAACAGTAAAAACATTATCACGTTTACAAAGGACAAATAGTTCACTACTTTAGCCCACCGGTGTGTTAAAGAGTGAATCGACATCATTTAAAATTTGAGTACGACGTTTCGCTGGCAATTACATCCAGCATCATCGGGCAATTCGCCAGAATGGTAAAGCCTTCACTTGCTCCCGGTCTTAAATAGAGCAGCAGGGTGACGTCATCATTTAACTCCAATTCGAATTCCTGTTTGTCTCTCTACATGACCTGATTGTCATACGGAGCAGTTGCTATAGCAACTACAGGCGAGATCTTGCAATGCAAGTCGTGTAGATACATCACATTGAAAGTGGTGCTGCCTAAGCTGAAGAGCTGTGTCGGACAGTACTAACTTGTACACTAAACAAGACGTGGAACCAAGATAATACATTAATAGCTTACTTTATGAGACCTTGTCAATCATGTCAATTAAAAGTATGAATTGGAGGCTAGTGATTGGCTATTTATGAAAAGTAAAACGGATCACCTTGTGGTTCAGATTATTTCACTTATCATCATTACCTTCGACATCCAGAGTACCTCGGGTTGTGCGATAATTTGTGAAATACGGTATGGGGATTTGGTGCGATATATCCAGCGAAGCTAGTTAGATCCCCATCCATGGTTAACATCACCAAGTAGTGATATCTGCATTGGTCATATGTTCCAATTTCACCAAAAAATGCCTATTTGTCTCATTACATGTCTGCATTGTCGTGGAGAGCAGCTGCTACAACAACTCCTGGTGAGAGCTTGCAACGCAACTCGTGTATATAAAGAATATTGAATGTGACGCTGGCCGGGGTCAGGAGCTGTATAAGACAGGCCTAGCTTCAACACCAGAAAGAGGTCGCGCAGAGTTACGCAGCACTTGCCATGTTTTATATCTTAAGTAGCTTTATTTTGTATGTTCATATCAAAATTATAACTGGAGGCAACTGTATTAATGCATTTGTTTTATTATACATTTGTAATATTAAGCTCATACGTCAAATATGGTATGAGGCTTCGGTTTAGTTGCCTGTAGGGCTATGCTATGAACCCAGAGAACTAAGTTAGATCTCGCTGAGATCTTGCACACCAACTCCTGCAGATGTAGCAAAATGAAAGTGATGCTGGCTAAGCTAAAGAGCTTAACAGCACTAACTTCTACACTTATCAAGCTGTGAAAGCAATATTAATGGGGATGGTAAAAGTGAGAACTGGAGGCAGTAATTGGCTATTAATACAAATAAAATGGACCCCATTGTGGTTTAGTTTATTTCACACATCTACTTTGCCTATAGCCACCAGTTTCTCTGGAGGTGAGATAAATTGTGCACCATTCAAGAATACAGACGTTTATAGAGTGATGGTATACGAGTTTAAAGGTTCAAAGGCAGGAGCTCGATCCATAACAATCAAATACATGTCCATCATACTGAAGTGAAATATTCCAGGACATGTTCTTCATTGATCATTAAGAGAAACAGAGTTCATCAATTAATAATCACACCACAATAACGTGTTTGTGAATCTTTACATATATTCTCACCATCATACGGAGCAGCTCCTACGACAACTCCTGGTGAGATCTTGCAATACATCGCGTGTAGATGCAGATGATTGAAAGTGATGCTGACTCGGCTAAGGAGCTGTGTAGGACAGGACTAGCTTCTACACCAATAAGAGATAGCGCTGAGTTAAGCAGGCCCTTGCTCTTTTTTATGTTTTGTAACTTTCCATTGTATCTTGAAATCAAAATGATAGCTGCAGGCAACTGTATCAAAGAATTAAAAAATATATATACATTAGTAATATTAAGTTCTTACATCAAATATGGTGTGAGGCCTTGGTGGGTTGAAGGGCTATGCTATGCACCCAGAGAACTGAGTCAGATTCCCGTTTGGAGCCAACATCACTTTGATATCTCTATAGTTCCTAGAACCCGATAAATGTGTCGTTAAAACCCGTCACCACCCGACACAGCCAACTAGTAAATGTTGTCACGTAAACAAAACATGCCATTTCGTCACTCGTACTGCACACCGGTGTGTTGTAGAGCCAAGCCACTATATTTACAATCTGAGTACGACGTTTCGCCAGTACTTACAACTAGCTTCATCAGGCGACAGCCAGATTTGTGGAGAAGTCTGAACAATTTCGTTCCTTATATAGAGGCGTAGATGTGTCGACCACCCTTCTGCGCTCTTGCACAATGTGTGGGGGATTACTGAGGCAACGTACATTATGCATGCGCATTATGAACTTGTCCTTCCTGTCTATTGTGTTTATTATAATAGCCCTACCAACGGTAATCGCTATTGAAGTATGCTGCCCTTTGTCGCAATGCATTTACATAATGTATTATTTGATAAATCGCTTGCACTCAGCACTAAGGCGGTAGCTATCTGAACGGTTAAAGTTATTTTGATTTCTTTCAATTTCGATAGATTATCCAATCAGTCTTGGCCAGTAGTAGCTATTTTTGAACAAAACTTAAACATTATCAAAATTAATTGAGTGTCCTTGTTGGCGCGCGTGTTCTTCTACTGCTGACAGTTGTATTTGGGATGATTTTATGTTTCTCTGATGTTCTTTTAGTCTCGTGCTGATCATTCGTTCTGTTTGCCCAACATAACATTAACAACACGTGCAGTTAATCCTGTACACACTTTCTGTTGATAGCTTCGGTTATACATCTTTTGTACCCGATATTAATTTCTGTATTTTATGTACCGTGCCAAATCTGACTCGGATGTTTTATTTTCCCCAACATCTGGCTAGTTTATCAGTTACTCCCGCAATGTACGGTATTTTGATCGTATTAATTAATTGGGCAGTTTCAATGCTCGTGTTATTTTATTTGGTTTCGGTATTAAATGCCCTGTTGATTTGTGCATCATTGTAACCGTTCATTTGCAGCGCCTCTTTAACATGTTGAATTTCACTTCTCAGACTGTCACCACCTGACACTTTCTTAGCTCGATGAATGAACGTTTTGATAAGAGTAGATTTCCGTGTGGGGTGATGGTCGCGAAAGCCTACGTGTTAAACTGACCAATTAAAATGCCTGTTTGTCTATTTACATGTACTCTTTGTTATATTGGGCAGCTCCTACGACAACTCCAGGTAAGATCTTGCGATGCAACTCATGTAGATGCAGCAAATTGAAAGTGATGCTGGCTAAGCTGAAGAGCTGTGTAGGACAGTTACTAACTTAAACACCAACCAAGACGTGGAACCAAGATAATCACTTCACAGGTTAGTCTGTGAGACCTTTTCAGTCATGTCAATTAAAAGTGAGAACTGGAGGCTAGTGATTGGCTATTAATACAAATAAAATGGACCCCCTTGTGGATTAGTTAATTTCACACGTCTACTTTACCTATAGCCACCAGTTTCTCTGGAAGTGAGATAAATTGTGCACCATTCAAGAATACAGACGTGTATAGACTGATGGTATACTAGTTTAAATGTTCAGGCAGGAGCTCGATCCCTAACAATCAAATACATGTCCATCATACTGAAGTGAAATATTCCAGGACATTCTTCATTAATCATTAAGAGAAATAGAGTTCATCAATTAATAATCACACCACATTAACGTGTTTGTGTATCTTTGCATATATTCTCACCATCATACGGAGCAGCTCCTACGACAACTCCTGGTGAGATCTTGCAACACATCACGTGTAGATGCAGATTATTGAAAGTGATGCTGACTCGGCTAAGGAGCTGTGTAGGACAGGACTAGCTTCTACACCAACAAGAGATAGCACTGAGTTAAGCAGGTACTTGCTCTTTTTTCTAGCCTACATAGCGTTCCATTGTATCTTGAAATCAAAATTATTGCTGCAGACAAATGTATTAAAGCGTTTGAAAAATAAGCATTCATAATATTTAGATAATACATAAAATATGGTGTGACGCCTTGGTGTAGTGGGTTGAACGGCTATGCTATGCACCCAGGGAACTGAGACAGATTCTCGTTTGGAGACAACATCACTGAGTGATATCTCATTAGTTCCTAGGACCCCATTTTACCATCTAACACCAAATACAATGCCTGTTATTCTCTTTACATGTCCTCGTTGTCATACGGAGCAGCTCCTACGACAACTATAGTTAAGATCTTGTAACGCAACTCGCTCAGATAAATCACATTGAAAGTGACGCTGACTCAGCTGAGGAACTGCATAGAACAGCACCAGCTTCTACAACAACAGGAGACACCACCTAGTTTAGCAGGCACTGGCTGTGTTTTTTCTCTTACTTAGCTTTCTATTGTATCTTCCAATCACAATTATCGTTGTAGACAATGTTACAGATTTTTTTCTTGAAGATGTGAAGTTCATAAATCAAATATGATGTGAGGCCTTGGTGCAGTGACCTTAAGGGCTCTGCTATGAACTCAGATAACTTATTAGATTCCCACTTGTGAATATCACTGAGAAGTGATATCTCAATATTCTTAGTGCCCCATTTTACCATCCAACACCAATTAGAATTCATAATAAAGGTTTTTGGGTTAGATCGCGTTATTTATAAATGTGTCGTAACCCTCCACCACCCGACACGGCCAAACAGTAAAAAATTTAGCACGTTTACAAAGGACAAATAGTTCAATACTTTAGCCCACCGGTGTGTTAAAGAGTGAATCAACATCATTTAAAATTTGAGTACGACGTTTCGCTGGCAATTACATCCAGCATCATCGGGCAATTCGCCAGAATGGTAAAGCCCTCACTTGCTCCCGGGCTTACATAGAGCAGCAGGGTGACGTCATCATTTAACTCCAATTAGAATGCCTGCTTGTCTCTCTACATGACCTGATTGTCATACGGAGCAGTTGCTATGGCAACTACAGGTGAGATCTTGCAATGCAAGTCGTGTAGATACATCACATTGAAAGTGGTGCTGCCTAAGCTGAAGAGCTGTGTCGGACAGTACTAACTTGTACACTAAACAAGACGTGGAACCAAGATAATACATTAATAGCTTACTTTATGAGACCTTACCAATCAGGTCAATTAAACGTATGAATTGGAGGCTAGTGATTGGCTATTTATGAAAAGTAAAACGGATCACCTTGTGGTTCAGTTTATTTCACTTATCTTCATTACCTTCGACATCCAAAGTACCTCGGGTTGTGCGATAATTTGGGAAATACGGTATGGGGATTTGGTGCGATATATCCAGCGAAGCTAGTTAGATCCCCATCCATGGTTAACATCACCGACTAGTGATATCTGCATTGGTCCTATGTTCCCGTTTCACCAAAAAATGCCTATTTGTCTCATTACATGTCTGCATTGTCGTGGAGAGCAGCTGCTACAACAACTCCTGGTGAGAGCTTGCAACGCAACTCGTGTAGATAAAGAATATTGAATGTGACGCTGGCCGGGGTCAGGAGCTGTATAGGACAGGCCTAGCTTCAACACCAGAAAGAGGTCGCACAGAGTTACGCAGGCACTTGCCATGTTTTATATCTTAAGTAGCTTTATTTTGTATGTTCATATAAAAATTATAACTGGAGGCAACTGTATTAATGCATTTGTTTTATTATACATTTGTAATATTAAATTCATACGTCAAATATGGTATGAGGCTTCGGTTTACTTGCCTGTAGGGCTATGCTATGAACCCAGAGAACTAAGTTAGATCTCGCTGAGATCTTGCACACCAACTCCTGCAGATGTAGCAAAATGAAAGTGATGCTGGCTAAGCTAAAGAGCTTAACAGCACTAACTTCTACACTTATCAAGCTGTGAAAGCAATATTAATGGGGATATAAATAAATAAATTCATCAATTATTCTATGAGACCTTACCAGCCATGTATGATAAAAGTGATCACTGGAGGCAGTAATTGTCTATTAATACAAATAAAATGGACCCCATTGTGGTTTAGTTTATTTCACACATCTACTTTACCTATAGCCACCAGTTTCTCTGGAGGTGAGATAAATTGTGCACCATTCAAGAATACAGACGTTTATAGAGTGATGGTATACGAGTTTAAAGGTTCAAAGGCAGGAGCTCGATCCCTAACAATCAAATACATGTCCATCATACTGAAGTGAAATATTCCAGGACATGTTCTTCATTGATCATTAAGAGAAACAGAGTTCATCAATTAATAATCACACCACAATAACGTGTTTGTGAATCTTTACATATATTCTCACCATCATACGGAGCAGCTCCTACGACAACTCCTGGTGAGATCTTGCAATACATCGCGTGTAGATGCAGATGATTGAAAGTGATGCTGACTCGGCTAAGGAGCTGTGTAGGACAGGACTAGCTTCTACACCAATAAGAGATAGCGCTGAGTTAAGCAGGCCTTTGCTCTTTTTTTATGTTTTGTAACTTTCCATTGTATCTTGAAATCAAAATGATAGCTGCAGGCAACTGTATCAAAGAATTAAAAAATATATATACATTAGTAATATTAAGTTCTTACATCAAATATGGTGTGAGGCCTTGGTGGGTTGAAGGGCTATGCTATGCACCCAGAGAACAGAGTCAGATTCCCGTCTGGAGCCAACATCACTGTGATATCTCAATCGTTCCTAGAACCCGATTTTACCATCCAACACCAATTAAAATCCATAATAGAGGTTTTTGGGTTAGATCGCGTAAATATATAAATGTGTCGTTAAAACCCATCACCACCCGACACAGCCAAACTAGTAAATGTTGTCACGTAAACAAAACATGCCATTTCGTCACTCGTACTGCACACCGGTGTGTTGTAGAGCCAAGCCACTATATTTACAATCTGAGTACGACGTTTCGCCAGTACTTACAACTAGCTTCATCAGGCGACAGCCAGATTTGTGGAGAAGTCTGAACTATTTCGTTCCTTATATAGAGGCGTAGATGTGTCGACCACCCTTCTGCGCTCTTGCACAATGTGTGGGGGATTACTGAGGCAACGTACATTATGCATGCGCATTATGAACTTGTCCTTCCTGTCTATTGTGTTTATTTTAATAGCCCTACCAACGGTAATCGCTATTGAAGTATGCTGCCCTTTGTCGCAATGCATTTACATAATGTATTATTTGATAAATCGCTTGCACTCAGCACTAAGGCGGTAGCTATCTGAACGGTTAAAGTTATTTTGATTTCTTTCAATTTCGATAGATTATCTAATCAGTCTTGGCCAGTAGTAGCTATTTTTGAACAAAAATTAAACATTATCAAAATTAATTGAGTGTCCTTGTTGGCGCGCGTGTTCTGCTACTGCTGACAGTTGTATTTGGGATGATTTTATGTTTCTCTGATGTTCTTTTAGTCTCGTGCTGATCATTCGTTCTGTTTGCCCAACATAACATTAACAACACGTGCAGTTAATCCTGTACACACCTTCTGTTGATAGCTTCGGTTATACATCTTTTATACCCGATATTAATTTCTGTATTTTATGTACCGTGGCAAATCTGACTCGGATGTTTTATTTTCCCCCAACATCTGGCTAGTTTATCAGTTACTCCCGCAATGTACGGTATTTTGATCGTATTAATTAATTGGGCAGTTTCAATGCTCTTGTTATTTTATTTGGTTTTGGTATTAAATGCCCTGTTCATTTGTGCATCATTGTAACTGTTCCTTTGCAGCGCTTCTTTAACATGTTGAATTTCACTTCTCAGTAGATTTCCGTGAGGGGTGATGGTCGCGAAAGCCTACGTGTTAAACTGACCAATTAAAATGCCTGTTTGTCTATTTACATGTACTCTTTGTTATATTGGGCAGCTCCTACGACAACTCCAGGTAAGATCTTGCGATGCAACTCATGTAGATGCAGCAAATTGAAAGTGATGCTGGCTAAGCTGAAGAGCTGTGTAGGACAGTTACTAACTTAAACACCAACCAAGACGTGGAACCAAGATAATCACTTCACAGGTTAGTCTGTGAGACCTTTTCAGTCATGTCAATTAAAAGTGAGAACTGGAGGCTAGTGATTGGCTATTAATACAAATAAAATGGACCCCCTTGTGGATTAGTTAATTTCACACGTCTACTTTACCTATAGCCACCAGTTTCTCTGGAAGTGAGATAAATTGTGCACCATTCAAGAATACAGACGTTTATAGACTGATGGTATACTAGTTTAAATGTTCAGGCAGGAGCTCGATCCCTAACAATCAAATACATGTCCATCATACTGAAGTGAAATATTCCAGGACATTCTTCATTAATCATTAAGAGAAATAGAGTTCATCAATTAATAATCACACCACATTAACGTGTTTGTGTATCTTTGCATATATTCTCACCATCATACGGAGCAGCTCCTACGACAACTCCTGGTGAGATCTTGCAACACATCACGTGTAGATGCAGATTATTGAAAGTGATGCTGACTCGGCTAAGGAGCTGTGTAGGACAGGACTAGCTTCTACACCAACAAGAGATAGCACTGAGTTAAGCAGGTACTTGCTCTTTTTTCTAGCCTACATAGCGTTCCATTGTATCTTGAAATCAAAATTATTGCTGCAGACAAATGTATTAAAGCGTTTGAAAAATAAGCATTCATAATATTTAGATAATACATAAAATATGGTGTGACGCCTTGGTGTAGTGGGTTGAACGGCTATGCTATGCACCCAGGGAACTGAGACAGATTCCCGTTTGGAGCCAACATCACTGAGTGATATCTCATTAGTTCCTAGGACTCCATTTTACCATCTAACACCAAATACAATGCCTGTTATTCTCTTTACATGTCCTCGTTGTCATACGGAGCAGCTCCTACGACAACTATAGTTAAGATCTTGTAACGCAACTCGCTCAGATAAATCACATTGAAAGTGACGCTGACTCAGCTGAGGAACTGCATAGAACAGCACCAGCTTCTACAACAACAGGAGACACCACCTAGTTTAGCAGGCACTGGCTGTGTTTTTTCTCTTACTTAGCTTTCTATTGTATCTTCCAATCACAATTATCGTTGTAGACAATGTTACAGATTTTTTTTCTTGAAGATATGAAGTTCATAAATCAAATATGATGTGAGGCCTTGGTGCAGTGACCTTAAGGGCTCTGCTATGAACTCAGATAACTTATTAGATTCCCACTTGTGAATATCACTGAGAAGTGATATCTCAATATTCTTAGTGCCCCATTTTACCATCCAACACCAATTAGAATTCATAATAAAGGTTTTTGGGTTAGATCGCGTTATTTATAAATGTGTCGTAACCCTCCACCACCCGACATGGCCAAACAGTAAAAAATTTAGCACGTTTACAAAGGACAAATAGTTCACTACTTTAGCCCACCGGTGTGTTAAAGAGTGAATCAACATCATTTAAAATTTGAGTACGACGTTTCGCTGGCAATTACATCCAGCATCATCGGGCAATTCGCCAGAATGGTAAAGCCCTCACTTGCTCCCGGGCTTACATAGAGCAGCAGGGTGACGTCATCATTTAACTCCAATTAGAATGCCTGCTTGTCTCTCTACATGACCTGATTGTCATACGGAGCAGTTGCTATGGCAACTACAGGTGAGATCTTGCAATGCAAGTCGTGTAGATACATCACATTGAAAGTGGTGCTGCCTAAGCTGAAGAGCTGTGTCGGACAGTACTAACTTGTACACTAAACAAGACGTGGAACCAAGATAATACATTAATAGCTTACTTTATGAGACCTTACCAATCAGGTCAATTAAACGTATGAATTGGAGGCTAGTGATTGGCTATTTATGAAAAGTAAAACGGATCACCTTGTGGTTCAGTTTATTTCACTTATCTTCATTACCTTCGACATCCAAAGTACCTCGGGTTGTGCGATAATTTGGGAAATACGGTATGGGGATTTGGTGCGATATATCCAGCGAAGCTAGTTAGATCCCCATCCATGGTTAACATCACCGACTAGTGATATCTGCATTGGTCCTATGTTCCCGTTTCACCAAAAAATGCCTATTTGTCTCATTACATGTCTGCATTGTCGTGGAGAGCAGCTGCTACAACAACTCCTGGTGAGAGCTTGCAACGCAACTCGTGTAGATAAAGAATATTGAATGTGACGCTGGCCGGGGTCAGGAGCTGTATAGGACAGGCCTAGCTTCAACACCAGAAAGAGGTCGCACAGAGTTACGCAGGCACTTGCCATGTTTTATATCTTAAGTAGCTTTATTTTGTATGTTCATATAAAAATTATAACTGGAGGCAACTGTATTAATGCATTTGTTTTATTATACATTTGTAATATTAAATTCATACGTCAAATATGGTATGAGGCTTCGGTTTACTTGCCTGTAGGGCTATGCTATGAACCCAGAGAACTAAGTTAGATCTCGCTGAGATCTTGCACACCAACTCCTGCAGATGTAGCAAAATGAAAGTGATGCTGGCTAAGCTTAAGAGGTTAACAGCACTAACTTCTACACTTATCAAGCTGTGAAAGCAATATTAATGGGGATATAAATAAATCAATTCATCAATTATTCTATGAGACCTTACCAGCCATGTATGGTAAAAGTGAGAACTGGAGGCAGTAATTGGCTATTAATACAAATAAAATGGACCCTATTGTGGTTTAGTTTATTTCACACATCTACTTTACCTATAGCCACCAGTTTCTCTGGAGGTGAGATAAATTGTGCACCATTCAAGAATACAGACGTTTATAGAGTAATGGTATACGAGTTTAAAGGTTCAAAGGCAGGAGCTCGATCCCTAACAATCAAATACATGTCCATCATACTGAAGTGAAATATTCCAGGACATGTTCTTCATTAATCATTAAGAGAAACAGAGTTCATCAATTAATAATCACACCACAATAACGTGATTGTGAATCTTTACATATACTCTCACCATCATACGGAGCAGCTCCTACGACAACTCCTGGTGAGATCTTGCAACACATCGCGTGTAGATGCAGATTATTGAAAGTGATGCTGACTCGGCTAAGGAGCTGTGTAGGACAGGACTAGCTTCTACACCAATGAGAGATAGTGCTGAGTTAAGCAGGCCCTTGCTCTTTTTATCTTATGTAACTTTCCATTGTATCTTGAAATCAAAATGATAGCTGCAGACAACTGTATCAAAGAATTTAAAATATATATATACATTAGTAATATTAAGTTCTTACATCAAATATGGTGTGAGGCCTTGGTGGGTTGACGGGCTATGCTATGCACCCAGAGAACAGAGTCAGATTCCCGTCTGGAGCCAACATCACTGTGATATCTCCATAGTTCCTAGAACCCGATTTTACCATCCAACACCAATTAAAATCCATAATAGAGGTGTTTGGGTTAGATCGCGTAAATATATAAATGTGTCGTTAAAACCCGTCACCACCCGACACAGCCAAACTAGTAAATGTTGTCACGTAAACAAAACATGCCATTTCGTCACTCGTACTGCACACCGGTATGTTGTAGAGCCAAGCCACTATATTTACAATCTGAGTACGACGTTTCGCCAGTACTTACAACTAGCTTCATCAGGCGACAGCCAGATTTGTGGAGAAGTCTGAACTATTTCGTTCCTTATATAGAGGCGTAGATGTGTCGACCACCCTTCTGCGCTCTTGCACAATGTGTGGGGGATTACTGAGGCAACGTACATTATGCATGCGCATTATGAACTTGTCCTTCCTGTCTATTGTGTTTATTTTAATAGCCCTACCAACGGTAATCGCTATTGAAGTAGGCTGCCCTTTGTCGGAATGCATTTAAATAATGTATTATTTGATAAATCGCTTGCACTCAGCACTAAGGCGGTAGCTATCCGAACGGTTAAAGTTATTTTGATTTCTTTCAATTTCGATAGATTATCTAATCAGTCTTGGCCAGTAGTAGCTATTTTTGAACAAAACTTAAACATTATCAAAATTAATTGAGTGTCCTTGTTGGCGCGCGTGTTCTGCTACTGCTGACAGTTGTATTTGGGATGATTTTATGTTTCTCTGATGTTCTTTTAGTCTCGTGTTGATCATTCGTTCTGTTTGCCCAACATAACATTAACAACACGTGCAGTTAATCCTGTACACACTTTCTGTTGATAGCTTCGGTTATACATCTTTTGTACCCGATATTAATTTCTGTATTTTATGTACCGTGGCAAATCTGACTCGGATGTTTTATTTTCCCCAACATCTGGCTAGTTTATCAGTTACTCCCGCAATGTACGGTATTTTGATCGTATTAATTAATTGGGCAGTTTCAATGCTCTGGTTATTTTATTTGGTTTTGGCATTCAATGCCCTGTTGATTTGTGCATCATTGTAACTGTTCCTTTGCAGCGCCTCTTTGACATGTTGAATTTCACTTCTCAGACTGTCACCACCTGACACTTTCTTAGCTCGATGAATGAGCGTTTTGATAAGAGTAGATTTCCGTGTGGGGTGATGGTCGCGAAAGCCTACGTGTTAAACTGACCAATTAAAATGCCTGTTTGTCTATTTACATGTACTCTTTGTTATATTGGGCAGCTCCTACGACAACTCCAGGTAAGATCTTGCGATGCAACTCATGTAGATGCAGCAAATTGAAAGTGATGCTGAAAGTGAGATAAATTGTGCACCATTCAAGAATACAGACGTTTATAGACTGATGGTATACGAGTTTAAATGTTCAGTCAGGAGCTCGATCTCTAACAATCAAATACATGTCCATCATATTCTTTGGTTCTTTCGGTAAAGTCACGTAGAATGAGAATAAAATAATAAATTGATAAAATGAAATAATACAATAATATTCTCACGACGTCCATCATACTGAAGTGAAATATTCCAGGACATTCTTCATTAATCATGGAGAGAAATAGAGTTCATCAATTAATAATCACACCACATTAACGTGTTTGTGTATCGTTGCATATATTCTCACCATCATACGGAGCAGCTCCTACGACAACTCCTGGTGAGAATTTGCAATACATCGCGTGTAGATGCAGATTATTGAAAGTGATGCTGACTCGGCTAAGGAGCTGTGTAGGACAGGACTAGCTTCTACACCAACAAGAGATAGCACTGAGTTAAGCAGGCACTTGCTCTTTTTTCTAGCCTACATAGCGTTCCATTGTATCTTGAAATCAAAATTATTGCTGCAGACAAATGTATTAAAGCGTTTAAAAAAATAAGCATTCGTAATATTTAGATAATACATCAAATATGGTGTGACGCCTTGGTGTAGTGTGTTGAACGGCTATGCTATGCACCCAGGGAACTGAGACAGATTCCCGTTTGGAGCCAACATCACTGAGTGATATCTCAATAGTTCCTAGGACTCCATTTTACCATCCAACACCAATTACAATGCCTGTTATTCTCTTTACATGTCCTCGTTGTCATACGGAGCAGCTCCTACGACAACTATAGGTAAGATCTTGCAACGCAACTCGCGCAGATAAAACACATTGAAAGTGACGCTGACTCAGCTGAGGAACTGCATAGAACAGCACCAGCTTCTACAACAACAGGAGACAGCACCTAGTTTAGCAGGCACTGGCTGTGTTTTTTCTCTTACTTAGCTTTCCATTGTATCTTCCTATCACAATAATCGTTGTAGACAATGTTACAGATTTTTTTCTTGAAGATATGAAGTTCATAAATCATCTTCTTTGGTTCTTTCGGTAAAGTCACGTAGAATGAGAATAAAATAATAAATTGATAAAATAAAATAACACAATAATATTGTGTTATTTTGAGAATAAAATAATAAATTGATAAAATAAAATAACACAATAATATTGTGTTATTTTAACACAATAATATTGTGTTATTTTGAGAATAAAATAATAAATTGATAAAATAAAATAACACAATAATATTGTGTTATTTTAACACAATAATATTGTGTTATTTTATTTTATCAATTTATTATTTTATTCTCATTCTACGTGACTTTACCGAAAGAACCAAAGAAGATGAATCATTGCAGTCACGAAAGCTTTAAATCGAAATTCATAAATCAAATATGATGTGAGGCCTTGGTGCAGTGGCCTTAAGGGCTCTGCTATGAACTCAGAGAACTGATTAGATTCCCACTTGTGGATATCTCAATATTCTTAGTGCCCCATTTTACCATCCAACACCAATTAGAATTCATAATAAAGGTTTTTGGATTAGATTGCGTTATTTATAAATGTGTCGTAACCCTCCACCACCCGACACGGCCAAACAGTAAAAAATTTAGCACGTTTACAAAGGACAAATAGTTCACTACTTTAGCCCACCGGTGTGTTAAAGAGTGAATCAACATCATTTAAAATTTGAGTACGACGTTTCGCTGGCAATTACATCCAGCATCATCGGGCAATTCGCCAGAATGGTAAAGCCTTCACTTGCTCCCGGTCTTAAATAGAGCAGCAGGGTGACGTCATCATTTAACGCCAATTAGAATTCCTGTTTGTCTCTCTACATGACCTGATTGTCATACGGAGCAGTTGCTATAGCAACTACAGGTGAGATCTTGCAATGCAAGTCGTGTATAGATACATCACATTGAAAGTGGTGCTGCCTAAGCTGAAGAGCTGTGTCGGACAGTACTAACTTGTACACTAAACAAGACGTGGAACCAAGATAATATATTAATAGCTTACTTTATGAGACCTTGTCAATCATGTCAATTAAATGTATGAATTGGAGGCTAGTGATTGGCTATTTATGAAAAGTAAAACGGATCACCTTGTGGTTCAGATTATTTCACTTATCATCATTACCTTCGACATCCAGAGTACCTCGGGTTGTGCGATAATTTGTGAAATACGGTATGGGGATTTGGTGCGATATATCCAGCGAAGCTAGTTAGATCCCCATCCATGGTTAACATCACCAAGTAGTGATATCTGCATTGGTCATATGTTCCAATTTAACCAAAAAATGCCTTTTTGTCTCATTACATGTCTGCATTGTCGTGGAGAGCAGCTGCTACAACAACTCCTGGTGAGAGCTTGCAACGCAACTCGTGTAGATAAAGAATATTGAATGTGACGCTGGCCGGGGTCAGGAGCTGTATAGGACAGGCCTAGCTTCAACACCAGAAAGAGGTCGCACAGAGTTACGCAGCACTTACCATGTTTTATATCTTAAGTAGCTTTATTTTGTATGTTCATATCAAAATTATAACTGGAGGCAACTGTATTAAAGCATATTTTTTATCATACATTTGTAATATTAAGTTCATACGTCAAATATTGTGTGAGGCTTCGATTTACTTGCATGTAGGGCTATGCTATGAACCCAGAGAACTAAGTTAGATCTCGCTGAGATCTTGCACACCAACTCCTGCAGATGTAGTAAAATGAAAGTGATGCTGGCTAAGCTTAAGAGCTTAACAGCACTAACTTCTACACTTATCAAGCTGTGAAAGCAATATTAATGGGGATGTAAATAAATCAATTCATCAATTATTCTATGAGACTTTACCAGCCATGTTTGGTAAAAGTGAGAACTGGAGGCAGTAATTGGCTCGTAACCCTCCACCACCCGACATGGTCAATCAGAAAAAAAAGTGTCACGTTGACAAAAGACAAATAATTCACTACTTTAGCCCACCGGTGTGTTGAAGAGTGAATCCACAACATTTACAGTTTGAGTACGACGTTTCGCTGGTAAATACATCCAGTATCATCGGGCAATTCGCCAAAATGGTAAAGCCCTCGCTTGCTCCCGGTTTTATATAGAGCAGCAGGGTGACGTCATCATTGAACTCATATCAGGTGCAGTGATTAGAGGCGGGGGGAGGGGGTATTGTAATTATATAATCGATTAGTAATCAGTCATTGGTTATGATTAGTAATGAGTTGTAGATTAGTAATTAGTTGTAATGTGTGTTAGTGATTATATGCTATGTTAGTAATCCGTTAATTAGTATGTGTTTCCCCTATAAGGAATTGTAATGTGCATTCATATTCTTAGCTTCCTCGGCAAAGCCACGCCGAAGGGAAACAACAAAACAACAAACATAGATATTCTATTATTTTATTGCTTCCCCCCCAACGCGACTCCACCGAAAGAGCCAAGAACATGAATCACTGCAGTCACGAAAGCTTTAAATCAAAATGTAACGTGTATTATTTAATAATACGCTTCCAGACCGCACTAAGCCTGTAGCTGTCAGAGCAATTCAAGTTATTCTTATTCCTCTCAATTTCAATGGATTCTCTAATTAGTCTTTGCCAGTAATAATTAGTTTTACACAACACTGCAACATTGTCAAAATCAATTGAGTGTCCTTGTTGACAAGCATGTGCTGCCACTGCCGACTGTTGTGTTTTTGAGATAATTTAATATTTCTCTGATGTTCTTTTAGTCTTACGCTGATGTTACGTCCCGTCTGTCCAATATAGCATCTGCCACATAAACAATTAATCCGATATACACCTTCTGTTGATAATTTAGGTAATGCGTCTTTAGTGCAAGATACTAGTTTTTGAATTTTGTGTACTGTACCAAATCTTACTGTAATGTTTTGCTTTTGCAAAACACGGGCTAATTTGTCAGTTACTCCTGAGATACATGGAATTTTTATTGTTTTAACAATCTGGTCGCTTTCAGTAGTATTGCTTTGCGATCGTGATTTGGCATTCAGTGCTCTGTTAATTTGAGCATTATTGTAGCCATTCTGTCGTAGTGCGTCTTTAACGTGTTTAATCTCTCTCACTAGACTCTCACCATCTGACACTGTTTTAGCCCGATGCATGAGCGTCTTGATAAGAGAAGATTTCTGAGCTGGATGATGATGTGATTCTGCATTCAGATAGGCATCAGTGTGCGTTTGCTTTCTGTAAACGCTGTGTTATTTACCGTTTAGGCCATGTCCAAGCAAAATATCTAGGAATGGGAGTGTGTTATTCATCTCCATTTCCATGGTGAACTGGATGGCCGGGTTTTGTGCATCGAGATGATTTAGAAAATCATTAAGTGTATCTTTACCATGTGGCCAGACAACCAAAGTGTCATCCACATATCTAAACCAAAAGGATGGTTTTAATGTGCTCGAGGCAAGTGCTCTTATTTCAAAGTTTTCCATGTAGACGACCGTTTGTGTTATGGTCGAAATGTCGTGAGAATTTTTATTGTTTTATATATTTTTTATTATTTTGTTGTTTCTCTTCAACGTGACTTTACCGAAAGAACTAAGATTATTTGTCTTTTGTCAACTTGACACTTTTTTTTTGCTGATTGGCCGTGTCTGGTGGTGGAGGGTTATGACACATTTATAAATAACGCGATCTAACCCAAAAACCTTTATTATGAATAATATTGGTCGCGAAAGCCTACGTGTTAAACTGAGTAATTGGCTATTAATACAAATAAAATGGACCCCATTGTGGTTTAGTTTATTTCACACATCTACTTTACCTATAGCCACAAGTTTCTCTGGAAGTGAGATATATTGTGCACCATTCAAGCATACAGACGTTTATAGACTGATGGTATATGAGTTTAAAGGTTTTAATGGCAGGAGCTCGATCCCTAACAATCAAATACATGTCCATCATACTGAAGTGAAATATTCCAGGACATTCTTCATTAATCATTAAGAGAAACAGAGTTCATCAATTAATAATCACACCACATTAACGTGTTTGTGTATCTTTGCATATATTCTCACATCATACGGAGCAGCTCCTACGACAACTCCTGGTGAGATCTTGCAACACATCGCGTGTAGATGCAGATTATTGAAAGTGATGCTGACTCGGCTAAGGAGCTGTGTGGGACAGGACTAGCTTCTACAGCAACAAGAGATAGCGCTGAGTTAAGCAGGCCCTTGCTCTTTTTTCTATCTAACATAGCCTTCCATTGTATCTTGAAATCAAAATGATAGCTGCAGACAACTGTATTAAAGCATTTGAAAAGATATATACATTAGTACTATTAAGTTCATACATCAAATATGGTGTGAGGCCTTGGTGGGTTGAAGGGCTATGCTATGCACCCAGAGAACAGAGTCAGATTCTCGTCTGGAGCCAACATCACTGTGATATCTCCATAGTTCCTAGAACCCGATTTTACCATCCAACACCAATTAAAATCCATAATAGAGGTGTTTGGGTTAGATCGCGTAAATATAATATATGTGTCGTTAAAACCCGTCACCACCCGACACAGCCAAACTAGTAAATGTTGTCACGTAAACAAACATGCCAATTCGTCACTAGTACAGCACACCGGTGTGTTGGAGAGCCATGCCACAAAATTTACAATTTGAGTACGACGTTTCGCCAGTACTTACCTCTAGCTTCATCAGGCGACAGCCAGATTTGTGGTGAAGTCTTAACTGTTTCGTTCCTTATATAGAGGCGTAGATGTGTCGACCACCCTTCTGCGCTCTTGCACAATGTGTGGGGGATTACTGAGGCAACGTACATTATGCATGCGCATTATGCGAGCACTTTGAACTTGTCCTTCCTGTCTATTGTGTTTATTATAATAGCCCTACCAACGATAATCGCTATTGAAGTATGCTGCCCTTTTTCGGAATGCATTTAAATAATGTTATTTGATGATTCGCTTCAAAGCAGCACTAAGGCGGTAGCTATCCGGACGGTTAACGTTTTTTTTTTATTCTTTCAATTTCGATAGATTATCTAATTAGTCTTGGCCAGTAGTAGCTAGTTTTGCACAAAACTTCAACATCATCAAAATCAATTGAGTGTCCTTGTTGGCGCGCGTGTTCTGCTACTGCTGACAGTTGTATTTTGGAGAATTCAATGTTTCTCTCATGTTCCTTCACTCTCGTGCTGATCATTCGTCCTGTTTGCCCAACATAACATTTACAACACCTGCAGTTAATCCTGTACACACCATCTGTTGACAGTTTCGGTAATACATCTTTTGTACCCGATATTAATTTCTGTATTTTACGTACCGTGCCAAATCTGATTCGGATGTTTTGTTTTTCCCAACATCTGGCGAGTTTATCAGTTACTCCCGCAATGTACGGTATTTGATCCTTTTCATTAATTGGGCAGTTTCAATGCTCTTGTTATTTTATTTATTTTTAGTATTAAATGCCCTGTTGATTTGTGCATCATTGTAACCGTTCATTTGCTTCGCTTATTTAACATGTTGAATTTCACTTCTCAGACTGTCACCACCTGGCACTTTCTTAGATCGATGAATGAGCGTCTTGATAAGAGTAGATTTCTGTGCGGCGTGATGTTCGCGAAAGCCTACGTGTTTAACTGACCAATTGAAATGCCTTTTTGTCTATTAACATGTCCTCTTTGTTATATTGGGCAGCCCCTACGACAACTCCAGGTAAGTTGTTGCGATGCAAAGAACAATCAAACATATGTCCATCATACTGAAGTAATCACACCACATTAACGTGTTTGTGTTTCTTTACATATATTCACCATCATACGGAGCAGCTCCTACGACAACTCCTGGTGAGATCTTGCAACACATCACGTGTAGATGCAGATTATTGAAAGTGATGCTGACTCGGCTAAGGAGCTGTGTAGGACAGGACTAGCTTCTATACCAACAAGAGATAGCACTGAGTTAAGCAGGTACTTGCTCTTTTTTCTAGCCTACATAGCGTTCCATTGTATCTTGAAATCAAAATTATTGCTGCAGACAAATGTATTAAAGCGTTTGAAAAATAAGCATTCATAATATTTAGATAATACATCAAATATGGTGTGACGCCTTGGTGTAGTGGGTTGAAGGGCTATGCTATGCACCCAGGGAACTGAGACAGATTCCCGTTTGGAGCCAACATCACTGAGTGATATCTCATTAGTTCCTAGGACTCCATTTTACCATCTAACACCAAATACAATGCCTGTTATTCTCTTTACATGTCCTCGTTGTCATACGGAGCAGCTCCTACGACAACTATAGTTAAGATCTTGTAACGCAACTCGCTCAGATAAATCACATTGAAAGTGACGCTGACTCAGCTGAGGAACTGCATAGAACAGCACCAGCTTCTATAACAACAGGAGACAGCACCTAGTTTAGCAGGCACTGGCTGTGTTTTTTCTCTTACTTAGCTTTCTATTGTATCTTCCAATCACAATTATCGTTGTAGACAATGTTACAGATTTTTTTCTTGAAGATATGAACTTCATAAATCAAATATGATGTGAGGCCTTGGTGCAGTGACCTTAAGGGCTCTGCTATGAACTCAGATAACTTATTAGATTCCCACTTGTGAATATCACTGAGAAGTGATATCTCAATATTCTTAGTGCCCCATTTTACCATCCAACACCAATTAGAATTCATAATAAAGGTTTTTGGGTTAGATCGCGTTATTTATAAATGTGTCGTAACCCTCCACCACCCGACACGGCCAAACAGTAAAAAATGTTATCACGTTTACAAAGGACAAATAGTTAACTACTTTAGCCCACCGGTGTGTTAAAGAGTGAATCAACATCATTTAAAATTTGAGTACGACGTTTCGCTGGCAATTACATCCAGCATCATCGGGCAATTCGCCAGAATGGTAAAGCCCTCACTTGCTCCCGGTCTTACATAGAGCAGCAGGGTGACGTCATCATTTAACTCCAATTAGAATGCCTGCTTGTCTCTCTACATGACCTGATTGTCATACGGAGCAGTTTCTATGGCAACTACAGGTGAGATCTTGCAATGCAAGTCGTGTAGAAACATCACATTGAAAGTGGTGCTGCCTAAGCTGAAGAGCTGTGTCGGACAGTACTAACTTGTACACTAAACAAGACGTGGAACCAAGATAATACATTAATAGCTTACTTTATGAGACCTTACCAATCAGGTCAATTAAACGTATGAATTGGAGGCTAGTGATTGGCTATTTATGAAAAGTAAAACGGATCACCTTGTGGTTCAGTTTATTTCACTTATCTTCATTACCTTCGACATCCAAAGTACCTCGGGTTGTGCGATAATTTGGGAAATACGGTATGGGGATTTGGTGCGATATATCCAGCGAAGCTAGTTAGATCCCCATCCATGGTTAACATCACCGACTAGTGATATCTGCATTGGTCCTATGTTCCCGTTTCACCAAAAAATGCCTATTTGTCTCATTACATGTCTGCATTGTCGTGGAGAGCAGCTGCTACAACAACTCCTGGTGAGAGCTTGCAACGCAACTCGTGTAGATAAAGAATATTGAATGTGACGCTGGCCGGGGTCAGGAGCTGTATAGGACAGGCCTAGCTTCAACACCAGAAAGAGGTCGCGCAGAGTTAAGCAGGCACTTGCCATGTTTTATATCTTAAGTAGCTTTATTTTGTATGTTCATATCAAAATTATAACTGGAGGCAACTGTATTAATGCATTTGTTTTATTATACATTTGTAATATTAAGCTCATACGTCAAATATGGTATGAGGCTTCGGTTTAGTTGCCTGTAGGGCTATGCTATGAACCCAGAGAACTAAGTTAGATCTCGCTGAGATCTTGCACACCAACTCCTGCAGATGTAGCAAAATGAAAGTGATGCTGGCTAAGCTAAAGAGCTTAACAGCACTAACTTCTACACTTATCAAGCTGTGAAAGCAATATTAATGGGGATATAAATAAATCAATTCATCAATTATTCTATGAGACCTTACCAGCCATGTATGATAAAAGTGATCACTGGAGGCAGTAATTGTCTATTAATACAAATAAAATGGACCCCATTGTGGTTTAGTTTATTTCACACATCTACTTTGCCTATAGCCACCAGTTTCTCTGGAGGTGAGATAAATTGTGCACCATTCAAGAATACAGACGTTTATAGAGTGATGGTATACGAGTTTAAAGGTTCAAAGGCAGGAGCTCGATCCCTAACAATCAAATACATGTCCATCATACTGAAGTGAAATATTCCAGGACATGTTCTTCATTGATCATTAAGAGAAATAGAGTTCATCAATTAATAATCACACCACAATAACGTGTTTGTGAATCTTTACATATATTCTCACCATCATACGGAGCAGCTCCTACGACAACTCCTGGTGAGATCTTGCAATACATCGCGTGTAGATGCAGATGATTGAAAGTGATGCTGACTCGGCTAAGGAGCTGTGTAGGACAGGACTAGCTTCTACACCAACAAGAGATAGCGCTGAGTTAAGCAGGCCCTTGCTCTTTTTTATGTTTTGTAACTTTCCATTGTATCTTGAAATCAAAATGATAGCTGCAGGCAACTGTATCAAAGAATTAAAAAATATATATACATTAGTAATATTAAGTTCTTACATCAAATATGGTGTGAGGCCTTGGTGGGTTGAAGGGCTATGCTATGCACCCAGAGAACAGAGTCAGATTCCCGTCTGGAGCCAACATCACTGTGATATCTCCATAGTTCCTAGAACCCGATTTTACCATCCAACACCAATTAAAATCCATAATAGAGGTTTTTGGGTTAGATCGCGTAAATATATAAATGTGTCGTTAAAACCCGTCACCACCCGACACAGCCAAACTAGTAAATGTTGTCACGTAAACAAAACATGCCATTTCGTCACTCGTACTGCACACCGGTGTGTTGTAGAGCCAAGCCACTATATTTACAATCTGAGTACGACGTTTCGCCAGTACTTACAACTAGCTTCATCAGGCGACAGCCAGATTTGTGGAGAAGTCTGAACTATTTCGTTCCTTATATAGAGGCGTAGATGTGTCGACCACCCTTCTGCGCTCTTGCACAATGTGTGGGGGATTACTGAGGCAACGTACATTATGCATGCGCATTATGAACTTGTCCTTCCTGTCTATTGTGTTTATTATAATAGCCTTACCAACGGTAATCGCTATTGAAGTAGGCTGCCCTTTGTCGGAATGCATTTAAATAATGTATTATTTGATAAATCGCTTGCACTCAGCACTAAGGCGGTAGCTATCCGAACGGTTAAAGTTATTTTGATTTCTTTCAATTTCGATAGATTATCTAATCAGTCGTGGCCAGTAGTAGCTATTTTTGAACAAAACTTAAACATGATCAAAATTAATTGAGCGTCCTTGTTGGCGCGCGTGTTCTGCTACTGCTGACAGTTGTATTTTGGAGAATTCAATGTTTCTCTCATGTTCCTTCACTCTCGTGCTGATCATTCGTCCTGTTTGCCCAACATAACATTTACAACACCTGCAGTTAATCCTGTACACACCATCTGTTGACAGTTTCGGTAATACATCTTTTGTACCCGATATTAATTTCTGTATTTTACGTACCGTGCCAAATCTGATTCGGATGTTTTGTTTTTCCCAACATCTGGCGAGTTTATCAGTTACTCCCGCAATGTACGGTATTTTGATCGTATTAATTAATTGGGCAGTTTCAATGCTCTTGTTATTTTATTTATTTTTAGTATTAAATGCCCTGTTGATTTGTGCATCATTGTAACCGTTCATTTGCTTCGCTTATTTAACATGTTGAATTTCACTTCTCAGACTGTCACCACCTGGCACTTTCTTAGATCGATGAATGAGCGTCTTGATAAGAGTAGATTTCTGTGCGGCGTGATGTTCGCGAAAGCCTACGTGTTTTACTGACCAATTGAAATGCCTTTTTGTCTATTAACATGTCCTCTTTGTTATATTGGGCATCCCCTACGACAACTCCAGGTAAGTTGTTGCGATGCAAAGAACAATCAAACATATGTCCATCATACTGAAGTAATCACACCACATTAACGTGTTTGTGTTTCTTTACATATATTCACCATCATACGGAGCAGCTCCTACGACAACTCCTGGTGAGATCTTGCAACACATCGCGTGTAGATGCAGAATATTGAAAGTGATGCTGACTCGGCTATTGAGCTGTATAGGACAGGACTAGAACCTACACCAACAAGACAGCACTTTGTTAAGAAGGCACTTGCTGGTTCTTTTTCTTTAAAACTTCTTGTTGCATCTTCCATGCACGTCTATTACTATAGGCATCTCTAGAAAACAAGACTTAGGTTTTGGTGCAATGTGCCCAGCAAAGTGAGTTAGATCCCTGTACATGGTTAACATTGTCGAGGAGTGATATCTGAATTGGACCTGTGTTCCTATTTCACCATCACATTCCTACCTGTCTCCTTACATGTCTTCATTGTCGTACGGAGCAGCAGCTACAACAACTCCAGGTAAGATCTTGCAATGCAACTCGCCCAGATAAAACACATTGAAAGTGACGCTGACTCAGTTGAGGAGCTACATAGGACTGCACCAGCTTCTACACCAACAGGAGATAGCATGTGCCTGCTAAACTAGTTGCTATGTTTTTCTCATTCTTAGCTTTCCATTGTATCTTCCAATCACAATCATGGCTGTAGACAACTGTATTAAAGATATTAAGTTCATAAATCATATATGGTGTGAGGCATTGTTGCAGTGGCTTTAAGGGCTCTGCTTTGAAGCCAGATAACTGACTAGATTCCTACTTGTGGATATCACTGAGAAGTGATATCTCAATCTTCTTAGGGCCCCATTTTACCATCCAACATCTATTAGAATGCCTGTTTGTCTCTCTACATGACCAGATTGTCATACGGAGCAGTTGTTATGACAACTCCAGATGAGATTTTGCAAGGTGACTCGTGTTGATGCATCAAACTGAAAATGGTGCTCGCTAAGCTGAAGAGCTGTGTAGGATACTACTAACTTGTACACAAAACACGACGTGGAACAAAGATAATCAATTCCTAGGTTACTCTGTGAGACCTTTGCAGTCATGTCTATTAAAAGTGAGAACTGGTGGCTAGTGATTGGCTATTAATACAAATAAAATGCACCACATTATGGTTTAGTTTATTTTACGCATCTTCTTTACCTACAACAGCCACCAGTTTCTTGGGAGGTGAGAATTTGCGCTCCATTCAATAAATTGGACGTTCATCTAGTGATGATATATGAGCTGATAGGTTGCCAAATGCGGGAGCTCGATCTCTAACAATAGAATGTGTATCATACTGAAGATACATGTTCCAGGAAATGTTTTCTACATAAATCATTCGGAGCAGTAGTATCCAGCAATTAATAATCATACCACATTAACGTGTTTGTGTCTCTTTACATATATGCACCACCATACGGAGCAGCTGCTAGATCTACTGCCGGTGAGATCATTCAATGACGCTTGTGTAAACACACAATATTGAAAATGTTGCTGGTTCATCTGAGGAGCTTATAGGACAGGACTAACTTGTATGTTAATTGAGCATGTGGCATACTTTTAAATGTTTCCACTCAACTCTAAAAATACATATTAAAAGTAATTATGTTTCAACGGAGTATTTTGCAACTGTCGGACCTTAGTCACTAACAAGATAATATTAACACATATACACTGACGTTTAATATTTTAGGACAAATATTCTGCATAAATCATCAATAGTTATAGCAGCTTCATTGGACGGGACTAACTTGTATGCAAAACAAGATGTGGACCCAAATGAATTGAGCATGTGGCATTCTTTTAAAGATTTACACTCAACTCTAAAATACATATTTAAAGTAATGATGTTTCAACGGAATATTTTGCAACTGTGGGACCTTGGTCGCTAAGAAAGTAATATTTGCACATTACACTGACGTTTAATATTCTAGGACATATGTTCTGCATATATCATTATTAGTTATATATCTACGTACGTGATTTTACCGAAAGAACCAAAGAGTACCATACTTACATGTTTTTCTCTCTTTACATATATTCACCATCATATGGAGCAGGTTCCATGACAACTTTCGCTGAGATCATGCAACACGATGTGTACAAACAGATTATTGAAAGTGATGCCAACTCGGCTAAGGAGCTGTGTAGGAGAGGACTAGCTTCTACACCAGGGGTGGGGAACATTTTTTCTGCCAAGGGCCATTTGGATATTTATAACATCATTCGCGGGCCATACAAAATCATCAACTTAAAAATTAGCCTGTTATATTTGGTCAAACATTTAATTAACTCACCCCAAATGTGATGGCTGTAACTGCTTCTCTTTGCTGAGGCGTGTGATGTTAGCTGGTATTGATGATGTTACTACTCGCAACTGCTTTTCAAGTTTGCTCCTAGATTGATTGAATTTCGAGTCCCGCCTACTGTTGCCTTGGCAGGGCCAGACCAAATGATTTTGCGGGCCTTATACGGCCCGCGGGTCGGACGTTCCACACCCCTGTTCTACACCAACAAGAGATTACACCTCGTTAATGACCCACTTGACGGTTATTTTTCTCATATAGCTCTTCATTAGATATCCAAATTCCCCTCTATTACTGGAGACAAATGTAGAACACTCGTACTATTAAAGTGAGTTTTGGGCGGGGGGGGGGGGGCGATCATGGTGCTATGAACCCATTTACCTGCGTTAGATCCCCAGACAACCCTTGTGGCTTAAATGGTGTAGAGACTTTCATCCAGCTGTGGATTGACAATGGCCAACAGTATTAATTGAGGTTGACAGTGAAGTTGAAACGATGCTGCGACAGAGAATATAATCCGTTCTGTGATGAGATGTAAAGAATAACCAGATCGATGGCATAATTGTGATACCTGTATCTGCAGTCCCTGCGTGTGCATCGAACCCATGCCAATACCGAGGATACTGCATAGAGGGATGGACGTTTGATTGGGGAATTTGGCTCCCCTACTCGTGCATTTGCTATGGAGTCTTTTATGGCCCGGATTGTGGATATTCTGGTGAGTATGGTTCTTACTGCACTTATTCATGCATGTGCCTCTATGTTGTTGCATGTATATATGAACCACAGATAAGTTCAATTACCATGGTTATCTTTGTGGGATTTAATAATGAAATCGTAGGATATATTTAAACAATGTTTGCAGGGCTATGAATATAAATAAAACCTTTCCTCAGCAGTGGAAGAGAAGTTATTATTATATCTTATAAAGGTTTGTGAAGAAGGAAACGTGATCAGTAAAATAACGTGCAGCCACAATACGGGGATTTTATTCTAAATTAGCATTATTAATCGATTATTTTTGCTTGCTATCCAGATCATCAAACAATACTTATTTAAATAGTTTTATTTATTACGTCGAATATTTGTGTTAATCATGTACATAGACTGCTAGTAAGCATGGCCGCTCAGTGTTTGTCAATCAGTGGTTGTGTAGAGGCAGGAACTTGATCACTAACTTGGGAATATTCATTGGAGGACATGCCTAGTCTCTACACTAAACAGACGTAGAATATATTTAGTTGGGTATTCCATGACACCTAAACAATTACCTGTAAAAGGAAATGTACGAGCTTGTGATCATGATTTTGTTATACTTGCACATTTCATTATCTGCAACATTCCCCATTTGCACTGGTGGTAATATAGTTTATTTATGATCCACAAAGCAGACATTTGGAAAGTAATGGTATTTTAGCTTTTATTTTTGTAGAGGCATAAACGTTTGTCCCTTTCAATAAATTATTGTACATAACATAAATTATTGTACGTAACATTCTAGGACATGTATTCCGTATGAATCATGAATAGCATTATTATTCAGGAATGAATAAACAAGCCATATCATTCTGTTTGTGTCTCTCTACATGCAATCGCCATCATACGGAGCAGCAAGCACGACTCCTCGTGAGATAACGCACCACAATCGTGTATACGTCGCACGTTTTAAACTATTGTGATTCGGCTGAGCAGACGCATAGGACGGGACGAGCATCTTTCCTTAACAAAATTTGGATTCAAGTTGAATGGGCATGGAAGGGTATAGGGATATGAAAAGCATGCTAAGATACGTTTTTGAGATAGTGCGGAATTTCAATTTTGGGGATTATTCCAGAAATGGAAGTGACATTAATAACTTTTGTCTTGTTGTTTTCTCAATAAAATACTGTCACACGGCATTAAGTAACATTCTTGCTGCAAAGACAATTGCAGCAAGAACAATACTGTCAGAAGCGTTTTAAAACTGAAACTCACCCCTATGAAATTAAATCGATAAATACGTTATTCCATTATATCTCAACATTCCCATCTATTTTTATTGAGAACTGCAGGTGCGGTTTGGTAATTTCACAATGAGAACTCTCAACATTGTGGTTAAGCTATGGATATTTTCTCACATCTTCTTTAGCTGCAACAGCCAACAACCTCCGTGGAAAGTTCATTTCCGACTCCAAAGACATTGGGAAATAAATAATGTTTCAATGGAGGGTTTGTAACTGTGGGACCATCACCAACACTGTATTAATATTCTAGGACATTCTGCATAAATTAGCAGGAGTAATCGATTTTAGACGTTATTAATCACAGCCATATTCACGTGTTTGTTTATATTTGCATGTATTCACCGTCATATGGAGCAGCTCCCACTACAACTCCCGGTGAGATCCTGCAGCGCAACTTGTGTACAGACAGAATATTGAAAGTGATGCTGGCTCAGCTAAGGAGCTGTGTAGCTTTACATTGTATCTTAAAATCAAAATGATGGCTGCAGACAACTGTATTAAAGCTTTTTAAAAAATATATATACATATATTAAGTTCATACATGAAATATGGTTTGAGGCGTTGGTGGAGTGGGTTGAAAGGCTATGGTATGCACCTAGAGAAGTGAGTCAAGATTCCTGTTTTAGCTAACATCCCTGAGTGATCTCAATAGTTCCCAGGACCCCATTTCACCATCCAACACCAATTAAAATGCCTGTTTGTCTATTTACATGTACTCTTTGTTATATTGGGCAGCTCCTACGACAACTCCAGGTAAGATCTTGCGATGCAACTCATGTAGATGCAGCAAATTGAAAGTGATGCTGGCTAAGCTGAAGAGCTGTGTAGGACAGTTACTAACTTAAACACCAACCAAGACGTGGAACCAAGATAATCACTTCACAGGTTAGTCTGTGAGACCTTTTCAGTAATGTCAATTAAAAGTGAGGACTGGTGGCTAGTGATTGGCTATAAAAACAAATAAAATGGACCCCATTGTGGTTAAGTTTCTTTCACACATATACTTTACCTATAGCCACCAGTTTCTCTGGAAGTGAGATAAATTTTGCACTATTCAAGCATACAGACGTTTATAGACTGATGGTATATGAGTTTAAAGGTTTTAATGGCAGGAGCTCGATCCCTAACAATCAAATACATGTCCATCATACTGAAGTGAAATATTCCAGGACATTCTTCATTAATCATTAAGAGAAACAGAGTTCATCAATTAATAATCACACCACATTAACGTGTTTGTATCTCTTTACATATATTCACCATCATACGGAGCAGCTCCTACCACAACTCCTGGTGAGATCTTGCAACACATCTCGTATAGATGCAGATTATTGAAAGCGATGCTGACTCGGCTATGGAGCTGTTTAGGACAGTTTCAGTTTTCAGCTGAATGTATTTTGTATAGCCCTGTGAGCCATTCGGCTCTTGCATCGGGTGCAACCGCAACAAACAAAAAACAAAAACATGAACAAGAAAACATCTTAAAGTGACTACGCGACAGGACTAGATCCTACACCAACAAGGCAGCACTTAGTTAAGAAGGTACTTGCTGGGTTTTTTCTTCTTCTAATAAAGCTTGTTTTTGCATTATTAAAGCACATCTATTACTATAGGCAACTCTAGAAAACAAGACTTCATAAAAAATATGAACTTGACACAAGTGGTGACAAGGCTTTGGTGCAATGTGCCCAGCAAAGTCAGTTAGATCCCTGTACATGGTTAACATTGTCGAGGAGTGATATCTGAATTGGACCTGTCTCCTTACATGTCTTCATTGTCGTACGGAGCAGAAGCTACAACAACTCCCGGTGAGAACTTGCAACGCAACTCGCGAATATAAAACACATTGAAAGTGACGCTGACTCAGCTGAGGAGCTGCATAGGACAGCACCAGCTTCTACCCCAACAGGAGATAGCACCTAGTTTAGCAGGCAATGCTATGTTTTTCTCTTACGTAGCTTTCTATTGTATCTTCCAATCACAATCATGACTTTAGACAACTGTATTAAAGATGTTTTCTTTAAGATATTAAGTTCATAAATCAAATATGGTGTGAGGCCTTGGTGCAGTGGCCTTAAGGGCTCTGCTATGAACCCAGAGAACTGATTAGATTCCCATTAGTGGATATCACTGAGAAGTGATATCTCAATCTTCTTAGGGCCCCATTTTACCATCCAACACCAATTCGAATGCCTGTTTGTCTCTCTATATGTCCTGATTGTCATATGGAGCAGTTGCTATAACATCTCCAGATGAGATATTGCAATGCGACTCGTGTTGATGCATCAAACTGAAAGTGGTGCTCACTCAGCTGAAGAGCTGTGTAGGACACTACTAACTTGTACACAAAACAAGACGTGGAACCAAGATAATCAATTCCTAGGTTACTCTGTGAGACCTTTGCAGTCATGTCTATTAAAAGTGTGAACTGGAGGCTAGTGATTGGCTATGAATACAAATAAAATGCACCACATTGTGGTTTAGTTTATTTCACGCATCTATTTTACCTACAACAGCCACCATTTTCTCGGGAGGTGAGAATTTGCACACCATTCAAGAAATTGGACGTTCATCTAGTGATGATATCTGAGCTGATAGGTTGCCGAATGCGGGAGCTCGATCTCTAACAATAGAATGTGTATCATACTGAAGATACTTGTTCCAGGAAATGTTTTCTGCATAAATCAGCCGGAGCAGTAGCATCCATCAATTAATAATCACATAACATTAACATATTTGTGTCTCTTTACACATATGCACCATCATACGGAGCAGCTGTTACAACAACTCCCGGTAAGATCATGCATTGGCACTTGTGTAAACACAGAGTATTGAAAATGGTGCGGGTAAGCTGAGGCGCTGTATTGGACAGGACTAACTTCTATGTCCAACAAGATGTGGACCCCAATTAATTGAGCATGTGGCATACTTTTAAAGATTTCCACAACTCTTAAAATACATATTAAAAGTAATGATGTTTCAACCTAGTATTTTGCAACTGTGGGACCTTGGTCACGAACATGGTAATATTTGCACATTACACTGATGAGTAATATTCTAGGACATATGTTCTGCATAAATCATTATTAGTAATAGAGTTCAGACATCATATATATCTGCCTACGTGACTTTACCAAAAGAACCAAAGAGTATCATATTTACATGTTTGTCTCTCTTCACATATTCATAATAAAGGTTTGTGGGTTAGATCGCGTTTATTTATAAATGTGTCGTAACCCTCCACCACCCGACACGGCCAATCAGCAAAAAAAGTGTCACGTTGAGAAAAGACAAATAATTCACTACTTCAGCCCACCGGTGTGTTGAAGAGTTAATCCACATTTACAGTTTGAGTACGACGTTTCGCTGGTAAATACATCCAGCATCATCGGGCAATTCGCCAGAATGGTAAAGCCCTCGCTTGCTCCCGATTTTTATATAGAGCAGCAGGGTGACGTCATCACTTAACTCATATCAGGTGCAGTGATTAGAGGCGGAGGGGGGGGGGTATTGTAATTATATAATCGATTAGTAATCAGTCATTGGTTATGATTAGTAATGAGTTGTAGATTAGTAATTCTTTAAATGTAATGTGTATTATTTAATAATACGCTTCCAGGCCGCACTAAGCCAGTAGCTGTCAGAGCGATTAAAGTTATTCTTGTTCCTCTCAATTTCAATGGATTCTCTAATTAGTCTTTGCCAGTAATAATTAGTTTTACACACCACTGCAACATTGTCAAAATCAATTGAGTGTCCTTGTTGACAAGCATGTTCTGCCACTGCCGACAGTTGTGTTTGAGATAATTTAATATTTCTCTGATGTTCTTTTAGTCTTACCCTGATGTTACATCCCGTCTGCCCAATGTAGCAGCTGCCACATGAACAATTAATCCGATATACACCTTCTGTTGATAGTTTAGGTAATGCATATTTAGTGCAAGATACTAGTTTTTGAATTTTGTGTACTGTACCAAATCTTACTGTAATGTTTTGCTTTTGCAGAACACGGGCTAATTTGTCAGTTACTCCTGAGATATATGGAATTTTTCTTGTTTTAACAATCTGGTCGCTTTCAGTAGTATTGCTTTGCGATCGTGATTTGGCATTCAGTGCTCTGTTAATTTGAGCATTATTGTAGCCATTCTGTCGTAGTGCGTCTTTAACGTATTTAATCTCTCTCACTAGACTCTCACCATCTGACACTGTTTTGGCCCGATGTACGAGCATCTTGATAAGAGAGGATTTCTGAGCTGGATGATGATGTGATTCTGCATTCAGATAGGCATCAGTGTGCGTTTGCTTTCTGTAAACGCTGTGTGTTATTTTACCGTTTAGGCCATGTCCAAGCAAAATATCTAGGAATGGGAGTGTGTTATTCACCTCCATTTCCATGGTGAACTGGATGGCCGGGTTTTGTGCATTGAGATGATTTAGAAAATCATTAAGTGTATCTTTACCATGTGGCCAGACAACCAAAGTGTCATCCACATACCTAAACCAAAAGGATGGTTTTAATGTGCTCGAGGCAAGTGCTCTTATTTCAAAGTTTTCCATGTACAAATTTGCTATAGCAGGGGATAAAGGAGAACCCATTGCTGCTCCTTCCTTTTGTTTAAAGAAATCCCCTCTCCATAAGAAGTAAGTGTTATTTAAACAATGGCCAGCAAGTTTTGGAATATCTTTTTGTAAACCGGTATTCTTTACTAGTGTATCAAGTAATTTAAGCGATTCGTCCACTGGAACCTTAGTGAATAGAGAAATCACATCAAAACTTACCAGAATATCATCAGGAGTAAGTTTAATATCTTTAATCACATTCACAAGATGTTCTGAATTTTTTTTTGTGTCTCTTCACATATATTCACCATCATATGGAGCAGGGTCCATGACAACTTTCGGTGAGATCATGCAACACGATATGTACAAATAGATTACTGAAAGTGATGCCAACTCGGATAAGGAGCTGTGTAGAACAGGACTTGCTTTTACACCAGGGGTGGGGAACCTTTTTTCTGCCAAGGGCCATTTGGATATTTATAACATCATTCGCGGGCCATACAAAATCATCAACTTGAAAATGAGCCTGTTATATTTGGTCAAACATTTAATTAACTCGCCCCTAATGTGATGGCTGGAACTGCTTCTCTTTGGTGAGGTGATGATGTTAGCTGGTATTGATGATGATAGCTGGTATTGGTGATGTTAGATGGTATTGATGATGTTGCTACTCGCAACTACTTTTTCAGGTTTGCTCCTAGATTTATTGAATTTCGAGTCCCGCCTGCAGTTGTCTTGGCAGGGCCAGACCAAATGATGTTGCGGGCCTTATACGGCCCTCGGGCCGGACGTTCCACACCCCTGTTCTACACAAACAAGAGATTACACCTCGTTAATGACCCACTTGACGGTTATTTTTCTGATATAGCTCTTCATTAGATATCCAAATTCCCCTTTCTTACTGGAGACATATAGTTTGCCTTCATATCCGCATCTCCAGTTTTTTCAGCCTCCTACTCCCCAGCCCCGCTCACTTCCCAGCCCCAGCATTGTGTCGTGCTCGGTGTTGGAGCTTGCATTTCTCCACTCCCCCTACCCCACACCCCCACCCTCTCTATCTCTCCTCCCTGGCTCCTCCCCCCTCTCTTACTTATATAGCCTCTTGTTACAAGCAGCCCGCCCCTTTTTCCCACTTCAGCAATTGTTTCTTGCTGTGGTTGTTCCACCTGATGACGGGCGCTTGTGTAGCACCCGAAACGTCGTGATTTAATTTATTTTATTTTATACCTACGTGAGTATGGATCCCTGCAGTCACGAAAACTTCAAATCTAGATTGGAGACAAATGTAGAACACTCGTCCTATTTTAATCGTGTAAATGTGAGCGGTGGGCGTGGGGGGCGAGCGTGGTGCAATGAATCAATTGACCTGAGTTAGATCCCCAGACCATGGCTAACATCGTTGATGTAAAAGTGAAATATGGTCTTAGGCCCTCCTTTTACCATGCAACACTGACCAGGATGGCGAAGGATGGTCAGACAACCCTCGTGGCTTAAATGGTGTTGAGACTTTCATCCTGCTGTGGATTGACAATGGCCAACAGTATTAATTGAGGTTGACAGTCAAGTTTAACCGATGCTGCGACAGAGAATCTAATCCGTTCTGTGATGAGATGCAAAGAATAACCAGATCGATGGCATAATTGTGATACCTGTATCTGCAGTCCCTGCGTGTGCATCGAACTCATGCCAATACCGAGGATACTGCATAGAGGGGTGGACGTTTGAGTGGGGAATTTGGCTCCCCTACTCATGCATTTGCTATGGAGTCTTTTATGGCCCGGATTGTGGATATCCTGGTGAGTATGGTTCTTACTGCACTTATTGATGCATGTGCCTCTATGTTGTTGCAAGTATATATGAACCACAGATAAGTTCAGTTACCATGGTTATATTTGTGGGATTTAATAATGAAATCGTAGGATATATTTAAACAATATTTGCAGGGCTATGAATATAAATAAAACCTTTCCTCAGCAGTGGAAGAGAAGTTATTATTATATCTTATAAAGGTTTGTGAAGAAGGAATCGTGATCAGTAAAATAACGTGCAGCCACAACACGGGGATTTAATTCTAAATTAGCATTATTAATCGATTATTTTTGTTTGCTATCGAGATCATCAAACAATACTTATTTAAATAGTTTTATTTATTATGTGGAATATTTGTGTTAATCATGTACATAGACTGCTAGTAAGCACGGCCGCTCAGTGTTTGTCAATCAGTGGTTGTGTAGAGGCAGGAACTTGATCACTAACTTGTGAATATTCACTGGAGGACAGGCCTAGCTTCTACACTAAACAAGACGTAGAATATATTTAGTTGGGTATTCCATAACACCTTAACAATTACCTGTATTACTACTGACAACTGAAGGTTCACATTCAACAATTATAAAAAAAAAGGAAATGTACGAGCTTGTGATCATGATTTTGTTATACTTGCACATTTCATTATCTACAACATTCCCCATTTGCACTAGTGGTAATATAGTTTATTTATGATCCATAAAGCAGACATTTGGAAAGTAATGGTATTTTAGCTTTTAGTTTTGTAGAGGCATAAACGTTTGTCCCTTTCAATAAATTATTGTACATAACACTGAAGTTAAATATTCTAGGACATGTATTCCGTATGAATCATGAATAGCAGTATTATTCAGGAATGATTAAACAATCCATATCATTCTGTTTGTGTCTCTCTACATGCAATCGCCATCATACGGAGCAGCAAGCACGACTCCTCGTGAGATAACGCACCACAATCGTGTATACGTCGCACATTTTAAACTATTCTGATTCGGCTGAGCAGACGCATAGGACGGGACGAGCATCTTTCCTTAACAAAATTTGGATTCAAGTTGAATGGGCATGGAAGGGTATAGGGATATGAAAAGCATGCTAAGATACGTTTTTGAGATAGTGCGGAATTTCAATTTTGGGGATTATTCCAGAAAGGGAAGTGAAATTAATAACTTTTGTCATGTTGTTTCTCAATAAAATACTTAAGCAACATTCTTGCTGCAAAGACAATTGCAGCAAGAACAATACTGTCAGAAGCGTTTTAAAACTGAAACTCACCCCTATGAAATTAAATCGATAAATACGTTATTCCATTATACCTCAACATTCCCATCTATTTTTATTGAGAACTGCAGGTGCGGTTTGGTAATTTCACAATGAAAAGAGAACTCTCAACATTGTGGTTAAGCTATGGATATTTTCTCACATCTTCTTTAGCTGCAACAGCCAACAACCTCCGTGGAAAGTTCATTTCCGACTCCAAAGACATTTGGAAATAAATAATGTTTCAATGGAGGGTTTTGTAACTGTGGGACCATCACCGACACTGTATTAATATTCTAGGACATTCTGCATAAATTAGCAGGAGTAATCGATTTTAGACGTTATTAATCACAGCCATATTCACGTGTTTGTTTATATTTGCATGTATTCACCGTCATATGGAGCAGCTCCCACTACAACTCCCGGTGAGATCCTGCAGTGCAACTTGTGTACAGACAAACTATTGAAAGTGATCCTGGTTCAGCTAAGGAGCTGTGTAGCTTTACATTGTATCTTAAAATCAAAATGATGGCTGCAGACAACTGTATTAAAGCTTTTTAAAAAAATATATACATATATTAAGTTCATACATGAAATATGGTTTGAGGCGTTGGTGGAGTGGGTTGAAAGGCTATGGTATGCACCTAGAGAAGTGAGTCAAGATTCCTGTTTTAGCTAACATCCCTGAGTGATCTCTAGTTCCCAGGACCCCATTTCACCATCCAACACCAATTAAAATGCCTGTTTGTCTCTTTACATGTCCTCTTTGTCATACGGAGCAGCTTCTACGACAACTCCAGGTGAGATCTTGCGATGCAACCCCTGTAGATGCAGCAAATTGAAAGTGATGCTGGCTACGCTGAAGTGCTGAGTAGGACAGTACTAACTTGTACACAAAACAAGACGTGGAACCAAGATAATCAATTAACAGGTTACTCTTTGAGACCTTTCCAGTCATGTCAATTAAAAGTGAGAACTGGAGGCAGTGATTGGCTATGAATACAAATAAAATGCACCACATTGTGGTTTAGTTTATTTCACGTATCTTCTTTACCTACAGCAGCCACCAGTTCCTTGGGAGGTGAGAATTTTCACGCCATTCAAGAAATTGGACGTTCATCTAGTGATGATATCTGAGCTGATAGATTGCCAAATGCGGGAGCTCGATCCCTAACACATAGAATGTATATCATACTGCAGATAAATATTCCAGGAAATGTTTTCTGCATATATCATTCAGAGCAGTGGCATCCATCAATTAATAATCACACCACTTTAACGTGTTTGTGTCTCTCTATATGCACCATTATTCGGAGCAGCTTTTACAACTCCCGGTGAGATCATTCAATGACGCTTGTGTAAACACAGAATATTGAAAATGTTGCTGGTTCATCTGAGGAGCTTATAGGACAGGACTAACTTGTATGTTAATTGAGCATGTGGCATACTTTTAAATGTTTCCACTCAACTCCAAAAATACATATTAAAAGTAATTATGTTTCAACGGAGTATTTTGCAACTGTTGGACCTTAGTCACTAACAAGATAATATTAACACATATACACTGACGTTTAATATTTTAGGACAAATATTCTGCATAAATCATCAATAGTTATAGCGTTCAGACATTGATATTCACTATCATATTTACGTGTAAGTTTATCTTTTCACGCCTCCACCCTCATATGGTGCAGGTCTCGATGCAGGTGTTGAGTTCATGCGACATGTGTACAGACATAATATTGAAAGTGATGCTTTGTGTAGAACAGGACTTGCTTCCACACCAACAAGCAGGCGCTTGCTGGTTAATGTTCTTATATAGCTCTTCATTAGATGTAAACGTTTACCTCTCTTACTGAAGACAACGGTAGAACACTCGTCCTATTTGTAATCGTGTACATTTGTGATGTTAATTCCATGAATAAAACGTTGAGTGGTGGGCGGGGGGCGGGCAAAAACGGTGCACTGGTGGGACTGCTATGAACTCATTGACCTGAGTTAGATCCCCAGACCATGGCTAACATCGTTGTTGTGATACTGAAATTTGGTCCTTGGCCCACCTTTTACCATGCACCACTGACCAGCATGTTGGAGTACAGTCAGACTTACATCCAGCTTTGGATTGACAATGGCAGAAATTAGTGTTGAGGGATTGACATTGTCTAGTTTAAGCGATACCGCTAAAGAGAATCTAATCAACGACGTGATGAGATGCATAGAATAACCAGATCCACGGCATAATTGTGATACTTGTATCTGCAGTCTCTCCATGTGCATCGAACCCGTGCCTTAACGGAGGAGACTGCATAGAGCAGTGGATTTACTGGTGGGGAACTCTGCTCCCCTACTATTGCAATTGCCACGGAGTCTTTTATGGCCTACTTTGTGAAGATTTTGGTGAGCATGGTGCTTACTGTACTTATTTATGCACGTGCTTCTATTATGTTGCAAATATATATGAACCATAGACAAGTCACAATGCTTATCTTCGTGGGATGTAAAATTATTTAATAGGATATATTTAAGCAATATTTGCAGGGTTTAATCTTATCCTGAAAATAACGTGATGCTTAGATTTTTTTGGTGATGCAGTGACTGATTGGGACACCGTACTATGAATCAACCTACCTCGAGTTTTATTCATAGCCAAGGGTAACATCAGTGGCGACATCTGAACCATTTCTGGGCCCCACTTCACCAATCACCATGCCATGATTAACACGGCGTGGCGAAACCTTTCCTCAGCAGTGCGTGAGACATTGCTATTAAATGCGGTCGCCCAGTGTTTGTCAATGAGTAGTTGTGTAGAGGCAGGAACTTGATCACTAACTCGCACATTTCATGATCTACAATAGCCACGATTGCCACTGCTATTAATAAAATTTGTGTACTATCCGTAAATGAGAAAATTGAAAAATATATTTTTTCTGATCGTTTTGTAGAGGCACAAGGATTATCCTTTTACAAATACTCTTTGGTTCTTTCGGTAAAGTCACGTAGGTATAAGATCAAATAAATCACGACGTTTCGGTCGCAACACAAGCGTCGGTCATCAGGTGAAAATAGTTAAACATAACACTAAAGTGAAATATTTTCGGACATGTATTCGGTATGAATAATGTATAGCCGTATGATTCAAGAATTAATAATTTAAACTGTTTCTGTTTTTCCACATGCAATCACCATCATACGGAGCAGGTACCACAACTTCACGTGAGACCACGCACCACAACTCCTTCATATGCGGCACATTTTAAGTTATTCTGACTCAGCTGAGCAAAAGTATCGGACGGGGCTCTCATTTATGCTAAACAAGACGTAGTAGCCAGTTACATGTCCATGCAATAGCATCATGTCATTCCACAGGATATTAACATTTATATTTATTACGATAGTGATCTGGAGGCTCGTATTGGGCAGTTACTGAAAAGGAAATGCACGACCTTGTGGTTATGAATTTGTTATTCTTGTACATTTAATTATCTGAAACAGCCCCCATTTCCACTGGTGATGAGAATTTGCACACCACTTGTAGATCAGACATTTTGAAAGTAATGATGGTTCAGCTGAAAGTTGTGTAGAGTCATGACCTTTATTCGTTTAAAAAAATAATTGCACATGACACTGCAGTGAAATATTATTGAGTATGTATTCAGCATGAATCATGAAGGGCTATATAATTCAGGAATGAATAAGCACTCCATATTAGTTTGTTTGTGACTCACTACATGCAATCGCCATCATACGGAACAGCTACCACGACTCCCAGTGAGATCACGCACCACAGCTCATGTATATGCAGCACATTGAAAGCAATTCTGGGTCAACTATAGAGCTGCGTAGGACATGACTAGCTTATACACCAACAAGAGATAGCACCTCGCTAAGCAGGAATTTGCCAGTTAATTTTCTTATATAGCTCTTCATTAGATGTAAAAGTTTACCTCTCTTCCTGGAGACAACGGTAGAACACTCGTCCTATTTTGAATCCTGTACATTTGTGATGTTCATTTCATGAAGAAAACGTGGAGTGGTGGGGGGAAACGGTCCATTGGATGGACTGCTATGAACCCATTGACCTGAGTTAGATCCCCAGACCATGGCTAACATCGTTGTTGTGATACTGAAATTTGGTCCTTGGCCCACCTTTTACCACGCAACACTGAGCAGCATGGTGGAGTACAGTCAGACTTACATCCAGCTTTGGATTGACAATGGCAGAAATAATAATTGAGGGATTGAAATTGTCGAGTTTAAGCGATGCCACTACAGAGAATATAATCCATTACATGATGAGATGCAAAGAATAACCAGATCCACAGCATGATTGTGATACCGGTATCTGTAGTCCCTGCATGCACATGCAACCCATGCCAAAACGGAGGGAGCCGTATGGATGTGTGGACTGGTGGGGCACTCTGTGCCCCTACTGGGGTACGCACGACTTAAACTGGTCTGGCCCTGACTGTGAACACTAGTGTATGGTTCTTACTGTACTTTCTGTAAATATATAAGCATGAGTAATATATTTGCACAATACTTGTGCAAAATATTCGTTGATATGGTCTGCATACATTAAGAAATCTAGAGTTGATCAATTAATAACAACACTTCTATATATAAATCTGTTTGTGTCTACTGTATCTACATGTATTCCGCATCAAACAGCGCAGCTCCCACTACTACTGGCGAGATCAAACCCTAGCAATATCCATCTTGGTTTAACACGCAGGCTTTCTAATTAGTCTTGGCCAGTAGTAGTTAGTTTTGCACAACACTTCAACATTATCAAAATCAATTAAGTGTCTGCTACTGTTGACAGTTGTATTTGGGAGTATTTAATATTTATCTGATGTTCTTTTCATTTCGTGCTGATCATTCATCCATTTTGCCCAATATAACATTTGCCACAAGTGCAGTTCACCCTGTACACACCTTCTGTTGATAGCTTCGGTAATACATCGTTTGTACCAGATATTAATTTCTGTATTTTATGTACTGTGCCAAATCTCACTCAAATGTTTTGTTTTTCCAAACATCTGGCTAGTTTATCAGTTACTCCCGCAATGCACGGTATTTTGATCGTTTGAATTACTTGGGCAGTTTCAATGCTCGTGTTATTTGATTTGGTTTTGGTATTCAATTCCCTGTTGATTTGTGCATAATTGTTCATTTGCAGCGCTTCTTTAATACTCATCAGACTGTCACCATCTGAAACTTTCTAGGCCCGATGAATGAGCGTCTTGATAAGAGCAGATTTGTGTGCGGGGTGATGGTGTGACTCTGCATTCAGATAGGCGTCAGTATGTGTTTCCTTTCGGTAAACGCTGTTTTCTTACCATTTCGACCCCGTCCGACCAGAATATCCATACATCGTAGAGTTCTGTCAGCTTCGACTTCCACGGTGAACTGGATGGATGGGATTTTGCGAGTTGAAATTATTTAAAAATTCGTTAAGTGTATCTCTGCTGTGTGACCAGACCACCAATGTGTCATCCACATATCTAACCCAAACAGATGGTTTTAGTGTGCTTGAAGCTATTGCTTTTGTTTCCAAATCTTCAATGTACAAATTCGCTATCACAGGAGACAAAGGAAAGCCCATTGCTGCTCCTTCCTTTTGTTTATAGAAGTCACCTTTCCACAAGAAATAGGTGTTCTTTAGGCATTATTTATTTCAATGTATTACTATTTGACTTTTCCCCCCCATTAATATAATGGTAATACATCCAAACTTTGTTCTACTGAAATGTTGCATATCGAATAGTCATTAGTTGAGGTATTACTGTATTTGGGTGAGTATGGTTCTTACTGTACTTTTTGGTGCATGTGGTTCTGTCTGTTTGCAAATATATATGAACCATAAATAAGTTGACTGTCACCACACATATCTTCGTGGGATGTAAAAACAAATCCAAATCAGGATATATTCGTACATTTAAATGTGATGCTTGCAATGTTTACTATAGGCCTGAAAATATCATGAATTGAGATTTTTAAATCACGAAGTGAAAACAGTGTTTGGGGAATTCCACTATCAATCAGCCAACATGAGTTTGATTCCCAGCCATGGGTAACATCAGTGGCGACTGATATCTGAACCGTTCTTGGGCCCCCACTTCACCATACGCCACGCCATGGTTAACACGGCATGGGAGGCCCTTTCTCCAGCAGTGGATTGGCAAGGGTTTTCAAATTGTTATCATAATAATATCTTTTAAAGTTTTTGAAAAGGAGACTAAAAAAAAAATCACATGCAGCCACAGCGCCAGAACCTAAGAGTCAAATATTGCATTAATCGAGGGGAACTAATATTGAGCATATATTTTGATTTTCAATTAAGATCATCAATAAAATATATATTCAAATATTTAACTTATCATGTGGTCTATGTGTTGTCGTTCATGTACATATACTCCTATTAAACACAGTCGCCTCAAGTGTTTGTCAATGGGTAGCTCTGTCGTGGGAACTAGATCACTAACTCGTGAATATTTGCACATCACAATAAAGTATAATATTCTACAATGTATTCTTGGTTCTTTCAGTAAAGTCACGTAGCCATCTGGCTACCATGAGGCTATGAACATATACAAACACAGAGACAATTTCAACCGAGAAGATGGATTCTGGCTTAGCAATCATTGGAAGGATTTGATAAACCATTTCGGGTATTAATTGATTGATCACGCTTAAGGTGGCTTTCAGACCGCATCCATTATTTTTCGTCTACCCCTCCTCTTTTCCGAACATAGATGGACTCGTCCATCTGAACAAACTGTCAAATCTCTCTCCGTGGTGCTAACGTAAAAAATAACCGCCATTTTTTAAATTTTCTTGTTGTGGTTTTCACACCTGATGATGATTGCTTGTGTTGCAGTCGAAACGTCGTGAGAATTTTAGTGTTTTATATTTGTATTATTTTATTGTTTCCCTTCTACGTGACTTTACCGAAAGAACCAAGAATATGAATCCCTGCAATCACGAAAGCTTTAAATCAAAATTCTACAATGTGTTCAACATGAATCAGGAAGAGCAGAAAAGTTCAGCAATTCATATTTACACTGTATTGATTTGTTTGTGTCCCTTTACATGTGTTCACCATGACATGGATCAGCTTCCACTACCGGTGAGATCTTGCAACGCAACTCGTGTAAACGCAGCATATTTAAAGTGACACTGACTCAGCTGAGGGGCTTTCTAGGACAGGAATACCTTCTACAACAAACAAGATGCGGAATACAGTTAAATAGACATGTAATGACACCCATTTACGTGTTATTCCATTGGATCTTTACATTCATTGCAAATGCAGGCTCATTCAGCAACTATTTAAAAGGAAATGGACGACCTTGTTGTTATGATCGAGTTATTCCTGCTAATTTCATTATCAATAAAACCCATTATCAATGGCGGTGCCGTAATTTGCATACTCAAACAGATATTTGGAAAGTAATGAGATTTAAATTGATAGTTTTGTAGAGGCTAGAGTTTGATCACCAACAAGAGAATTGTTACACGTGACTAAAGTGCACTATTGTTGGATAGTCTCCATAAATCATCCACACCATATTCATGTATGTGTCTCTTTACATGGATTCGTCGTCATATGGAGCAGTTTCCACAACTACCGGTAAGATCAAGCAACACAACTTGTGTAAATGCAGCAAATTGAGGAGCGATTTCAGACAGGACTAGCTTCGAAACGAACAAGATATAACACTTGCTGGTTGTTTTCTTACGTGGATTTCCATTAGATCTAAAAAAAAACACGTATCACTCAAAGCAATTGTAGAAAGTTTAATATATTTTTTTATTCGTGACTTTAAGTTCACGAAAAAAATACGGCATGGGGCTGTCGCACAGTGGCCTGAAGAATTGTGCTATGAACCCCGCGACCCGAGATCGCTGACGGTGGCCAACATCATTGCTTAGTGTTGTCTCCGTTGGTCCGAGGGTCACCTTTCACCATCTCACATCATTGTTTCTGTTTACACATGTCTTCACCATCATATTGAGCAGAGCGCAATATAACTCCTGGTGAGATCTTGCAACGTAACTCTTGTAAACATTGATAGTGATGCTAGATCAGAAAATGAGCCGTGTAGACCAGGACTAGCTTCTACACTTAGCACTTCGTTAAGCTGCCACTTGCTGGTTGTTATCCTTACATAGCTCTAACTACAGAGAACTGCATGGGATTGCGCTATGAACCCAGGCACCTCAGTTCCAGGCCATGGCTAACATCACTGATGCATGTCTGAATTGCTTTGATGTGACCTTTCACCAGTCATCAGCGTGGTGGAGTATCGTCAGTCATCCCCTATGGCCGACATGCTGGGGAGAGGCTTTCACCCAGCAGTGGAGCAACAAAGGCTGACATTTATTATTACTATTAATAGGCTTACACTATCAACTTCATACGATGTTGCTCAAGAGAGCCTAATGCATGGACTGATGCAATGCAAAAAAATACCAGATCCACAGCATAATCATATCGGAATTTGTAGGATCGCAGTGTGAACCAAACCCGTGCCAAAATGGAGGGACCTGCTTTGAGTCCCGGTCGTTATGGTGGAACTATCAACGCTCCTACCAGTGCATCTGCCCTCCATACTGGTCTGGGCCAGATTGTGCATATCCTGGTGCGTATGGTTCTTACTCTACTTGGTGTGCTTCTGCCTTTTTGTGAATATATAGCAACTTTAAACATGTTCACCATCACCACACTTATCTTCGTGGGATGTAAAAACAAATCCAAATCAGGATGTATACTCGCACATTTAAATATGATGCAATGTTTACTATAGGCCTGCAAATATGATTAATTTATATTTTTAGATCACGAAGTGAAAACAGTGTTAAGGAAATTCAATTATGAATAGGCCAATCTGAGTTTGATTCCCAGCCATGGGTAACATCAGTGGTGACTGATATTTGAACTGTTCCTGGGCCCCCATTTCACCAATCACCACGCCATGGTTAACACAGCATGTGGGAAACCATGCAATGGATTGTTATTCGAATAATATCTTATAAAGGTTTCGTGAAGGAGACTTGATCACCAAAAAATTACACAGCCACAACACCTGGACCTTTAGAGTATAATATTGCATTAATCTAGGGCATCTAATATTGCACTTAGATTTTGATTTGCTATATCAAAAATAATTAAACTCTTTTAATTGCGTGGTCTCTGTGTTGTCGTTGATGTGCATGTGCTAATAAGCAGTCACATAGTGTGTCAATTTGTAGAGTTGTGTATATTTGCACATTACATTAAAAGTGTAATTTTTTGTAACATGTGTTCAGCATGAATTATGAAGAGCAGAAGAGTTCTGTAATACATCATGTTAACGTGTTTGTGTATCTTTATATATGTATTCACCATCACATGGATCAGTTTCCACTCCACCGCCTGGTGAGATCATGCAACGCAACTCATGGTAACGCAGCACATTGCGAGTGAAGTTGGATCAGATGAGGAGCTGTGTAGGACTGGACTAGCTTCTACACCAAACATGATGTAGAACCTAATTAATTCGGCATTCTACGATGCCGTAACATTTTCAGAACGTTAGGCTCGTATTTTATATTAAAAGGAAATGCAGTACCTTGTGGTTATGATTGATTATTCTTGCACATTTCATTATCTCAAACAGCCATCCTTATCAATGGCGGCGAGATAAATTACGCACCACTAACAAAACAGATCTTTGGATCGTGACGTTATCCCAATTGAGGAAATATTTCCACAACACAATACACCATAGTCAGATGTTTGTGTCTCTATATATGTATGCTTCGTCATATAGAGTAGTTACCACTGCAACTGCTGGTTAGATCTTGCAACTCAACTCGTGTAAACGCAGCATATTGAAAGTGGGGCCTTTATAGAGAGTTTAGGGTTATGGTTGGGTCTGTGCAGCGTCATAGTTCAAATTTGAAAACGTCATGGCATAGTGAGACTTTCTTAGTTAAACAAATGTAATACGTCTAATACAACTATAATATCCATAACATCATACTTTTTCAGTCTTGAGCAACCCAGATAACTCTTGCATAGTGTTTTACGACATGCACTGGATGATTCTAGGTACTGTGAACATTATTTAAAATTCAAGGCTCACATTTTTTAAAAGCTTGTGCTGAATGTAATGTCTCTCTCGAGTGGCTGCCCGGGGACATGGGACCTAATCGCACATGGCTTGTCTACCGAAAAGAATATATTTTCACTCATGCCATGACGATTGCAGTGCGTTTGAGTCACTGAATCGTTACTCGCCTAATTTTTATATCAATCAACGACATTAAATAAAGTGAGATTCATGAACACGTCTGATTATCACGGTTGGCTACGTAGGGTGCAAACGTTCACACAAACATACGTCAAGTACAGTACAAACAACAACACTCGAATGTGTATGCATTCATTGCGGCTGTAAGAGGGTTCTGACATCCATCCGAGTGCAGTATAAACACAAATTAGGGATATATTGTTGACAAAAGTGTTGAAGTCGATTGCACATTTTACAGGAGGCTCAAGTCTTGTAGACTTGCAACCTTCTAAAACATCTTAGAAAATGTAATTAAAACAAGCCCTATAATTTGTGACATTACAGCTGTATGTTGGACTTCTTTTGCACCATACATAGCCAGCCGTGCTAATCAGGGGCACGGATAATGATAGAACATGTGGCAACCAGGTAATGCTAAGGCATGTGTGGCAGTTTCACTCTTCCTCGAGTTTAAGAACAGCCAGGCGGTGGTTACTATGCACACCTGGATCACACACATGCTGTGAAACTCCTTTCCCATGGGCATCGAGGTGGTGCATTACCATGGCTTGCCAGGGGAATGCGACACGGCAAAATGTGGACTCCATCTGTTCTATCTGTACGGGATAGTTTGTTTGCTCCCCTTGCATGCGTGGGTTTTCTCAGGGCGCTTCGGTTTTCTCTGGCATGCAAGCACTCATTAATTGGCCAACAACACCTTAATATATAGAGGACCGTAGATCTTGGGGGAGAATTTGGCTTCAGCTCACCTTTCCCAGTTGTCTGTGGTTCCTTCTTGTTCGTTTAATTTGCTCTCTCTGGGAGAATGAGCGAATACTGCGCGGCAAGTTACAAGTCTAAATGATTATCATTCAGTGTCACGTGGGTTGATTATACTGTGCACGATTGCCCGATTGGCTTAGGAATCCAACAATGCCTTTTTGGCCTCGAGGATTTTGCAATCGTGAAAAGGTAATTTCATAATGCACGGTTCTCTTTTCTCAGGGGGATGTCTGTCTTTCCCATGCCTCAATGGCGGAGTCTGCAATTCCCAACAGTTCTATCCCTACTACAAGTGCCGATGCAGCCCAGGCTTGACAGGCGTCAACTGTGAACATTTTGGTGAGAGGTTTCCCTGTATTGCGTTCTGGTAGGCATTGTACACGGAATGCATGCGTGTGTGTGGAGTGCTGGAGCAGCGGTTACCACACTGCGCTATGCACCCGGCTATCCAAGTTCTATTCCTGTTCTTGTCCAACACCACTGAAAATTATCTGAATCTGTCCTGGGCCTCCCCTAGTTCTAAAGCATTTGTTTTTAGTCAGATGCATTTGTGGAAGTGAAAATGGATGCGCCAACGTTCTTCGTGCACGTCCACTTTGCAGAGTCACCGCAACTGAACTGCACATCGCAATCCCTGGAGCTGCAGATCCCACTGGACGAACTGAGCGCACTCAATCTCTCACCGTTTGACATCCACCTGGAGGACCCCTTGTGCCGTGGCTACTGCACGCAGCAGTACCTGATCCTGCACAGCGACTTGCAGTCCTGTGGCACCACGGCCGAGGTATTTCAACTGGGACCCTGCGAACTGATAAACCCCGCACACACACCTGGGATCCTGGACTATTCTTACTTGACTCAGGACTCGTACCCAAGACCTGCGATTCAGCTACCTTTCCCTCTGCTGCTCCAAAAGGGAATTCTGCAGCTATACTTGCAGATAGCCACAACAGGTCAATTTGAAATCAGAAAAAGGCTGTAAAGCATATTCAATCGTACGTCGTTTCGAGTTTCAGGTTACATAAGAAGGTGATGCTATTCAATTCTGTTCTTTCACATGGCAATATGAACCTTATGGCAGGACCCCAGGGTCCCATAATCCCCCGGCTCTCGCATGAACTGCGTTGCGACGTAATTTTTTGTCTGATGAAGGTGAACGATACGAACAATCTATTCCTCTCGATGAGCTCTATGCGATGCGCTAATCAAGGTTTCAACGTTTTGTTTCTTCTGCACATTTGTTCTCGCTGCGCTTGGACGACATGACAATAGAATGATCCACGCCAGGTGGGTCAGGGCGTTGATATGCGCGGTGGGACGGAGTCGCCAAAAATACATTAACTAATTACGCTTTTGACTTCAATTTATTCAGGACCCCGGGGTCCTGCCATAAGGTTCATATGTACAGGCGATAAATGCAAATGTCAAAATCTGCTGCTAGCCCCAACGAGAGGGCTTTCGGAGAGTTTGTGTAGTTTTGATATTCCTCCTCCGTTGAAGGAGCACATGGCCACAGTCGCACCACTGTGGCTTATCCTAAATTTTCCATGAAGATGTGTGCAACAGCCTGCTGAAGTTCTGACGCGGTTGATTGGTAAACCTGTGTGTTAGAAGAATGTCAAAGCCAGGGGGGTGGTGTTATGTGTGGGTCTCAAATGCGGTGTATATTCTGGACATGATGCTATTGAGTGAGAGGGATGGAGGGGGCACGTGTGCTCAATGTTGTTCTCCCTCTCCCCAAGGCCCACGGCGACACCATCGTGTACTCGAACACGGCGTACGGCTTTGTGTCGGGAACCACCGCCAAGAAACTGCGCATCCCCGTGCACTGCTACATTGGGTCCGAAGGGAATGTAGTAGCGAGCTACGTGCCCAGGTAACGGCACCGGCTTCCAATGTACTTTTTTTCCTGGGTGAAACGAAGCTCTTAAAACGTCTAGGTCGATGGTCTTTGGTGACTTATTCGTCGACTAAAAGTTACTGGCAACTGCACGCAAGAGACTGACATTTTCCCAACAATTATATTTATATTCTTGGTTTTTTCGGTAAAGTCACGTAGAAGGGAAACAATAAAATAATAAAAATATAAAACAATAAAATTCTCACGACGTTTCGACTGCAACACAAGCAATCATCATCAGGTGTGAAAACCACAGCAAGAAAATTTGAAAAAAGTGCCGTTTTTTTAACGTTAGCACCACAGAGAGCGATTTGACAGTTTGTTCAGATGGACGAGTCCATCTATGTTCAGAAAAGAGGAGGGGGGAGACGAAAATAATGGATGCGGTCGGAAAGCCACCTTAAGCGTGAACAATCAATTAAGACCCGAAATGGTTTATCAAATCCTTCCAATGATTGCTAAGCCAGAATCCATCTTGGTTGAAATTGTCTCTGTGTTTGTATATGTGGATAGCCTCATGAACGAATCTCTCATAATAGCCAGATGGCTTGCAAATAACCTCTGTCTTGGAGAAGTCAATGTCATGTGAGCCTACTGAATTATAACAGTGATCTGCCATGGCCGAGGTGTTGGTCCGACCGTGTTTTAGGTCAGCTTTGTGTTCAAGAATGCGGTCCGAGACATGTCGTTTGGTTTCTCCATTGTAACTACTACCACAGAGGCAACTTCGTTTGGGTACTGTATGTCCGGAATCACATCTTTTACAGACGGAACCAGATCACGGATTTTATGTAATGTCTTGAATCGGACCTGGATCTTGTGTTTATTCAAGATTTTGGAGATCTTTTTTGTGATCCCCGCAATGTAGGGTAAAGTGATGGTTTTGAAAGGCTCCTCAAGAGGGTCCTTCTTCATGGTTGGAGTGATAGCTTTGCGGATTGTGAAAACAATAACCGACACTTTTTTCAAATTTTCTTGCTGTGGTTTTCACACCTGATGATGATTGCTTGTGTTGCAGTCGAAACGTCGTGATAATTTTATTGTTTTATATTTTTATTATTTTATTGTTTCTGTTCTACGTGACTTTACCGAAAGAACCAAGAATATGAATCCCTGCAGTCACGAAAGCTTTAAATCAAAAATCATATTTATGACTATCAATGAATATAGTGAAGATCAGCCATAATCTATCTACTGCTGGATGAAGGCCTTTACAAGCCTGTACTATTTATCTAGACTCTTACACGCGAGTTGAATTCTTGGCTTGCACATCCACGGTAGATGTATAGCTTTGTTTAGCCTCCTCTCCGGTCGTTCGTCTCAATCGCTAAACATTCATCCTTCCACAGCCGACTTTTCTTCACAGTATGTTCTTTAATCCATGCAACCCTCTGAATGTGTCTCGGTCTAAATTACAGGCATCTCTCTCTCTCTTCTTCTCTATACACTTTTTAGCTTTTTTTCTCAAGGGGAAGTCCTTGTGCACGAGTATATATTTTGTAAAATTATCCTTCTGAAATGTTGAGGCCCTCTCATTTTCGCGCTGCAGAGTGCATGACAAGTACAGCTCGGGCACCTTTGACCTGAGCATGGTGCTCTACATGGACCAGAGCTTCGGTCAGCCTGTCTACTCGTACCCATTCGAGGTGGACCTTGGTGCCCCGATCTACGTGGAGGTGGGACAGATTAATTAATTGCTGTGTTTTCAAGAACCAGTGTAGCAAGGTGGATTCCTCACAATCTGCTGAGGTGGCAAATAAAAAAATGTTATTCAAATTAGTGATAATGCATATAAAAAACTGTTTGAACAATACAAGCACGCATGAAGTCCCAGTGTGCTTTGTCGGAATGCAATCACCCTGTTGCATATTTTTAAGGCTAATGATTTTTTAAATATTAAAAGCAACATTTTTGTTATAAACTGGCATATGTGGATCCTTAAAAAGGGACAAAACAATCATCAGTGGATACGGGAAAGGCCAAGGCGTCATAGGAGCAAACAGAATAAATGTTGCTATTAGCCAGTGCGTTGCACAACTTACATATCTATCATTCATACAGCACACAATTTGACCCATGGTTAATTCTATTTCATAAAAGCCCAAGCCATTCGTAAGGTTGCGTGTCTTTGTGGTCGATGCACGTTCACCGATTTGTTTACGACGTTGAGCACACTGCCCCATCCCTCTCCGCATGCAGCCCACCCCACGCCTAATAGTTAATCTATGTGTTTCTTCACCAGGTCTTTCTCAGCTCCCATGCCAACGACCTGCGGCTGTTTCTGGAGACGTGCAGAGCCTCCCCCTTCACCGGCGCCAATGACAGCGACGCCTACTTCATCATTAGAAATGGGTACACAGCCGACTTGGCTCTCTGTGGGATTGAAGCCCATGTATCTCTTAATCAAGCTACGTACAAGCCAGATAGTGGTGGCTCTGCACGTTGCCTCTAATCCAGCACTGTGGAGGCGAGGGTTGATGGATCACACACAGCTGTTGTTAAACTCCCTTCCTGTGGACGTCGAGGAGATGCCATACACTGGCTTGCCAGGAGAAAGCAGAACAGCAAAGTGTGGACTGAAATATCTTCTTTCTGTATGGGATAGTGTGTTGTCCCCTCGCATGTGTGGGTATTCATGGGACAGGTATAAACGCTAATTGGCCGATAACTCCTTAATATATAGAGGACCGCAGAGCTTGGGGAAGGGGGGGATATTTGGTGTAGGCTCACCATGTGGCTGCTTTCCCTGCATGGCTGTAGTTCGTCACACCCCAATCACTCTTCTCCAAGTGTGAGCATTACAATTTTACTTTACTATAATTATTTTGACCACGTGCCCATCTTTCCATTCATGGAATGCCTGTTGCTCATCCGATTCCATAATTACTAGCGCCATCAATAATGCATGTGAATACCTGTCTAAAATAATTTTGTTAATTAAATTAAGTGCTTCTCATTTGGCGAGCACGAAAACTTGCCAACGTGGCCTGACACACAAACACGCCTCCTTAATGTTTTCCATAATGCAGATATGGTGTACACCACCTTTCACAATGAGCATGTGGTGGCAAGAGCGGTGTATCATTGATATCAGCACTAGGCCATGGAGAATGAACATAGATACTTGAATGTGTTTGTGACGGCACATGTTCGTGGGGCCGCAGATGTCAACAGGATCTATCCTACGTCAACTACAACAGTGGCGACAACAAGAGACAGCGTTTCAGCTTCCAGAGTGTTGAGTTCTCCAATGGCTTTCAGGTAAAGTTCCCAACTCCTTCACCCCCGAGGTTTCATTAAAAAAAAAACTCTGTGGCCTCCTTACGTTCGGGATTATCGAAAGATTGCATCCTTTTCTCACATCTCTGATTTCCACGTGAAACAATAATGTAACCAACATGCTTAATGACAGGGAAACCTTTCTATAATCTGGAAAACCCCTTTTCGTGGTATCCAGTCAGCTCCCATTAGCATCTCACAATTTTAAATGTATCCATGGTGTATATTTTACAAATCCATATTACGGGCAATGCACACCTGCTGTGGGCCCAGGTTGTCCCATATGCTCTCGTGTGCGTATGACAAACGTACGCACATGTTTCTTTGATCCTACCCCAATGTTAATATATGTATCTGTTATTCACCACGTTAACCGCGCCCTGTGTTAGTTATTCTTAGGTGGGAAGTTTGTCTTGGAGGATTTTCATCTCCAGCAACGCTTGCTAAATTCCAGACTTGCTGTATGAGGGTCATACTTACCATTACTCCTAGAATTAAAATATCACAGTAGGCAAGTTATTTTTAGCTACAAAAATGCACAACTCTAGAGCACGAGGGCATAAATCCAAGGGCAAATGAGTATATGAACAAGGGGAACCGTTCCGGAAGCCAGTTTCTCCCAGATTCATATCGCTAATTCCTCCCCCCTCACCATATCTGGTGTTGAAAATGTTCCCTGAGCTGGATTATTGAGTATATCAGTGCTTGAACATATGCGTTGACAAGTGTATAGAAGGCACAGGTTACCATATGCGGGTCTAATATTACTGTAACGTTTCGTAGTTGTGGTACATGGTGGGAGGTGGGGTTCCAGTGTGCAAGAGTAGCCATCAAAGGATTGCCGATGGGTAAAATCCTTTAGCACATGAAGCAGTATATACGCACAGCAGTATATACAGCACAAGTGTAGCCTCTGGTATGGTCTCTCTGTACCGCAGCAGTAGATAGAGACACTTGTTCTTGGTGTAGTCGTTTCACACTGCAGCATCAGATGGAGCGCTCGGGGTCCTTGGTGTGGTCTCACCACACTCCAGCAGCAGATAGAGCACACGGCTGCTCGGGTACTACCGTGGTCTCTTCACACTAGACACTCGTAAGCCAGGATTCTCTCATAGGGCCTATCACAGTTACTGATGTGGCCTTTTCAAGTAAGCAGCAGCTACAGCACACCTGCTCTTGTTGTCGTCTTTTCACACTCCAGCAGCAGACAGAGCGCTTAGTTATTTGGTGTGGTCCCTCCACAATCTCCAGTAGTCAACCATGCATACGCGTGGCTCTTGGCGTCGTCTCTCCACAAAGTAGCAGTCCGAAGTTCAGAACATTAAGCCCCCCCGCCATTGCATGTTGTACCTATGCTCATTTGTATAATCCAGAGGGCCTTCTCACTGGATGAAACTTTGGCTGGGCGACACCAAGATTTTCCACTCAATTCATACAATACATAAGCATGGTCTCACCCACTCCTTCACAAACACCGCGAACAGATCAGAGAGCCGCATTCTCTGAGCAAATTGTATGGAGGGGGAGGGGATTCTCTTTTAACTCGTCACAATTAATTGCCCTCATTATTTGGTTTTGCAGTGCTATTTATGCATTTGCCCATTTCCAATAAGTGATGAGATGATACAATGCACAGCGATTGATTGATGTCTTCTGTGTTACTTTTGGTAATATGCATATATATCTGCATTGGGTAATCTCCTGCATCACAGCAGAGCATAATGGATGCGTTTTTCACGTGTGTATCTTCATATATGCCATCACAATCCATAATATTCGGACATTATAAACACAAAGGCTTCATTTTCGAGAACACAAACCAATCAGTAAAGTAGAACTAAGTAGCAAGGAGCTGCATCCCTTACTTTAGAACCACATTACTTTTTTACATTTCCAAATTAATATCAAATGGTACCCTTTTGCAGATACAATTGATTAACACAGCCTAGTAAAGCTTTGGCGTTTGCATTGTCCCTGTACTGTTCGCCAGTTGGCGGCCTTTGGCCTAGCGCTGATGATTAAAGGACAATGCATACATTTTCAAAGCATATTTACATGCATTTTTACCATGAGTATGTGTGGTTAATGCAGATTTGATGCTTTGTAATAAATGTCTATTTGGTGTTTGAACATCTAAAAGCACCTGTATTTATGCCTTTTTATCATTACATTTTTAATACAAATTTTGTTGCAGGTATTAATTTCAAAATGTATATATAATCATTCAAAAACACATGTACAAAGCAACTGTTAGTCAAAGAAAATGTAGGTCATGGTTTCTTACGGAATTAAATTGTACTGTCGCTACTTGTAAGTAGTTTGGTGGTGTTTACATTTGTAAAGAAATGATAATGACCGATACTTTTACCGATGTCCTTTGCAGGTGTACCTGGAGTGCTCTGTACGCGTTTGCCATATTTCTGACCTGAACTCGAGATGCCAGCGAGGGTGCGTGCGCGCCAAGCGGTCCGTGCGTGACCTCGTCAGCCGGGATAATCGTGCTGAGCACAAAGTGGACCTCTCCCAGGGCCCCGTGCTGCTCCGCAAGTCACGCCAGGGTGAGCTCCTCCTTACTGGTCGGCTGATCTCCAATGTGCCCTCTGACAAATGGCACTGGCACAACTCTGATCTGTAGAAGCTGGGAGGGAGGATTGGGTAACAGATGAAAAGCGTTGCCATAAGATAATACACAATGATAGGCAAGTCATGTTAATTGACCCATGGCAGCCATGTGCAATGATTCGCGGTGATCCATATATTTCACATAATAAACAAGCGTACCAAATGTCTCCTTCATATATGTTAATTTAAAATTGTTTAAAAGTATTCTTTACACAAGCCATCGGCCCCACGGCTTTCTAGGAGTAAGTTCATACAGTAGCCCTCGTACAGGACGCCGCTCTCCTTCTATATTACAGTTACATGCTAATTTATTACATTAACATCACTAGCCCCGGTCACTTCTTTATGACCCTTGGGCTGCACCCATTTCAAAACTTTTTAAAACAGTCTGCCTCAGCAGCAGGCCATCATGCTTTCCCACCTGATGACGGACGCTTGTGTTGCGCCCGAAACATCGTAATTTATTTTATTTTATACCTACGTGGCTTTACCGAAAGAACCATAGAGTATGCATGCAGTAGCATTGAGTTAGTACAAGAAAAACCCTGAACCATAAATATATGCACATTAACTGAAAAGCTATCGGAATGTCTTTATGAACCAGTTAAATTTCATATCGCTTATGCTGTGTGGTGACAGGCCCATAGTGTACCCAATTGATTTCCTCAGTTTTCATCAGGTGCACAATTAGCAGGGCTCTGCTGAAGCATCATGCAATGTGCAGGTAACACACACATTGGAGGAATTTAAAGTGAAAATGGACAACCGTGTCATATTCACACAAACGCACGCAAATATTTTTTTAGACTGCAAGAATCTGGCGAGCTATGAAGCTTTTTTTCACAGATGCATCGTAGGGGTGGCTCAGCAAGTTACAACAAGATATATATGGAGAAGAGTCTCACATCTCTGTATTGGCTGACTTGTGTGCTTTCGCTGGTGTTACCGCCCCTCCCTTTCCACCGCAGCTTCTGGGGTGCTGAGCTCGCTGGCGGGCATGGTGTACGCCCTGGCTGCCGCCCTGGCCGTAGCTGCCGTGTGCGTGGCCGCGGTGAAAGTCTACCGCCACCGCGCCGCAGGGCCCCGTTACAAACCCCTCGTCACGTACGAAGAATTCACAACTTAATGGATGCCACCTCCAACATGATATCTTGCATGAAATCATTATATATACCAAATAGGTGTTTGGGTTTACTTAGATTGGATTTCAGAAGGCGTATATTCATTTAGCAGTTTAAGTCCTATGCCATGGGATTAGTCTACAATATGGATATTGTATGTATTGGGAAATTTGATTTTATTCAGGAGTACAATGTTGGTAAACTTCCTTGATTGAAAGGTTTCATATGAATGTACAAATGCTGATTATTTATGTTACCTGATACATATCATGATGCAATACAGGTACTGTAATTTGAGAGAAAAATACAACCTGTGATGTTACTTTGCACAAAATTTGGGCTTAATGCTTTAATAACTCGGTTAGAGATAATTTAATTGTTCAGGCCTATATTGACTTCCAGAAGACTGATTTGTTTTGGTAATATGTGGGTGAACTCAAATGTGATCAGTTTTCAACTAATGCACCAATCATGTCCCAAATGTTTAAGCAGAATTTTAAAAATTGCCAATTATATTATTTTAAGCAGTATCGTTTTCTTGTACATTTATAGTTCCTTTTGTAAGCCATACAATAACATGTTCTCACATGTTTATCTTATCCTCATAACGGGGGACTTGAATGGTTTCAATTCGGGATTATTGAGGTTCTTGTGTTTACATGATTGAGTAGGAGTGTGGATCACTTTTTGTCCTTTGCTAATCATTGCACATCATAAGGTTGGATATGGTGAAATACATTTGAAACGTGAATTGGCATGGCTATTTTACCGACTTGTATAAAACATTTAATCTTGATGACTTCACAATGAATTGCTTCTTGTCTTACTCAAATAAGGTAATACAACTTTGGCTTGAAATAAAGGGATCAAAGGCACCCCTTTGCAATTGACATCACACATGCTTCTGCAATGCCAAGGCCCATATTGCTCTAGCATGAGTTGATATCATTACTCGGTCATCACGGTGGGGAGGGGGGGGGGGAGACGGACTCCTTTAGGGATTGCGTTAATCTTTTTGGTGCCGTTCTGTTGCCTGTCTCATCCAATCGCCATCATCGCTTCTTGCGATGCATTCTACCGAAGCCCACCTATCTTGTGGAATAAGAAATCAAATACACATTCGCAGACAAGCTCAGTGTGGAACTTATGGACTATAAGCCACACAGCCATCAACATTGGCATTGCACATCCACCTGCATAGGCATCACCTCAAACAAAGAGCTAATGCTTTACATAACAGTGTCATGCAATTTTGAGTTCATGCAAGCACAGGTGGGGGTGGGGGGGTTCGGAACGGCTAGTTCCACCAATCCCGGGTCACAACTAATGCTTACAAGTTGCGACTGGCGTGAAGGGACCGGCCTGACACGGTGACCTACCAGTGACTCACCCCTGAAAACAGGTGGCCTCCATGGGTCCCAGATTTCTTCAAGGTCTCAAAAAAATATCTGCTGGAGGGTGTCTCAAAGACTCTTCCGGCAGCGTATCGGCCAGTGGTGTCAGCTTCCAAAAGTCGAGCGGTAGCTTGAGTGCTGCATTGGCCGAGGCTCGCTGCCATCTCAGAGGAAAACGAAATATTGTGAGCAGTACTCTTTGTTTTTTTTTCAGTAAAGTCACGTAGGTAAAATAAAATAAATTAAAATACGAGAAAATTAAATCACGACGTCTCGGAGGCAACACAAGCTTCCGTCTTCAGGTGGAACAGTCACAGCAAGATCGCTGCATCAAGTGGGGAGGCTCTGAGAGCCTCGAGCTTAAATACAGGTTAAGGGGGGGGGGGTGGGAGGAGCCAAGTAGGGCACATTGATATTGTGCAGAGCTAAGTTATGTTATGTTGAGGGTGCGGGAGCTGCGGTGGGTCACTGCACGGGGGAAATGGAAAAATGGAAACAAAAATGGAATAGTTCGGAAAGAATATGCTGTGTGCTTATAAGGTAGCTGTAGTTTTGACTTGGTTTATGACATCTTTCCAGTGGTTGCTTAATTTAAAACCATCCTCTCGGTTGAAGTTGTGTCTATGTTTGTATATCTGGATGGCTTCATGGACAAATCTTTAGTAATAACCGGGAGGTTTGCATAGTACTCTGGTATCGGAGAAAACAATTTCATGAGAACCCGCTGTGTTGAGATAATGATCAGCTACGGCCGACGAATTCGTTCTGCCGTGTTTCAAATCTGATTTGTGTTCGCAAATTCGGTCAGAAATATGTCGTTTTGTCTCCCCGATATAGCAGTCACCGCAGATACAACTCAATTTGTAAACACCGGGGTACTGTAAGTCAGGGATGACATCCTTTACGGATGGGATCAGATCACGTATTTTGTGTACTGTATTGAATCGAACCAAACAAGGCCGATGAGTCAGACGCCTTCTATAACCTCCTGTCTCAGGTGCTCGCTAAAGTGGCCCCTCGGGTTAGAGTCATGCTGTGAGGTGACTTTAATGCCTGAGTGGGTCATCCTGCAGACACCTGGGTTGGAGTAATTGGAAGGCATGGGCCAGATCAGCTCAATAATAGCGGAAGGAGGCTGCTAGACTTATGTGCAGCCTATGGGCTTGTAATTATGAATACGCTGTTCTGGCATCGGCGCATCCACAAAACATCATGGATGTACACTGGGTCCAAGCAAGAACATCTGCTGGACTATATAATTACGGACCAGCGGATGTGGGCCCATGTCCTTGACACCAGGACCTACCGTGGAGCTGATCTGCCCACTGACCATCGGACTTGTCATCTGTAAGATGCGCTTGCCATTCTTCCACTCCAATGGTGGGTGTCTATCTAGGACCCCATTCAAACCCACAGTGGCCTGGTCTCAGCTAGCTGAAGATAGTTGCAAGCAGGAATTTCAAGATTGCTTGCAGCTGGTGTTAGCATTGTGCCCCCCTCCTTCTGATGGTAAAAGGAAATGGGTGAAGTTCAGGACTGTGTCTCATGCAGCTGCAATGGTTGCATTGGGTGTGCAGTACAGACCTCCCCACAGACCCCGGCTGAAGGAGGAAGTGTTCCGGCTGGTTGGGAGAAAACGACAGGCCCACTCCCGTCGTCTACAAAATTCAACATCTAAGAATGAGGAGGCTTACCGCTGCCTTCGATCGGAGATTCGGAGAGCCGTGCAGTGCTGCAAGGATTAGTGGTGGGGGCGGTTTGCTGAGGAGATGGAATCTGTCTTAGAACCACGATCACTAATCACTATTTAATTCCATCAAAAAAGTAACTTTAAGGGAAAGAATGATAATCCGATCTCCGACCCCCAGAAACAGGTCTGCAGGTTTTCAGAGCATTTTTGTGTGGTCTTGGGGGAGGGCAATTCCCTCAGCTCAGACAACATCAAGGGACAAGGTGAGGACGACCCTGCTAGGGCTGCAGTGCCTCAGATAATGGCAGAAGTAACCACTCATTCTGAATGGTTGGCTGAGGTGCCATCTGTGGAGGAAGGGCGATGGGCGATCTGAAGTCTGGGACCAGGAAAAGCACCAGACAGAGACGATCTCCCAAGCAAAATGCTGAGGGAGGGTGGCATCTGTGTGCAGACTGCCCTACATGACATCATCACAACTATCTGGACCACAGGACAGGTTCCGCGCAGATTGAAACAGCTATAGGGGCATCTCTCTTCTCAGTGTACCGGGAAAGGTCCTGGCAATGATTATTCAACACGGCCTGGCCAGGGACGCTGAGGCTTGCGGAGCCCCAATGTGCTTTCAGACCGGGGCGGTCCTGCACAGATGCCATATTCTCTATCCGTCTACTACAGCAGAGGTGTAGGGAATTCAAACAAGACCTACATCTCTGCTTTATTGAACTGGTCAAGGCCTATGATACCATCAACGCGTCAGGGCCGTGGGCAGTTATTCGTGCTTTCAGAGTCCCTGATTCTCAGCTCAAAATCATTAAGGGCCTTCATGATGGTGGGCAGACGAAGGTAAAGCTATGTGGCCAGGAGTCGGAGCCATTCCATGTTCACCTAGGGATGGGAAAAGGATGTCCTCTGGCTCCCACATTATTTAACATCATCTTTGACCACGTAGTTTGAGAAGCTTTCCATGACTGTCCCGGAGGAATTTCCATCTGGTACAGATACGGAGGCTGATCGATGCCTGGGTGCGGTCGAGAGATGGCTTCCTATTGCTCAACCACGTCATGTATGCTGATGATTTAGGGAGTGCTGCTCACTCAAGAGGATGAGTTGGAGGCGCTGCTGCTGAATCTGGAGTGTACCACTAAGAGGTGGGGTCATACCATCAGCCCCACGAAAACTAAGCACCTGCCTGGGTATTTTGTGCCACCAAAAACTCCAGTCCCTCAGCTCACCATTGCTGATGGAGCAGTTGTGGATAGAGTGGAGAGTTTCCCATACCTGGACAGTGTGCTTATGACCATTTCCGGTTTGACAGTAGAGGTCTCACTCCGAATCAGTCGAACGGCATCTTTTCATCAGCTGCACAATGCTGTGTGGAAGCTTCCTGGTCTGTCGCTCCGCAGGAATATTTGGGTCTTCTCAGCGAGTCATGAACTCCCTTCTCTGTTTGTGAAACGTGGACCCCTCTAATGGAACATCTGCACTGGTTAGAAACATTCAGGCTGCATTGCCTACGATCCATCCTGGGTTTAACCAGGCTGGATTGTGTGAGGAGCTCAAAAACCCTTGAAAGATCTGGACACATTCCTATCAGTGAGCTCCTCTGGTAAGCAAGGCTGCGTTGGCTGGGTCATGTAGCCCGCATGCCCAGCCACCGCATTCCCAAGCAGTTTCTGTTTGGCCACATAGAGGGGGCTAAACGGGCAAGACATGGGCTGGAGAAGAGATGAGCTGATGTAGTACATGAGGATATGGAGCTGAGGGGAGTTGCCGACAACTGGTACCAGCAAGTGTCAAGATCGGCCTCTATGGAGGCTTGTGAAGGACGCTGCTGGGCAGTTGGAAGCAGTCACCTTCCAGCAACAATGGAGGGCAGAGGAGCAACGCCCGCAACGAGCGGAGCACCGGCTGACTAAAATGCAGCAAGTTGGCACAGTGGGGTACAGCTGATGCATCTACCGGTCATCTCAGTCAGCCAAATCAAGGAACCTGGGTCTATCCTGAGACATTCTGTCAGCGAGCTTTCTACACTTCACGTGGTCTCAAAGTGCACCTGGCCTGGCCCAGGCATCGTGGTGACATCACCGTCACTTAGTGGCGAATGGAAGGTATTGGTATGGTTTTGTATGCTCTGTGAACCGCAGAATGTAAGCGAAGGTAAAAAAAGAAAATTTTCAAGATGGCTGCCGGATCGACTGAGCAGAATTCGATGCAATAGAACTCGACTCACAATCCACAAGGACCATATATGGGCAAAGACACACGCCTTCGGGCAACGCCACGCCTACTTTTTGCCAATATATGGGGAGCATATCTGTTAATGATTTTGTCGGGTGTCTGATATGATTTTACATCGCACTTTTGAGGCCTTTACACGTGTATTGTATTCACTCAGCAATCCACTGCAGTTTCCCAACATGGCACCAGACCAGGATCGCCCATATAGCCTTAACAGACTGTTGGGGCAAGTGCTGTTAGCGAGCACCGATGATGGCCAGCACGGCACACGAGGGGGTGGGTGGCCAGGACCACGCCCGATGTTTACACAGTGCACCAGCTACTCATTTGAGGCTGAGCCGACGTAAGGGGAGGCCCAAGACCATTTCAGATAATTGTCACTGATGTGACAGGTATTGAACTCGGTTCACCGGGTTCATAGCGCACCTACAATGCACCACATCCCAACTCAAAATGCAGTGCGCTCTTGGCTAGAATGCAGTGGGGCTGCTCCAACAATAGCAATAGCTTCACCCAGTTATGTACTGAGTTTATCCCCACAATGCACTGCATCTCTACCCTGTTCTTTTTCAAGTGCGCCTTGCATAATGTACTCCAAACAAGTATTTTGTTTTCTTAGTTTTTTCGGTAAAGTCACGTTGAAGAGAAACAACAAAATAACAAAATATATATAAAACAATAAAAAAATTCTCACGACGTTTCGACCATAACTCAAACGGTCATCATCAGGTGTGTTGGTTTGCATAAATTTATTTTTAAACGGCACATTTATTTATTTTTAAAAAACGTTGGCGTCACGCGCAGCGATTTGGCAGTTTGCCCAGGACTAGTCCATCTATTTTTTTTAAAAGAGGAGGGGGGAGACGAAATTTTTTTTATAATGTATGCTGTCTGAAAGCCACTGTAAGCGTGAACAATCAATTAAGAACTGAAATGGTTTATCAAATCTTTCCAATGATTGCTAAGATAGAATCCATCTTCTCGGTTGAAATTGTCTCTGTGCTTGTATATGTGGATAGCCTCATGAACGAATCTCTCATGGAAGCCAGATGGCTTACAAAGAACCTCCGTCTTGGAGGTTCTGTGCCAAATCGCTGCGCGTGACGCCAACGTTTTTTTTATAAATAAATAAATGTGCCGTTTAAAAATAAATTTATGCAAACCAACACACCTGATGATGACCGTTTGAGTTATGGTCGAAACGTCGTGAGAATTTTTTATTGTTTTATATATATTTTGTTATTTTGTTGTTTCTCTTCAACGTGACTTTACCGAAAAAACTAAGAATATGAATTACTGCAGTCACGAAAGCTTTAAATCAAAAGTATTTTGTTATTCTTGGTTCTTTCGGTAAAGTCACGTAGAAGGGAAACAATAAAATAATAAAAATTTAAAACAATAAAATTCTTACGAAGTTTCGACTGCAACACAAGCAATCATTATCAGGTGCGAAAACCACAGCAAGAAAATTTGAAAAAAGTGGCAGATTTTTTTTTAACGTTAGCACCACGGAGAGCGATTTGGCAGTTATTCAGATGGACGAGTCCATCTATGTTCGGAAAAGAGGAGGGGGGAGACGAAAATAATGGCTGCGGTCTGAAAGCCACCGTAAGTGTGAGCAATCAATTAAGACCCGAAATGGTTTATCAAATCCTTCCAATGATTGCTAAGCCAGAATCCATTTTCTCGGTTGAAATTGTCTCTGTGTTTGTATATGTGGATAGCCTGATGAACGAATCTTTCATGGTAGCCAGATGGCTTGCAGAGAACCTCTGTTGTTTCCCTTCTATGTGACTTTACCGAAAGAACCAAGAATATGAATCCCTGCAGTCACGAAATCTTTAAATCAAAATTTAAGTATTTTGTTATTTAGGACAATTTTGCTAATCTCTTTGGCTATGTTGAAGTGCAACTTGGACTGCGCCAGTTCATGTTTGCTTCCAGTGTTGAATGTGTTAAAGAAACGTCTCCAGCGAAGTCGTTTTCCATTACGATCAAGTAAATCTCATTCCTAAACTCACGACATCCATTTCCTAGATCTCTGTTGGCTGCAAACACTAGAAAAGACTAAACTTCATCTAATTTCTCTAATCCCTTTAGATAATCAAGTTGGCTTGGGCAAGGCACTTTGGTGGACAAAACTGGTAACAGAATGACAAGCATAAAATACACGCAGGACCGTGAGGGAAAGCGATGGTTAGGGGAGACCTTCATTCAGCAGTGAATTATCATGACTGATGATGAGACGATATATTATGAATAACGGGCACTTGTTTAATAGCATCGTTTTATTTGTCACAAGAGTAGGAAGCAATCATGTTCATCATTGTAAAGTCTTCAATATGCAATTGTCTTTCAATGAGTTATTATAACAACCATTAACAATAAGACCATCGTGCCCTTAATTTTTAAGTCAGCATACAAAAACGCATTTGCGATGCCATTTGCATTTGGCTATACCGGCTCATGTTATAAAGTATTACATCATATAATTCGTTGGCTAGAAACAGCAATGTGACTTAGACAATTTTTCCGCATAACATCTTATCATTGACAGATTTTGCAAAAACACATTTGTGCTCCTACGAAGGAAAACAGTAAATGTTTGCGGGAATGGGTTAAGGTTTTTAACAAACGCGAGAAATGCATTATTCAGGCCCTGGAAGTCAAAAGTCACTTAATTATACTAATAATCTCATTCTCAAAGCATATAGATTGTCTGAATTTGAAGTTTTCGTGACGGCAGGAATCCATACTCTTTGGTTCTTTCGGTAAAGTCACGTAGGTATAAAAAAGAAATCATAAATAACGACGTTTCGATCGCAACACAAGCAACCGTCATCAGCCAGAAAGACACAGCAGCAGATCAGCAGTTCTGCTGCTTGTGTTGCGATCGAAACGTCGTGATGTATTATTTATTTATTTTCTCTACCTACGTGACTTTACCGAAAGAACAAAAGAGCATACAGATCGTCTTCATTGTGTGTGCCAAATATGTAAACTATTGTAATAGTCTTCATTTCAAAAATGCAGTATCTATTCTGTATGAAGATATTCGACCATTAAATAATTCAATTAACGAATTTCAACATTACTGCAGTTCATAAAAAAACATATAGAGCACATGCAGTATCCACATTGCAGATTAATCTCACGGTTCCAATAAAAAAAATTCACCTTAGCCTTGTAAAAGCCCTTTTAAAACAAACTCAATCACTTACACAATCCATAAGCAATTCATGCAAGAGGCTACGTAGCGATGACGAATAGTAAAGTGTAAAAAGCGTGTCCATCAGGTCGCGAATTCATCGTTGGTGACGACGTGGTGATACTGGGGCCCTGCGGCGCGGTGGCGGTAGACTTTCACCGCGGCCACGCACACGGCTGCGACGGCCAGGGCGGCAGCCAGGGCGTACACCATGCCCGCCAGCGAGCTCAGCACCCCAGAAGCTGCGGTTAGATGGGAGGGGGCGGAAACGCCAGCGGAAGCACACAAGCCAGCAAACAGAGAGGTGTGAGACTTTTCTCCATCTTATTTTTGTTTGTTGTTATTTTAACTTGCTGACCCGCTTCTACTGGACATCTGTGAAAAAGAGCTTCATAGCTCATCGGATTCCTCCAGTCCAAGTAAAGATTAAGATATTTTCTCTGTGGACTGCGATTGCATATTTGTTCACATTAAACTTGAAATGGTACCATGGTTGACATGAAGGCATTGTATCTATACATTTTACAACTTTAAACTGCATTTACTGTCATTAAAGACTGCCCTGTAGCAGGAAATATATCTTCACTTCTCTTAATCAAAAATACCATTTCCACATAAAAATGTTTTACTAATAATGAAAATGTTATAATTGTATCACTATCCATTGTTTATTCACTGCTGGATGAAGATGTCACGACGTTCGCATGATCCTTAATCTTTCATTGATTTAACATTTCCTGTGCAAGCGCTAATCTTCTGACCTTTGACGGTGATGTGACATTGTACAGGTTCACATCTAGCAGCCATCTGGATTATCACTGTGTAATAGCCGTAATATTATGGAAAATCTGCTTCACAGTTGGACGTTAAAGAGCCCCTGATGACATTCGCAAGAGTGGGCCATCGTGTGCCAGCATTGAGGTCCAAATTTGTATAATATCCACAAATTACTCAATTAGCATTATGTATGTTGAAATCATCACCCTCTTCTGGCAAACTAATTACCGAAGCCACTCTTGCAAATGAGACGATCCTGGGCTCTTGAGTTATCAAGGTATGACCTAAGAGCAACTCTCGTTTTTCAAAAAGTCTGGTGTCTGCTACCCAATCCTAACTTTTACAAACCAGATTTGTGCCATAGTGCCATATGTCAGACGGAGCAATGGAGCTTGGCCGACCGGTAAGGAGGATGCTCACCCTGCCGTGACTTGCGGAGCCGCAGGGGGCCCTGAGACAGGTCCACGTTGCGCTCGGCACGCTTCTCCCAGCTGACGAGGTCACGCACGGACCGTTTGGTGCGCACGCACCCTCGCTGGCATGTCGAGTTCCGGTTGGAAATGTGACAAATGTGTACAGAGCACTCCAGGTACACCTGCGAAGGACATCGGTAAACAAATCGCCATTGTCATTTCTTCACAAAAGTAACCACCACCAAGCTGGACGAATGGAATGACCACAATTCAAATTTTATACATGGGCTGTCAACCCCTAACCAATTGCGAGCTGCTTGCCGAGTCACCTGGCCAAATTACACTCAAGTGTTCCATTTACACGGCGATTTCTTGTGAAATTACTGAATTTGTTTTTAGTTTCCACTGCTGTTTCTCTAACGGTTGCATTTAAACCAATATAAACTTTTAGATATAGTTAACCAGAATGAATACCATTTCTGTGATAAATAAAATGGGTTGTTATTATCAATTTATGTGGCATTCCTATAATCCATCCATATTAAATGTGTTTTTTTCCCTGGTATTTCAAGTATGGGGTTAAAGTTGAGGGACATCTGGGCCTTGTTGACGTTGACATCTTTACGTCCCATATAAAAAATATAAATTGGCCTTGACCACTGCTAAAGTATATTTTTTTCTCACATTGTTTCCACCACTAAGCATTGACCAGCTGCATTGTTCAATATTTTATGTTAAACTGTTACATTTAATACAACTTCACAAGGTAAATGATGGAACCGATTGATGCGAGATATTTTTTGAACATTTTCAACAACAAAATTAAAGTGATTAAAGTACAGCTACCCTCTGCTCCTATTATTGCCGCTGTTCAGTCTGCTCTAGATTGTTAGTTGTTCAGGAATTTACAGTGATAACTCCCAAGACTAGCACTTAAGGTCATGATAACATGTACATACCTTGAGACCTGTAGTTTAGATTCTTGGTCTACCTAGAGGGTCGCCGCCTTCGGGCAAATGAAAATTTTGTGGATTACACATTATTATGGAGTGTCTTCCTGCTTTGGGCATTATTTTATACTAATTTATAACTCCTCTCTGACTTCAGAGAGGGTACCCCTTTCTTTAAAATTGTCTGAAGTGATACAATTTCTGAACAAATCATAACCTTGAACAGGCCACCGAGGTTAAATGAAAGAAATCTCAGATCATGGATAATACATTTTACCTGGAAGCCATTGGAGAACTCCACACTCTGGAAGCTGAAATGCTGCCTCTTGTTGTCGCCACTGAAGTAGTTGACGTAGGATGGGTCCTCTTGACATCTACAGCCCCGCGAACACGTGCCGTCACAAACAAATTCAAGTTATATGTGTTCATTCTCTGTGCGCTTGTGCTCACAGACTATTGCATCACTTCCTGCCGCCATGTGTTGGGCAGCCAGGGAAGGTCCACCATGTCCGTGCTACAGGCGACATTAGAGGAGGTGTTACAGGTGACATGTCTCAGGCCAAGTAGACCTGTTTATTGAACGAGATGTATTTATTGCTCACACATTGCATCACAAGCGATGCAATTTAAAATTGAGTGAAGATTAATTTATTATGAGAATAACGCCAACACGCTTTACATATCTCAATTAAATTTAGTGTGTGCATAATCGTCAATACACGTGGTAGCGTCCCCACCATATTCAGTCTTAAGCTAACAGCCTGGAGTAGGCCTCTCACCAGTTCTGGGCCACCGAAGAAGGGGCTTGCCTAAACTCCCGTCCTTATGACCAACCAGTGTCCAGGTCACCACGTTAAGCAATGAAGATGGCTGTTGATTGGGGATCAGTAGATTTGTGATGAGGTGCGAAGGCTGGCGCTTGGGTTATCCCAGCTCTAGGCCTTCAATCTCACAAACGGAGAGCCAAGTCGGCCGTGTACCCATTTCTAATGATGAAGTAGGAGTCGCTGTCGTTGGCACCAGTAAAGGGGGAGGCTCTACACGTCTCCAGAAACAACAGCAGGTCGTTGGTGGGGGAGTTGAGAAGCACCTGTTGAAGAAACGCACAGATTAACTCTTAATGGAGGAGCGGGAGGGGGGGTGCTCCATGGAAGAGGAAGTAGAAGTAGATGAGGGGTAGCAACAGTAACAAGCAGGTCAATGTGTATTCGAATTGACTTTGGAATAGATTCTAAGTGGTGTGAATACCACGGCCTCTGGAGCTTCTCTGAAAGTACCACGTGTCCTCGATATGTGTGGAGTGATCAATACAGACGGCATGCGCTGTATTGAACTTACATCTGCGCTTTTGCGATAAAAATACGTTTTTCTTGATTTACTTGTGTTATTGGCGGATGTTGATGTAAGTGGTCATGGCCCAGAAGCTTCATGGAAGATCAAAGCCAGGGATCTTTCTGAATTCTTGTGTCTCTCACGAGGAGGTGTTTGTTGTTTGTTACTTCTTGTGAACTTCATTCAGCTGTCCAAGCTTCATCATCAGTGACGAGGTTGAATTGTTCAAGGTTGAGCACATACATAGGTCTGTAGCACATGTTTTAACTGTGACATGACATGATACCGAATCACTGTCTTATCATGAGCTCATCTCACCCACCTCCGCGTAGATCGGGGCTCCGAGGTCCACCTCGAATGGGTACGAGTAGATAGGATGACTAAAGCTCTGGTCCATGTAGAGCACCATGCTCAGGTCAAAGGTAGCCGAGCTGTACTTGTCATGCACTCTGCAGTGCGAGAAAGAGAGAGACCCAACATTTAAGAAGGAGAATCTTGCAAAAGACACTCGTGCACAAGGATTTCCTCTTGAGGACAAAAGCTAAAAAGTGTATAGAGAACAAGGGATATTCCTGCAATTTACACTGAGACACGTGCAGAGAGATGCATGGATTAGAGAATATACTGTCAAGAGAAGTCGGCTTTGGAAGGATGAATGTCTGGTGATAGAGACTAACGACTTCAGTGGAGGTCAAATGAAGGAGTATGGATCTCATGGATGTGGAAGACAAGAATTAAACTCGTGTGCAGGAGTCAGATAATTTGCAAGGGCATGAGATACTGGGCAGGCTTGTAAAGGCCTTCATCCAATAGTGGATATATGGTGGATGATGACTTCATCACAACCATTTATATATATACAGTACATAACTGGTAGCTGTGACAAGATTACTGCAGTTTCCTCTTTTGCCGACTCAAGACAATTATCATCAACTTGTATTCTAGGACTGAGAGTGAGGAAGAGATCTATCTCGACTTTTCAATACCTGTTCATCTGTTTTTTGGTAACGGAGGTGTCCCTATAACTTATGTATAAAGATTATGCAATATACATTAATTAAATGAAAAGGTTTTTTAGGATTGCGGGCAGCTGTGAATTAAGCAAACGTAAAGGCTTACCATTATTCCCTTACTGATGACATCACACACCATGCTCACAGATTGGATGACGTCATTACATGAGACGTCTTTTCGCAACATCGCTTGTCACATTATGTCACCTTATCTTTCTCGAACGCTAACGTTATACATCATCAATTATCAATCCACTCCTCGGTGAAGGCCGTACCCAAGTCACCATCTCTGACAATCCTCCTCCGATGTAACAACCCCCCTGTCGCCTGAACAAGGAGCCAATTTCATCGCTCCATCTCTGTGGTGGGCGTCCATTCCTCAGCTCCTGCTCCATCACTATTCTTAACCATCTGTGACCACGCCTCCTTTCAAGGCGTCCCGCCCAAGCCCGCTTATTTTTCTAATCAGTTTGATGTATTTAATCTACGTATAATAATAATAGGGTTTTCCCCCAGTTTTGTTGCCAGCAAAAAGGGGGAAAACCTATTATTACATTTTGGTACTGGCAAAGGAGGTCTAATGATGTAGATGCTTAACCTACGTATGTTCTCTATATTTTTTTTATAAAGTTGGAAAGTGTTACAGATCCAAAGCATATGCATGATTTTTCGACCTAGTTAAGAAATTCGTTTCAACTACATTTATATCGGAATGTGGCTTCCATTACCTGGGCAAGTAGCTCGCTACTACGTTCCCTTGTGAATCGATGGAGCAGTGAATGGGGATGCGCAGTTTCTTGGCGGTGGTTCCCGACACAAAGCCATACACCGTGTTCGAATACACGATGGTGTCGCCATGGGCCTTGGGGAGAGGGAGAACAACATTGAGTACACGTGCCCCCTCCATCCCTCCCACTCAATAGCATCATGTCCAGAATTAACCCCGCATTTGAGACCCATACATCGCACTATCTCGTAGCTTTGACATTCTTCCTCGACAGACACAGGTGTAACCATCAACTGCATCAAAACATGAACAGGCCGATGCGCACATCTCCTTCATAACGGGGACATGAAGACACAAGCCGCAGTAGTCGTGAGACTGTGACCATGCAACCCAAACTATGGGCCATATAGTAAACCACTGTCGTCTGTGCTCCTTCAACGGAGGGGGGGGGGGGGAAACAAAACCACTACACCAACTATCTCCTGTGTAGATAGCCCTGATTCAACAAACAATGGCTATGCTTCATACAGTTCTGGTGACGTTGCATACAATTGGACTGTGGATAGCCATAGTGTGTTTTTATTTGTATTGTATTGCATGGTCCGCATGATGTCCGACGTTTGCCCCACGTGGTCAGACCTCCTTCGGGAACGTAATATATCCAGGAAGTGTCTTCAGAACAGAAATGTATTCAGTCCCAGAAGAAGTTCACAGCATGCAAAGCGAAACGTCGGACATCATACCGAACAACACGCGGTACGACCATAGAGAGCCACACTGTAACGTGTTGCTCTTTGCAGCTACTGCTGTGTTTGTCTTTCTCAGAGCAGCATAGTAAAGGGAAGCTGAGTCGCAGGTCTTGGGTACGATTCCTGGGTCAAGTGAGAATAGTCCAGGTGTGTGTGTAGGCTTCTCAGATCGCGGGGTCCCGGTCGGTATACCTCGGCCGTGGTGCCACAGGACTGCAGGTCACTGTGCAGGATCAGGTACTGCTGCGTGAAGACGCCACGACACGAGGCGTCCTCCAGGTGGATGTCCAACGGTGAGAGGTTGAGCGAGCTCAGTTTGTCCAGTGGGATCTTCAGCTCGAGGTATTGAGACGTGCAGTTTAGTTGTGGAGACTCTGCAAATGTATGCGACTAAAGTCAGGTTGATATTCTTTCAATCCGGAAACCAACAAAATGTTGGCACATTTTCTACATCTATTAATTACAATAACCATAAGGAATTCTAGGCGTTTATTGCTAGCGACACGTTTGCAGAAAATAAAGAGTCAAGATAAATTAATGAATTGGAGTAGATCCGAATCATCCGTCGAGTAAAGAGTATGACAGTAATTCAGACTCTGCTTTTTCACTTCTTTGGCCCTCGTATGGGCAGAGTTGTTGTGGACCCTGATCATCGCAAAGTGTGCGTGTAATTTATGAGCCCTACATCACCTCAAAATATTTCGCATTTGAAGGCTTCAGTCGCAAGCGTATCAGGACATCAGAAGCACTCTCGTTTTTAAACTATCTAGTTTTAACTCAATCTTGATAATTTTCTGCTAGATTCGTAACATTGGCACTTCTTTGCATCTGTTGTGCAATCACTCCAGTTTCTTTTTCAGACCTAGTTGTGGCCTGACACTCTATATTTGTGATGTGCCACAGTCGACACGAATCTATCTCTAAGATTGTGCTGAGGAACATGCCTAATGATAGAAATAAAACGCTACTGGAGTGACAAAAGCAACATCAGCTTCCCTCAGATGTGGGTATTGTAATTTGTTATTTGCTCAATGATTTCAAATCTACTCTCTAATTAGTCTGCAAATAACAAGTTTTACATAGAACATCAACGTTATCACAATTGATTGGATGTCCTTTAACTGTATTCTATGACCCTTTGGGGTTCTTTAATCTCGTGTTGCTATTTCATCCCGTCTGGCTAATATAGCATTTGCCACAGGTGCACATAATCAGGTAGACTGACCCGGTCCTAATTTGGGTATTTAAATTATTCTTTGGTACGATTCAAAAGGTGTTGTATTTTGTGCTGTACCATGCCAACTCTCACTGACATTTTTTCAAAGTTTATAAATATCTAGCCAATTCCCGCAATATACGGGTATTTGATTGTTTTGATTACTTTTTCACTTTCACCGTTTGTATTACCCACTTTGTTTCTAACACCAGGTGCCCTGTTAATTCTTAGATTGTGGGGAGCTATTTAATTGCAGTGCTTGTTTCACTCAGTTTAAGCTCACGCCTCAGGCGTTCATCATCTGACGCTTTGTTTGCCCGATGTAAGGGGGCCAAGATGAGAGGTTCTTGTTGTGCATCATGGTGGTGTGAGTGAGCATTTAAATTACTATGTCTTCTTGATGTTGATGTTAAAAACTTCCAAATTAAATGATAACCAAAATAAGAAACCCCTGTAGTGAAGTTGGAACCTTTCAGCAATGCGATCCCGTGGGTCATTCTTGTAAAACAACTGAAGGCTGAAAGTTTCGTACTCGCATAAACTAATACAATGAATCCATTCATGCAACACAAACATGGCATATTTTACAATATGCAATTACTTTCACTATACTAGTGGTATGTATCTATTCTACGTTTCTTTTGTAAACATCGATACAAAAAAGAAAGTGTTCCACGTTTGTTACATGGGTACTACTCCGTAATGCACAAGCATTCTAAACTCACCGGTTGCCTGGCAGAGGAAACGGACTTGGTAGTCCAGGCATTGGTTGTCCACTTGCCTAATGTTCACGCAATAAAACCCGACTGTTGTGCCATTCACGGTGACCTGTCCCGTCTGATCGGCAGGAATCCAGTCCAGCGTCATCGCCTGTGTGTCGCCAGCGTGTGTACACGTTGCCCATTTAAGTTATGAGCTCGTTATCACAGTCGAACGTATTATTAACTATAAAGTAAAGGTGTCCATGTCAAAGGTGGGACGTAAGGGCTTCTTTATTGAGCCAGGAACGCATTCTGAGAAACTTCCTCGTCCACTCAAAGGTGCCTAGAACGCCCTTTTTGGCTTCACCCCTCCCCTATTTGGCCAATGAAAATTTGGGCACCCTGCGTTGAAGCGATAGGTATTTAAACAGACTATATACAAGTACGCCATTTAATTGATTAATTCGGTTACCCTTTTCAGCAGGATTTTCTTTACTCCAGTCCTACTAACCCGTTAAAATTCAAGTCCTTCCATGCTGCACGCGTCAGATGATTATTAAACACGTCCCACATGACGGGCAAAGAAATAAATGCTGCCAGCGTTCATAGCCGATTCATTTTAAGATTGATATCTCAGTGTCTGTACATGTACAGTACACGTGTTCTACGTGTGTGTGTATACACGTACTCTGTGTGTGCGTACACATAAAGCACGTCCTGCAGACAGTCTTGATTGGTTAATGCATCACATGGCACGTGTTTAACAATCATCGGGTGCGTGCAGCGTGGAACTAGATAATTTGTAGTTCAGTGGGGAGGAGCGTGGTGGTGGGCAGTGAGGCCTGAAGTTTGGGTGACCGTGCTCTTCAACCTCCCTTAACATATATAATGGGCTACAATAAAAAAAAATCGCAGGCTTTGATATACTAACACCTCAAACAGAAACTATTTCAACATTTTATCTCTGTAAATGTAAATATGTTCTGAAGGTCAGACGGCTGAAGCGTCGAAAATCGTTCAAATCCTTTGTGAGACGTGATAAAAAAGAAACATATGATTGCTTTTAATTATCCACTGTGTGTTGCACATTTTCATTGGCCGTTAAGTAAAAAAAATAATGGCACTTGCAAGCAACGTTCCTCTCACCTCTATCGCTAAAGGAGAGAGGCAGATTTCACCAGGATATTCTTGTCTCAGTTGCTGCAGAGTTTCATAGTCTCCATTTCCAGATGGGTCATCGCGGTCATACCACCGTGTCCAATAGACATCTGCCACGCAGTGCACATTTTAAACATTACAACAACAGCTGCAGCCATTCACCAATAATCAAAATCTGAATATGTATTTGTAAGAAAGTGGCGACCTCGTCATGGCCCTTATAACCAAGCATGACTACCAAACACAAGCACAATGATTACTTAAATCATCATGATTACTAACATGATATATTATTCCTTTTGGCTTCTTATTCTTGGTTCTTTCGGTAAAGTCACGTAGAAGGGAAACAATGAAATAATACAAATATAAAACAATAAAATTCTCACGACGTTTCGACTGCAACACAAGCAATCATCATCAGGTGTGAAAACCACAACAAGAAAATTTGAAAAACGTGGCGGTTTTTTTTTACGTTAGCACCACGGAGAGCGATGTGGCAGTTTGTTCAGATGGACGAGTCCATCTATGTTCGGAAAAGAAGAGGGGGGAGACAAAAAATAATGGATGCGGTCTGAAAGCCACCTTAAGCGTGATCAATCAATTAAGACCCGAAATGGTTTATCAAATTCTTCCAATGATTGCTAAGCCAGAATCCATCTTCTCGGTTGAAATTGTCTCTGTGTTTGTATATGTGGATAGCCTCATGAACGAATCTCTCATGGTAGCCAGATGGCTTGCAAAGAACCTCTGTCTTGGAGAAGTCAATGTCATGTGAACCTACTGAATTATAACAGTGATCTGCCACGGCCGAGGTGTTGGTCCTACCGTGTTTTAGGTCTGCTTTGTGTTCACGAATGCGGTCCGAGACATGTCGTTTGGTTTCTCCAATGTAACTACTACCACATTTTGTAGACGCCAGGGTACTGTATGTCCGGAATCACATCTTTTACAGACGGAACCAGATCACGGATTTTATGTAATGTGTTGAATCGGACCTGGATCTTGTGTTTATTCAAGATTTTGGAGATCTTTTTTTCGTGTGATCCCCGCAATGTAGGGTAAAGTGATGGTTTTGAAAGGCTCCTCAAGAGGGTCCTTCGTTGGAGCGATTGCTTTGCGGATTGTGTAGTCGGAATAACCATTAGCCTTAAGAGCTTGGTGTACGTGCTTGAGTTCACTGGCTATGTGTTCCTGGTCGGATATGCATTGGGCTTTATGGTGCAGAGTCTTGATGAGGGACTCTTCTGGGATGGATGGTGTTGGGAATCCGGTGTCAGGTAAGCATCTGTATGGGTAGCTTTCCTGTAGACAGAGTGGCTCATTGAACCATCAGGTCTCTTTTTCATTAGGACATCCAAAAAAGGTAACTTGCCATCTTTTTCGACTTTCATGGTAAATCTGATGGCTGGGTGTATGGAATTGATGGGTCGAAGAATTGGTCTAGAGCAGGTCGGCCATGTGGCCAGATGACAAAAGTGTCATCCACGTACCTCTTCCATAAGGTTGGATGCAGAGTGGCAGTCTGGATGGCGCCAGTCTCAAATTTCTCCATGAAAATGTTGGCTACAACAGGAGATATGGGAGAGCCCATTGGGGTGCCCTCAGTTTTTTTGTAGAAAGTTCCATTCCAAGTGAAGTATGTATTGGTTAAGCAGTGTCTTACCAGGGGGGGGTACCTCAGTGTTTAGTCCTTGATGAACCAAGTCTTCAATGATTTCGATGGTGTCAGGTACAGGAACTTTGGTGAATAAGGAAACTGCATCAAAACTGACAAGCAGGAGGTCTGGGGACAGGGAAATACCCTTGATTGTCGATACCAGGTGAGTAGAGTTTAGTACCGCAGAGGTGGTTTTTCCAGTGAAAGGCCTTAGGATTTCAGACAGAAAACCAGCCAGATTGTAGGTTGGGGAGTTGATAGTAGAGACGATGGGACGAATGGGTCTATCTACTTTATGTATTTTTGGTAAGTCGTAAAATATTCTTAGCTCTTTCGGTAAAGTTACGTTGAAGGGAAACAATAAAATAATAAAATATATATAAAACAATAAAAATTCTCACGACGTTTCGACCATAACACAAACGGTCGCCATCAGGTATGTCGGTTGCATTAATTAATTTATTTTTAAGCGGTGTATTTTAATGCAAACTGACACACCTGATGACGACCGTTTGTGTTATGGTCGAAACATCGTGAGAATTTGTATTGTTTTATATATTTTATTATTTCATTGTTTCCCTTCAACGTGACTTTACCGAAAGAGCTAAAAATATGAATTACTGCAGTCACGAAAGCTTAAAATCAAAATTTAAGTCGTATAATGTTGGTGGCCTGGCAGCAGAAGGTTTCAACGAGAACTGTTTGGTTTTATCAATTAATGCGGTTGAATCAGAAATGATTTTGTTGGTTTTAATGACGAGGCTGTTGGTGGGATCTCTTTTTATTTTTGTATAGCTGCCATCGTTGAGTAATTCTTGAATTTTGTTGTTATATTCTATTTTATCCATGATGACAGTGGCATTGCCCTTGTCGGCTGAGAGGATGACAATGTCATCCCTCTTTTTTAATTCATATAATTCAAAACCCTCATCTTTGCAAGCCATCTGGCTACCATGAGAGATTCGTTCATGAGGCTATCCACATATACAAACACAGAGACAATTTCAACCGAGAAGATGGATTCTGGCTTAGCAATCATTGGAAGGATTTGATACACCATTTCGGGTCTTAATTGATTGATCACGCTTAAGGTGTTTTTCAAACCGCATCCATTATTTTTCATCTCCCCCCTTCTCTTTTTTGAACATAGATGGACTCGTCCGTCTGAACGAACTGCCAAATCGCTCTCCGTGGTGCTAACGTTAAAAAACCGCCACTTTTTTCAAATTTTCTTGTTGTGGTTTTCACACCTGTTGATGATTGCTTGTGTTGCAATCGAAATGTCGTGAGAATTTTATTGTTTTATATTTGTATTATTTTATTGTTTACCTTCTTCGTGACTTTACCGAAAGAACCAAGAATATGAATCCCTGCAGTGATGAAAGCTTTAAATCAAAACTTTTGGCTTCTGTTGAGAAGTTAGGCAAGATCACATTTTAAATGTTAGTTAGTTTACATGCGACACGTGTATACTGTATATATGTGTACACAATGCGTCCCCCGTAATGAGATTACAAGTTACCCCAGATTCACGTTGAATAGATTTAAAAGACAAAAACAGCATTGTTATAACTTTGTTCGTCGTTTAAATTAATTCCAATGGGTTTTTTTTATCAATGACCAATTGTGTCGCCCAAGAAATGAGACGCGTAGTTTACAAGAGCTAAAGCATCAATTAAGTAATTCAACTTTCTTACCGGGAATTTCTTTAGCAGATGAAGTAGAATAACACATTTAAAAGACACAAAAAAACACAAATGCAGAATATTTAGTGCAGCAATGTCTTAACTACAATGTTAAGTGTTGAGTCAAACAACCGATACGCTCGATAACATACATTCGTGTTAACTGTCAGATTACCATGGTAAGCTTTTGTTAAGAGATGACGATATGCGAGAAATGAACCAATGTCATGACCGTTATAATGGTCAGTACAATGATAATTACAATTGTATGCATGCCACTAGACGTTCTCATTACTTCCCATCTCGTGATAGATTCCCCCAGCGTAATCAACATCCGATCGCCAAGGTCTCCCCTTGCAATTAAATCAAATCGCTTGCCCTTGAGCTCTTCCCTTGGATACCAGGATGAAAAATGCAAAGATTTCACTCCCATAAATAAATAAATAAACGATGTGTTACGTTTTGATTCATAACTTTAAAAGTATGAGTCCCATATTGACTTTAGGAGTTAGTTATTCTGTGACAATTTATTAATTATAGCTGTAATATCAATACTTTAGTTTCATGTGTAACCATCCCCCTTTTTAATGTATGTGTTTAAATAAGCCTCAAGTCTTCAAAATGTTGGATTTTCTCTGTTTACATTTCAAAAAAGTACTTAATTGTCAATGGTACTAAGTACGTTTAATATTATGTCGTAATAACGCCCACTTTTTGCCGTAATGTTTCCAATTTTCTTGCACTACATAGACATAAATTTTTGTTCAAATATTTAAAATTCAAAAGCATTGCCAGATGAATTGCAATTGTCAATGGCCAGACCTCTGACCTATACAGTAACGCAGACGTCCATGTTCACGCAAACGCCTGAAATTGTTTATTTTGTATAATTAAACAATCTTCTTTATCCGTTTGACAGCACCTGACAATGAGATGTCTAGTTTGGCGATGTACTTAGTAGCTTCCTGAGATGCCACGTGCAGGAAGGAAGCGCCTCCCGCAACAGATCTCAGTTCACATCGACCCCTTCCAATTATGAGGGTTGCACACCAGCCATTTGAAAACCTGTTTGGGAGTTTGATTCGCTCCTTCGAACAGGGAAGCACTTCAACGTTTACTTGAGCGTTGTTATTTCTCTCCTATTTACACAAGAACACAATATAAACCTGCTTACCATTTTCACAATTAGGTCCGGACCATCCTGGAGTACAGATGCACCGGTAGTAGTAGTAGTCAAAAGAAGGTTCGCACGTCCCATGGAGACATGGTTGCATCCAGCACCAATCTGCAGCATGAGACAACTTCATTACGATGGCATGCACATGCGCTGGTTGGTGTTTGTTTCCCCCGTGTTCATTCGAGAGACTTTCTGCAATGCATCGCTCAAAATGTCAATGCGTCGTTCATCACGAATGCAAGGAAAATTGATACATGCAAACGTAAATGCTGTGCATTTAAACAACAAATATACTGAATTACATTATTGTGAGGTTCAGTCTCGGCTATCGCCTGCTATGCAGACAAATGTGTGTGCCACCCCCATATGCCATAGGCCATTCACACCCCTGGTCTCACCGAGTGTTTATTTCGTCCTCAGGACGCTCTCTCCCTCTCACACACAATCAAAAATCAAACGGGATATATATACTGTATAAAAAAATCAGACGCTATAATGCACGCTCGTCTTGCCTGAATCGGCATACTGTAGTAGTCCCGTCAAGGCAACGGCAGTTTAAAGGGAAAATATTAAAGGCCAAGGTGAACAAATAATTTTGGGTTTGCACAATACAAACGCAATGGTAGTCATCAAGGATTACGGAGTGTTTCTAGGTAATGGAAAGGCAGGTATAATTAAACCACCAAGGCGAGGATAAATCTCGGATACTCGGATTTGAATAAGGTAAACGTTAACACAACAGCTAGAGTTTAAACATCACAATTGAAAAGAAATGCAAAGTGTGGCTCAAATAATCAAATCAATGTAGATCTATAGTGGGTAAAGGATAGCTTTGGAATAGCAAAACAACCCATTATAGTTAACCTATGGTCCTGTTCAATGCTCTGTAAAATCAAGAAAAGTTAAGCATGGGCAAAAGACCCATGCTCGTTTGCCATGGATATTCTATGGCGCAGTGGGCAATGGTTCTCAATTATGCTCGCGGTACCACATTAGACAAAGGAGAGCTCGGAGGAAACTGAACAACCCCGAGAAAACTCATGAATGTAAGGAGGAAATAATCTATCCCATAAAGACGGAAAAGGTGGAGTCCACATTTTGCTGTACTGCATTCTGGCAAGCCACCATGGCTCGACCCCACACAGGAAGGGAGTTTTCCAACATGTGTGTGATCCACCAACCCACATTGTCATCACAGTGCTGGATTACAGGTCACGTGCATAGCCACCACCGCCCGGGACTACCACTCACCACGACTTACAGCAACATGCCACCACCACTACCACCACAAGACGTCAGGGAAGAGTCACTTACTCGGATAATCCATAATAGCTGCTCCAAGCAATGATCACATGTGAAAGCAGAAAGACATGTTATCAATACTTTGCCTGCTATGAATACTACTGTATTTTAATAACACAGCCTTAGAGTTATATGGTATTCATCTTCTTTGGTTCTTTCGGTAAAGTCACGTAGAATGAGAATAAAATAATAAATTGATAAAATAAAATAACACAATAATATTCTCACGACGTTTTGGCCACAACACAAGCGGCCTTCATCAGGTGAAGGAACGAGACTGTCAGACAGCCGCTTGTGTTGTGGCCGAAACGTCGTGAGAATATTATTGTGTTATTTTATTTTATCAATTTATTATTTTATTCTCATTCTACGTGACTTTACCGAAAGAACCAAAGAAGATGAATCCTTGCAGTCACGAAAGCTTTAAATCGAAATTATATGGTATTGTTACTGAGCGCAAGAAATATGCATAATACGATTTGAGAGCAGGGACAGTGGGTAGTGGTGGTGTGGGTCACGACGATAAACATTCATCTTAGAGCAGTAATATACAGTTCAGTCATTATATACTATAATAATAGGTTGCCAAATGAGTCACCACGAGACAGCTCTAGTTATTTACATTCAAAGTTGTCGAATAATGAAAAAAACACCTCTGCATTTATGCTCGATGAAGTACTGAGCGTCATTGTCACACGACAAATCATCATTATCACAATCAGCCACGATCAATCCGCTGCTCGATTGCGTATTCCAAAGCCGCGTGGTAATGCTAAATTAGGCAACGTAAAATTTTGATTTAAAGCTTTCGTGACTGCAGGGATTCACATTCTTGGTTCTTTCGGTAAAGTCACGTGACTTTACCGAAATAACCAAGAATAGGCAACGTAACTTTAAAAATGTGATTAATGTATTTATTTACATGAGCGATGTATGCAATGTTTCAATCAATTTATTGCGACCAGATCCAGATGATGTTGAAGAGATTATAAAGACAAAAACCATGCCATAGAATAGTTACAATGTTTTATTGGTTGGACAATTTTAATACCTGAGAAATAAAATGTGATTATTTCACAGACGTGTAATTGTAATAATATTAACAAATAATCAACGAAAGAGGCATAACAGTTTCTGCTGGAATATATCACTTACTAAAGGCAGATGAACCTATAGAGTATAGACTATGCCAGTGGCATCTACATTGAGACAAGAGGAGTTGATACAACCTCCTTCCGGCCACACCATTACAGTGACGTGTGGTTCACTGGAGAAAAGACATCGTCCTATGCCTATGCGCTATATGTAATGACTAATGATGAATGCATGAGGCACTTACGAGTGGTCGTAATCTCTGTTGCTGATCAAGTATATGGAGACATTTAAAATGAGACAAAAGAAAACAAACACGGTTCAGCAACATGATGGATGATCAATAATCCCCGTTCATTTCTGAGCCCACATACCAATACGCTGATCGAGGTAAAATGTGTTTTAATACGTTGAGGTTATTAATTCGGTTTACACGTGCACTTTGACACTCATTATCCAGGCCTTCATTGCGTACGTTATGAAAACTTGGATAAAAACAAATTATCTATCAAATTAAGATTGTTGATATATTTCAGCAGTCTATTTTTTCAATGTAAAATGTAATTAATTGTTTTGATTTTAAATGCAGCGCCTTTCCGGTGGTAATGTGTCTTAAAAAAAAAACATGTTGAATTGAAAGCGTGGAAAACGATGTTTGGAAGACAATAATATATAGCGACACCAAAGAGGTGGGGTGTAACGAACACAGAAACGGTTAATTTAAAATAGCTCTAACCATTATATTTATGCCACTATTCATAGGATTCTTTCGCCAGAATATTATCTAAATCCTAGATGTATAATGTAAACAATCATATTATTTTTAGTGCTCCTGGTACAGGATTTTGAGAAGACAATGCAAATTACAGCGGTCTCAGTTGCAGATCAACGGCTCTTCTCCCAGGATATAACTATATAACCTTAATGAGCCGATTTAACGTTTTCATTTGCTACTGAGCAAGGACTCACTTGATGTAGTGACGAGAACTGTTGTAGGGGCTAAACCATTTGAAAGAGACAGACACAAACAGGCGTCAATCAGTGTATGATACTCATCAATGTGCATTATTGTCATTGTTGGTAACGTTGTGCCTTACATCATCCGATGCATTTGTAGAGGTGCTAACTACTCACTGTTCGGTAACCTGCATTGCCACTAGGTATCAAAGGGGCAGTGCAGCGTTACCTCTGTGTGAATAACGGTTGGGGTCAGACGAGGTAAAGTGGATCATAGCCACAGTTTGGTAATAACCAATCAGACAGTTCCACGTGTGAATGTGGTATTGGTTAGACCTGGCCACAAACGGGTATAAGAAGGGTGAGCGCGCAGAGCGCAGGGAGTTCTCTCCCTACACAAAGCCCGGGCTGAAGATAGCCACCACCCTGGGCCCAGCCTCCCAGCCCTTCTGAGGGCTAAGGCTCGGCGTATCCAGTGGTCAAGACCCACCGAGCCAGCGGTGAGTCAGATAGCCTCCCCTAGGTCCAAGCCGGAGGACTCTAGGATAGCGGTAGACTCGAGAGTAAGTCCCACCAAGATAGGAGGCTGTACCTCCTTAGGTTAGCAAGAGACCTGTGTGTAAGTCACACTAAGTCCGGAGGCTGTACCTTCTTAGGGTATCGGGTGAGGGGACCGTATACCCCTTTGTGTGTTAGGGACTGTGTAAGAAAATAATGACAATAAACAGTGTGCCTCATAAGAAGTTTATTCGTCATTATAAACGCTACACATTAAAGGATGATGACAATAACAATGTAACTTGTAATCCACTGCGCAGTATTCACTCACTCTCCTAGATATTGAATAGCTCTTGTAGAGGCGTCAAGAACCAGACACGCGGTGAGCCAGCGCCAACAATCGCCCAAGCTCTGCGGTCCTCTATGTATTAAGGTGTTATTGGCCAATTAACGAGTGTTTACATGTGGGAGAAACCCGGAGAAAGTTCACACGTGCGACGGGGAAACACTCCAATCCATACAGACGAAACTTGTGGAAAATGGGACATTTTTGCCAGTAGCAAAGTATGAAAAAATAAGAATAGTTTTTACCCTTTCTGACAATAAAACAGGTATTCAGAGTTAGATTTAAAGCTTTCGTGAATGCAGGGATTCATATTCTTGGTTCTTTCGGTAACGTCATGTAGAAGGGAAACAATAAAATAATAGTATTTTACTGTTTCCCTTATACGTGACTTTAACAATATTATTTTATTGTTTCCCTTCTACGTGACTAAGATTATAGGTGTTCAGATGTTAAAACACTAAATAAAAACCTTTTGCAAGGAATCATGTTCGCATTAATGACACGTACTTGTGAACATGCAAACAAATGCATGCATTATCAGAGCATGCATTATCAGAGCATGTTTATTCCCATGTTCACCACAAGTACCGTGTGTGGTTAATGCGAACTTGATTCCTTGCAAAATGTTTCTATTTGGTGTTTGAACATCTTAACACAACTCATGTTTTATTGCCAGAAACGGTAAAATCTATTCTTATTTTCCAAACAGGTGGAGTCTATATTTGCTCGACTGCCTTCTGGCGAGACAGGGTGTTGCACTTCATCGACAACCGCGGGACGGAAGTTTCACAACATCTGTGCGGTGATCCACCAACCCTCGCTGCTGCCTGCACAGTGCTGGGTTACACGCCACGTGCATAGCCACCACCCAACAGATAAAATATACACAAAATGTACACAATATGCACAATCAATTGTAGTTCTGACTTGTTTGTATATATGCGTATTCATGTTTTATCTGTCTCATCACATGTCCTACCTCCTTGTGATGTTTCAAACCGTCCTACAGTAATACATAAAACTAACATAGGATGATAAATATTAGCATAAACTTAGGCACGACCAGACTCACGCTTATCACTTCTCCATCGTGTTAATTGTACATGAGTGATGTGTGCGTGCGTAGAAGTTCTCACGTGGAGGAGGAATCGAAGCTGCCTCAGATGACGTTAAATAGATAGGAAAACAAACAGCGTTGTTAATATTCAGTTCTAACTGGAAAACAATTCCGCATCGACGGGTCAAAAATGATAACGTCAAAGAAAATTAGATGTGCATTGTTCGCAAGAGCTGTAATGTGGATGAAATAAACGCGATCTTACCGGTGTCTGTTGCGGATGCGATCATTGAAAGCATTCAAAATGGGTAAAAAAAACACGACACTCCGATCAGCAATGTTTGAATGGCAATCACAGTCACCCCCCCCCCCCCCCTCTCAAAACCCAATATGTTAAATTAAGCAAATATGCATTGGTGTTGACTCGTTTAGTACTTGAACATTTCTTAAGACGCTATTATGTGAAATCCATTGTTTACCCAGGGAAGTCTCAACAACTCTCTTTAGGACGATGCTGAGACATTTTTTTTTGCTGTAGAGGGGGCGATGCTGCTCCGTGTAAATCAAACAGAGTTTTGCAGATCGAATCTTGAGCAATAGCAGTTACAATGCGTGTTTTATTAGCTGTGAGAGAAAAGCGGAGAATCAAGAGGAATCCCATGCAGAACGGGGGAGAATGTACAAACTTCACACAAAAAAGGTGCCATGAGTCGGCAATCAAAGCCAGGGACGTCGTCTTGCTGTGAGAACACGCGATGTTACCACTGCGCGACTGTGCCGCGACAGTTTATTCCAATTGTGAAAGGTGCATTGAAATGAATAAACTACTGCACATATTAACTTAACGATCTACACCTGTGCAGACGACATGCACTCATCCGATTCTGAAGTGTAGAACTTTAGGGTTCGCGATTAAAAAAAATATACGTTTTCAGAGTTGATTATTTTTGGTAACAGATACTTCAGCCCGAATGAATAATAATAACTGCACCAGTCTTATACTGCAGCCATGAAGTAAACCGTGTGTATGGGTTTTACCTCTGATTGCTGCATCGCACAAAATAGTGCAGACGAGCAGCCAGCGAACGTCGCGGAAGCGGGCGGACGCCATGGGATTCGAGAGACGTTGTGTGTCTTAGTAACGAAGGCAAGAGAAGAGCGCCGAACCGGATTGAAAACCGCGGCTTTTATTATACCGTGTGGTCGTACGTATAACGTCGTCATTACGTGAGTTCGCTCACGGTAAAGCCTCCGGTGTAATCCGACATTTTCAGCACAACGCCCAACCAGAAGGGTAAATCTATTACAAGTATTGTAATTCATAGCTGCCAGCCCAAACACGATTTACCCGTATTCTTCTACAGGGAAATTGCGTTTTCAGGTCCAAACTGCATACAGCCGTTTCAATAGGGGCAAACAAAATCATACGGCCAAATAAAATTAAAGTGTATTGTTTAACCCTTCGTAAATGGCTGTGATCATTGTACATTTACAACATGAGTGTGTGCATCCACATGTCAAGCAAGCAGCAGCATTAGCATGCAAGATCACAGACAATAGCATGACACCAATGATTAAAATTAACAAATAAACCAGTTTTTGTTTAGTAACATTATTTTTGTCTATTTAACACGTATGCTTTCGCAATCAATAACATTCATAATAGAGGTTTTTGGGTTAGATCACGTAAACATAAATGTGTCGTTAAAACCCGCCACCACCCGACACAGCCAACTAGTAAGGGTTGTCACGTAAATACAACGTGGTCAATTCGTTACTAGTACAGCACACCGGTATATTGGAGAGCCAAGCCACAACATTTACAATATGAGTATGACATTTCGCCAGTAATTACAACTAGCTTCATCAGGCGACAGCCAGATTTGTGGAGAAGTCCTCCACCTGTTTCGTTCCTTATATAGTGGCATCGATGTGTCGACCACGCTTCTGCACTCTTGCACAATGTTGGTGTTCGAAGATCCACGTCGGGGAGAAGAAGCCTCTAGCCACATGGTCCTGGGCCCCAGCTTGTGGTCCGGACCGGGATAGCGAACCGTGTCTAGTTCTGCCGTAGCGTGGTTAGATGGGCATTCGAGACCCGAGCGTAGGTTGTGTTATGTTGCGTATTGTTACGTGAATAAATAGTGTTGCTGCCAAGATAACGTCTGTGACTCAGTTGGACTCACTACACTTGTGACTTATACTCTTTGGTTTTATTCGGTAAAGTCACGTAGGTAAAATAAAACAAAAGAAAACAATTCAAACACGACGTTTCGGAGGCAACACAAGCTTCCGTCTTCAGGTGGAACAGTCACAGCAAAATCGCTGCATCAAGTGGGGAGGCTCTGATAGCCTCGAGCTTAAATACAGGTTAAGGGGGGGGGGAGGAGTCAAGTCGGGGACCTTGGTGGGGTGCGGGGCTGAGTTAATCCGTCTTTAGTTATGTTGAGGGTGTGGGGGATGAGTCACTACACGGGGGCAATGAAAAAAGAAAACAAATAGAAAAGTTCGGAAATAATATGCAAAACTATGAAACTAAACTATGAAACTAAGCTATTAAACTAAAATTTTAAACGAAACTATTAAACTAAGCTATTAAACTAAACGATTAAACTCCACTGTTAAACTAAAATATTAAACTAAACTATTAAACTAAACTGTTAAAGTAAAATATTAAACTAAGCTATTAAACTAAACTATTAAAGTAAACTACTAAAGAAAACTATTAAAATGAGGTATTAAACTAAGCTATTAAACGAAACTATTAGACTAACCTACTAAACTAAACTATTAAACTAAACTATTAATCTTAACTATTAAATTAGACTATTAAACTAAACTATTAACTATTAAACTAAACTATTAAACTAAGCTATTAAACTAAACTATTAAACTAATCAATTAAACTAAACTATTAAACTAAACTATTACACAAAACTATTAAAGCTAAACTATTAAACTAAACTATTAAACTAAACTATTAAAATATTAATAATTTAGTTTAATATTTTAGTTTAATAGGTTAATTTATCAGTTTAGTTTAATAGTTTAGTTTAATAGTTTAGTTTAATAGTTAATAGTTTAGTTTAATAGTTTAGTTTAATAGTTTAGTTTGATAGCTTAGTTTAATACCTTATTTTAATAGTTTAGTTTAATAGTTTACTTTAATAGTTTACTTTAATAGTTTAGTTTAATAGCTTAGTTTAATAGCTTAATTTAATAGTTTACTTTAACAGTTTAGTTTAATATTTTAGTTTAACAGTGTAGTTTAATAGTTTGGTTTAATAGCTTAAATTAATAGTTAAGTTTAATAGTTTAGTCTAATAGTTTAGTTTAATAGCTTAGTTCAATAGTTTAGTTTAATAGTTAAGCATATTCTTTCCGATCTTTTCTATTTTTTCCTTTTCCATTGCCCCCGTGTAGTGACACATCCCCCACACCCTCAACATAACAAAAGACGGATTAACTCAGCCCCGCACCCCACCAAGGCCCCCTACTTGACTCCTCCCCCCCCCTTAACCTGTATTTAAGCTCGAGGCTATCAGAGCCTCCCCACTTGATGCAGCGATTTTGCTGTGACTGTTCCACCTGAAGACGGAAGCTTGGGTTGCCTCCGAAACGTCGTGTTTTAATTGTTTTCTTTCATTTTATTTTATTTTACCTACATGACTTTACCGAAATAAACCAAAGAGTATGAATCCCTGCAGTCACGAAAGCTTTAAATCTAGAACTTGTGACTTGGTTTTAAGGCGTCGGGAGGCCCGCACACCATGATTTTCCATGGGCTCCGTACCCCCCCAATCCAACCTATGGACGGCCCTACCGACAACCAATTGGAGCCCAGCCATCAACATCTCGACACACGGACAAGCAGCCAATCGGTCTCCACGCCTGTAACCAAACAGTGGCTCTGGGCGAGCTCGTTGCTTAGGGCACTGCACGTATCGCCTCGCATATTGCAGAAACCTTCTTGAGCAATTCAACCTTTAGATCTTATTTTTAGTCATTGCCTTCCTTGAGGCTTGAATCTATTGTGAAACGCTGTTTATTTTGAGAGTTGGCCCACACTCATGTTCCCGAATCGTGATGTTTTCTTCTTCAGACACTCTCCAAATGTCACTGCACGAAACGATTGGTCGTCTGTACCAGACGATGAATGGAAGAGATCAAAAACCAATCTGATCTCGCAACAATGTAGAGGTGGCATGTTTGGAATGGCAGTGAGAGACAGAACACGTCAATAAGATAAAAATTCAAATAAACAACACTGCTACATTAACTGCTAAGCAAAGTGGGCATAGACAGGATGCGTGGCCACAAGGGATGATGAGTGATGGGCGAGACTGTTGGTAGAATATCAATCATACTCCTTGGTTCTATTCGGTAAAGTCACGTAGGTAAAAAATAAAACAACAAAAATCACGACGTTTCGGCCACAACACAAGCACCCTTCATCAGGTGAAGGGATCAGGCTGTCTCGAGGACAGCGCTGGAGTGAAATACAGCCACGCTCAGACCGCGACCTTTAAGCTGTGTGCGAGGAAACAAGGTGCCTTGACAAAGGAATTAGCATAAAAATTAGCATTTGATTGGCCGACTTAGCATAGAGGTGGTGTACATGCAGGTGCACATGCCGGTTGGCGCGGGGGGGGGGGGGGGGGAGTTTACCTATTGATGGTGTGAAAAGGGAATTTAGGAGCTGCGAAAGTTTGGGGTACCACTACTTGAAAAATATACTGTACCATTGAAAATTAGTTTAATGTTTTGTTCGATTTAGAACATCTTTCCAATGGTTGCTTAATTTGAAACCATCTTTTCGGTTGAAATTGTGTCTGTGTTTGTAGATCTGAATTGCCTCGTGAACAAATCTCTGATAAAAACCCGTGGGTTTGCAAAGAACCTTGGTATCGGAGAAAATTATATCGTGATCACCCACAGCGATGTAACAATGATCAGCTACGGCAGAAGAATTCGTTTTGCCGTGTTTCAAATCTGATTTGTGCTCGCGAATTCGGTCAGAGACATGTCGTTTTGTCTCCCCGATATAGCAATCACAGCAGGTACAACTCAATTTGTATACCCCGGGGTACTGTAAGTCAGGAATGACATCCTTCGCGGATGGGATCAGATCACGAATTTTGAGTACTATATTGAACCGGACCTGGATCATGTGTTTGTTTAGAATTTTGGAAATCTTTTTAGTAACGACTGCTATATATGGTAGTGTGATGGTTTTGACCGGAGTATCAAGTGGTTGTTTGTGTATGGAGGGAGAAACAGCTTGGCGGCTGGTACGGTCAGAGTATCCATTCCTTTTGAGGGCCAGGTGTACATGTTTTAATTCACTGGTCAGGTGGTGTTGGTCCGAAATGCAATGAGCCCTATGGTATAAAGTTTTGATGATCGAATTATTTTGAGCTGGGTGGTGGTGGGAATCAGGTTTCAAGTAGGAATCTGTGTCGGTGGATTTCCTGTAGACAGAATGCCCCAATGAGCCATCAGGTCTCCTCTCAAACAGAACATCTAAGAATGGTAGCTTGCCATCTTTCTCCACTTCCATGGTGAATTTGATGGTGGGATGTCGGGAATTGATGTGGTGTAGGAAAAGGTTCAGAGCTGGGAGGCCATGTGGCCAAATGACAAAAGTGTCATCCACATATCTCTTCCACAGGGAAGGTCTGAGGGTGGAAGTCTGGATGGAGTCTGATTCAAATTTCTCCATGAAAATATTGGCTATCACTGGTGACAAGGGGGATCCCATGGAGGTACCCTCATTTTGTTTGTAGAAGGAGCCATTCCAAGTTAAGTAGGTATTGTTGAGGCAGTGCCTAACCAGTGCAGGTGTATCGGGGTCTAGTCCATGTTGGGCCAAATTTTCAATTATTTTAATGGCATCAGGTACTGGGACCTTGGTGAACAAAGAGACCACATCGAAGCTGACAAGGATATCGTCAGGGGACAGTACAACGTCTTTGACCATAGAGACCAATTGGGCTGAGTTAAGTACTGCTGAGGCGGTCTTGCCAGTGAAAGGCAGCAAGGTATCTGACAGAAAACGGGCTAGTCTATAGGTAGGGGAGTTGATCGTGGATACGATGGGTACGTAGTGGGGTGCCTTCTTTATGAATCTTGGGAAGACCATAGAATCTAGGGAGTCTTGCAGCAGAAGCATTAACTCAGCCCCGCACCCCACCAAGGTCCCCGACTTGACTCCTCCCCACCCCCTAACCTGTATTTAAGCTCGAGGCTATCAGAGCCTCCCCAATTGATGCAGCGATTTTGCTGTGACTGTTCCACCTGAAGACGGAAGCTTGGGTTGCCTCCGAAACGTCGTGTTTTAATTGTTTTCTTTCATTTTGTTTTATTTTACCTACATGACTTTACCGAAATAAACCAAAGAGTATGAATCCTTGCAGTCACGAAAGCTTTAAATCTAT